GGTAGCTCACATCTGTAATCCTATCTACTCAGGAGGTTGTGATTTGAGGATCGTTGTTCAAAGCCAGCCCTGGCAGGAAAAGCTGTGAGACTCATATCCAATTAACCACCAGAAAACGGGAAGTGGTGCTGTGGCTCAAGCTGTAGAGTGCTAGCCTTGAGCTGAAGAGCTGCGGGACAGCGCCCAGGCCAGAGTTCAATCCCCATGACCAACCAAAAAAAAAAAAAAAAGTTAGCAAGAACTTCCTTTTCTTTTTTTTTAAAGATGGTTGAGAAATTTGGTGATTATTGTTTTTGAGGGTGTGGAGGTCAAGAGTTCTTTAGTGGGACAGTCTGCTATCTCTTCACTACCACACCCTTCTGGCTAAACGGGACAGCATCCAGGGTATCTAGGTGGTACTTGTTCCTGTGAATCGTGTGTCTGATGCTGCTGAGGTTGACCTTGATGATGGTCAACATGTAGGATGTAGCTGGCTTCTGCTAGCCTGATCTCTGCTTCAAGACCACCACAGCACCTTTGCTTTGCAGGGTGGGCTTGACCACAGTTTTGTGGTAGATCAGTCTCGTACCAGAAGGAGTTATGTACCTTTAGTTTATTAGGCTCAATGCTGTTAAGTCTGTTTCTTCTTTTTTTAAATTTTTTTTATTTTTTCTTTTGTCGGTCGTGGGGCTTGAACTCTAGGCTTGGGCGCTGTCCTTGCGCTCTCCAGCTCAAGGTGAGCACTCTACCGCTTGAGCCACAGCACCACTTCTGGTTTTCTAGTATGTTTATTGGAGATAAAGAGTCTCTTGGACTTTACTGCAAGGGCTGGCTTTGAACTGTGATCCTCAGATCTCAGCCTTCTGAGTAGCTAGGATTACAGGTGTGAGCCACTGGCGCCTAGCTGTTTATTCTTCTTGAGGAAATGGAGAGCATTCGTCATAACCATCCAATGTAGATGTGCTGACATGTTGGCGGCTCCTCATGACATGGCAGCCACAGTCAAAGAATGTGACTTAAAAAAAACAACAGGCTGGGAAGGTGGCTCAGTGGTAGAGTGCTTGCCTTGTATGCATGAGGCCCTGGGTTCGATTCCAGCACCACATAACAGAAAAAGCCGGAAGTGGGACTGAGGCTCAAGTGGTAGAGCGCTAGTCACAGCTGAAGAGCTGAGGGACAGCGCCCAGGCCCAGAGTTCAGGCCTCACGACCAAAAAAAAAAAAAAAACAACAAAAAACCTCTACTGGGAGTTTATTTCCATTTTTGAGACTCATCTGAGGGCCTCATACAGATACTTGCTTATCTTTATGATCAAGGCTGGCACTCTGCTGCTTTAGCCAAATGTCTATAGAAACACACCTCCACTTCTGGATTTTGGCTGGTTAACTGGAGATAGAGTGTCTTTATGTGCTGGCTGGAATAAGACTTAAGGATCTTATCCTCTTGAATAACTGTGCCTGGGAGCTCCACTACATTCTTTTTGTCAGGTGGTTGGCACATAGTAGGCTCTCTGTCATTAAACTAATTATGTTTTTCTAACTGTAAAGCAAAGTACAAACTTTAAAGAACTTTTATTTTTGACACAATTTTATAAAAAAGTTGCAAGGATAGTACAGAGTTTCTAGACATCTTCTAGCCAGATTCCCCAAAGATGAATACACATAAGCTTTATTCTTTTCTCCTTGTCTAATGAGCAAAAACTGTACTGATTAAAACTTAAAAGATAGCAACAGCAGAACTAAAGAATTTAAAAATATTTTATAAAATCTTTATCAGAAAGGCTGTTTTTGCTAATATATTGTTTTTAAGCAGAACTGATATATTTAAGGTCCCTTTTACAGAAATGTGAGGTAAGCATTTACTAATTAACATTGGCTATTTATTAATGAACACATCAATTTTTACTATTTACTTGGTTATACTGATTTTATCTTTTTTTTTTTTTTTTTGGTGCTAATCTTGGGGTTTGAACTCAGGGCCTGGGTGCTGTCCCTGAGCTGTTTTCCTGAAGCCTAATGTTCTACCACCTGTACCATAGCTCTACTTCCAGTTTTTTGGTAGTTAATTGGAGATGTGAGTCTCTCAGACTTTCCTGCCTAAGCTGGCTTCCAATAATGATTCTCTCAGAACTCAGCCTCCAGACTAGCTGGGATTATAGCTGTAAGCCATCAAGGCCTGGATTTATCTTTGTTTTTGAGACAAGGTTTCACAGTGTGACTCAGCTAGCTTCTTCCTTGGGAATGCTGGGATTATCGGTGTACAGCACCACATCTAGCTTGTAGTACCAACTCTAATTATTTAAACCTTGTATTGCTTCCCTTCCTTGGTTTCCTGCTATGCTATAAACTTGAAATTCCTTGCAGTTTCCAGTCATACATAAGGTATACAGTATTATGGGCAAATCAGTACTTGTGGATTATAAGTAACTGTAGTATATTACTAAATTGAACTAGGCTTCTAATCTTTTTTTGGGGGGGGGGGGGTTGAACTCTGGGCCTGGGCACTGTCCTTGAGCTTTTCAGCTCAAGGCTAGCACTCTATCACTTGAGCCACAGTGCCACTTATGGTTTTCTGGTGGTTAATTGGAGGTAAGAGTCTCATGGACTTTCCTGCCCTGGCTGGCTTTGAACTGTGATCTTCAGATTTCAGCCTCTTAAGTAGCTAGGATTACAGGTGTGAGCCATTGGTGCTCAGCTCTATTTTTATTCTTGCCACTAGAGAAGAGTATGGGGCAAGTAGTATTCCTAATATGAGAGGAGGATCCGCAACTCAACTCACTCTTCTCCCCATTGGCTTCACCATTGCAATGATAACAAGATCCACGGACAAGATTCATAATGGGGCAGTGAAGATTTATTACTAAAAGATTTATTAGCAAAACCAAAAGAAGGAAGAAAAAAATCTGGTAAGTAGAGAGTGGGAACTAAGGGATCAGTAGTAAGCAGTCCCTTTCCTGAGGGTATTTATACTATCTCAACCAGGCTGAGGACTGGGTGGATGTTCAATCATTTCGATAAGTTCCTGTTTTTGTATAACGGTAATAATAGCTAGGTTTTGTAATCAAAGAATTGTGACAGGAGTGTGTCCCTTGTGACTTGGAACAGTCATTCTGGTCAAAGAATTACTGAACCAAGATGACTAAGGAATCTAAAAGGTCATCTAAAAGGAATGCATCCATATACTATTTTTTTTTTTTTTAATGATTGATCTAACTTTTGCTGATCTAGTGGCTTTTATTTTTTGTGTTTGTTCCTGACTGGTTTATTTTTCAATTTTATTTATTTATTTTCGTTCAGTCGTAGGGCTTGAACTCTGGGTCTGGGCACTGTCCTTCAGCTCTTCAGCTCTAGGCACACATTCTACCACTTGAGCCACAGCGCCACTTACCTGTTTTTTTTTTTTTGTGGTTAATTGGAGATAAGAGTCTCAGGGACTTTCCTGCCTGGGCTGACTTTGAACAGCAATCCTCAGATCTCAGCCTCCTGAGTAGCTAGGATTACAGGTGCGAGCCACTGGCACCCAGCTATTTTTCAGTGTTTTCCAGCTTACCTCAGTCTGAAAAAATTTATGAGTTGTGACAAAACGCATTGCAGTGGTCATTTCCAGAAAATATTTAGATTACTTTTCTTGCAACTTTGTAAAAGTTGAGAACAAATTGACATCTGTGTCAATTGACATTTACAAAGAGCGGTGGTGAAGAGGCAAAGGCAGCAGCTACGTTCCAGTTGACCAGGGCAGACACAGCTCCAGCCTGAGAGGTGGCGGTATGGCCCCTGCTGTCCTCGTCCTACTGGGGCTTTGAGATGAAGGAGTTGCTGCAGCTGTCAGATATCAATCTGACAATTGACATCTGCCCCTCACCATCCATTTAATACATGGGGTCATTCATGTAATCGTTTCCAAAACGTTGAATCTGTTAGCATTCATTTCAAGTTAACTGTTTCCAATGGATTACAAGATACAAGTATCACTTGCTTTTGAGCTCCTGAAGTGAGGCACCTACTATACCTTTGGTTGTTCTTGGAATGTAATTTATAATCATGAAAGTGAACAAACAATATATCTGCCAGTGATGCTTTCTGTGTTTATCATTTAACACCTAGAAGTGTCAAGGCACATAAAAGTTCCTACCTCTCAGATCTCATCAGTGTCTCTACAGAGATCTTTAAGCTATGCCATTCAGTCGTTGCTGTCTAACTTTATTCTTTCATGAAATTTTCTGTTACATAATGTCTCTTAGGAATTTTAAAATTTAACTCAGTTCTGTGACCAGCTATTTGGGAGTAGAGGGTTTCAGTTGAGACGTATAATCTTCCTTTCATTAATTCATTAAAGAAATGGCTATTTAACAGTGTCAACACGAGCCGACAGGATTATTACTGAGGGCCGGACGTAGTGGCACACTACTGCAATCATCAGTACTCGGGAGGCTCAGGCAAAACAGTTGCCAGTTCGAATCCAGCTTGGGCAGGCTCTCACAAATGGTTACTATAGAGGGAATCTGAGCATGGAAAAGTTTTGGGAGCGAAGAGAATAAGGATACGTAATTAAGACAATAACGAGGGCGGTTCTGGGGGAAAGTTTGTGGCCTGTTAGGCGCCAGAACGACTAGTAGGTGAATGCGATTAGACTCTTCTCCTGGTCCTTAGCTGTCTCGGGCGAGGACCGTTACCTTCGCGGATGGATAATCTAACCTGCTGCTCTGCCCAAGTCCACCAAATCCAAGTCCCCAACTCACCTTTCCTGGGAGCCGGAAGCCACGTAGCCGACGCCTGCAGGAAAGTCGCCCCGCACGCATGCGCAGAGCCCGTCGCTTCCGAACCCCGCCCGGCCAATGCTAGGTTCTGCGCAGGCGTAGCGCCTCCGACCTGCTTTCACGTCACGTCGCTCTCGGTGAAGGGCCGACAGGCCAACCCGCGCGTCGCGTTTTTTACCGGCGACGACGGCGCACAGTCTGACGCGTCCGGTTACCTCACTTCCGCCCCCTCCCGGGAGGCGGCGCTGGGCCGGTGGCAAGCCCCCGGAGGGAGCCGCAGTAGTACGACGGAAGATGGCGACGAGCGGCGGTGAAGAGGCGACGGCAGCGGCGCCGGCAGCGGCGCCTGCGTCCCCGGTGACCGGGGCAGACACAGCTCCGGGCTGGGAGGTGGCGGTACGGCCCCTGCTGTCCGCGTCCTACTCGGCCTTCGAGATGAAGGAGTTGCCGCAGCTGGTGGCCTCAGTCATCGAGAGGTACCGGGCGGCGGCCCCGTCGGGGCGCGGCGAGGTGGCGGGGGGAGGGGAGGCCAGGCCGGGCCGTCGAGGCCGCTTTCAGGGCCCCTCGGGCCTCCCGGGGGGGACCCGCCCTAGCGTGGCTCGGGGGCTCCCGGGCTCGGGCTGACGAGGGGGCTGTGGGAGGCTCCACCCGCCAGCCTGTGTCAATCATCGGTGCCTCGACTTCTCCGGGCGAGCAAAACTTTTGAGGCCGCCTGGGCAGGGAGGGCGTGGCCGGCCGGCGGGAGCGTGGCGGAGAGGGCCCCCCGCATCCAGGAGCAGGTCCCGGGGCTGCCCCTGGGCTAAGGTCAAGGCTCGTGGATGAGTTTGCATTTCTCGCCAGCACTGGTGCCCCTGGGCTGAGCGGGAGCGGAGCCCGGGGTTTAAATTGGAGACATACCACCATAATTTAATAACGGTCTCTCCGGTGTTGTAATCACTGGGGGCACGTGCTGTTTCTCGGACTGAAGCCACTAGTTGACCACGGATGACTTTCCTTTTACGTCGCACTCCTTTTGTATTTCTACTGTGAGGGTCTAAGATTGAAGCATTTGAGTGTGTGAGTCTGAGAGAGTATTTTTGCAGGAGAGTCAGTCTCTGTTTCTCTCCTCCTATTTCAGACTCTTACAAACAGGACTGTACGCTGGCGTGCGGTTAGATGTTTTCTACCTTTGTGCACGTTGTGGTGGCAGTCACTGTGTTCATAAGAAGGTGGTGATTTTAGAGTGCCTCCCTTCCTCTCACTTGCAGGGTCAGAGCGATCCTTCAATAGTTAAAATAGTAAACTTGCACTTTTAAAGTCAGTCTCACTTTCATTTTCCTAGCTAACCTTGCAGTTCCCTGCGATTGCCAAATGGGGGCATTTTAGCTTTCTGCGTGGACAGGGGTGTATATATCTAAATGTCATCCATAAACTTAGGAATTGTTATTTGCAATTTACCTAAGGCCCATAGCGGCTTGAGATATTCACTATGGTGCTGTGGGTGGGGATTTTTTTTAAACAAATTATAATGATGTCTGCCTTTGGTAAGGTCAGATGGATTTTTCTACTTGTTAAGCCAAGAATGTTGAGATGATATAAACAAGTATTAAAGATAGTACTGTTGTGTGTGTGTGTGTGGGGGGGGAGGGCTGTATGTGGCTCATGCCTGTAATCAATCCCTAGCTACTCTGGAGGCTGTGATCTCAGGATCTTTGTTGGAACACCACTTCCGGCTTTTTCTGTTTATGTGGTGCTGAAGAATTGAACCTGGGGCCTCATGCACGCAAGGCAAACGCTCTACCACTGAGACACCTTCCCAGTCCCCCATGAGACTTTTATCTCCAATAAACACTCAGAAAATGCTAGAAGTGGTTCTGTGGCTCAAGTGGCAGACTGCTAGCCTTGAGCACAAAGATGCTTAGGAACAGCACTTAAGCCCTGAGTTTGAGCCCCAGCACCTACAACAAACAAACAAACAAACAAACTACTTTCAAATAGCCTTTTTTTCTTCTTACTGTCTTAAATGTTTGGGATACTGTTATTTCCCTGAATCATTCATCGTTACTTACAGTGAGGAATGTCACTTTTGTTCTTATGGATGTGAACTGAAGTTATCAAATCAATTCATGGAAACCCTGTAATTCATCTACCTATATTCTGGGCCATTTCTGTTAAGTTGCAATATTTAGGGCAAACACGTTCAGCCTTTTGAGGAAACCAAAACAAAAATTCATCAGACTTGATTTCAGTTTTGCCAGTTAATTGCTACTGGCACCTCCCACACCTTGTATGATCTGAGAGAATCTAGTTGTCTTTGTAGACACTAGTAAATCTCTATGGCTTCAAAATAACATGTTTACTAATGGGTAACACAGGTTTTTTTTTTTAAGTCAAGAATTTTGAAGGGCCTATTCTAATTTTGCTACACAGTTAACTTTGAAAGCCTGCTATGTGTCTTCTTCAGGCTCTGTATGAAGAGTATGATCATAAAAATTTCTAGAAGTATCTAGGTTGTTTTTTATGGTATAGAACAATATTGAGTGTTCAATTCAGTGTAGAGCTCAGATCAGCAAACTTTGTATAGGCCAGTTAATAAATTATTGTAGGTCCTGTGATTTCTGGACTTCTCAGCTCTGCCATTGCAGTGTGAAAGCAGTCATGCACAAAAATATACACAAATGAATGGGCGCAGCTGTGTTCCAGAATTTGAATTTCATGTGCTATTTACATGCCACTGGCTGGATTTAGTGTGGAGTCAGTAGTTTGTTGACTCTTCTGATTTAGAGCCAACAAACTATACCTTGTTATCATTTTCTCAAAAGCTATTTTTATTTGCCTTTCCAAAAAGTGAAGGGTCTCAATGTGGGAATATTTCTTAGTCGTGACCCTAGAGATTACCAGATCAAAATCTGCACTGATAAATGCTGGAGGTGAGGGTTTGGAGAGGTCTGTTTCTAGCTAGTCTCATGTTTAGATGCCTCTGCTGCTACTTGTATGTTACCATTCCCGTCTGTTTCTCTCTGTGGTGTCTGCCCTTCTTGTCTCCAGGGACTTCTAGTTTTCTCCTGAAGTTTACAATTCTCTTCTTCCCTTGTCCTAGTCCCTCAGGCCACTCTTACTGCTGGTCTGGCAGCTTGCTTATCTGAGTTCTCCTAGACTGTTGAATGTGGATGTGATGACACTTACTCTAAAAGTATGCCACCATTCCAATTTCTATCTCAAGCCTTTCATGCATGCTTTTATATTTGAAGTTTTAAAGAAAAGATACATTAAAATTCTTAGGTCCAGACTGTTTTATAAGTTTGTCTGACTGAGTAAACATTGTGAAACAAAGGAGGAATAGACTAGTGTGGATAAATTGTGAAGATATTCAAAAGTGTCATTAGATTTCTGAGTTTATTTAGAGAGTGCATATTCATTTATAGTATATGGTTTATTTAGACATATAAGTGTCTGCAGTGCCCATGTAATTGTAACCCCTCTGTACAGTATTTTCACAATAAAAAAAAAGTGTCTGTAGTATCTTTTTAGTAGTAAAGATAAAATCTAATAAACACGATTACTTTCCAGACCAGAAGTAGAGCTAGAACTTGGCCAATGGAGCACATGCCATACTGAGTTATTCAGTATAATTGCTAAATGTAGCCTTCTATGTAAAGGTACAGATAATTCTTTAAGAAAATTGTGCAAAAAACATTCGTGATCATAGTTGGCATTGGATAGTTTCATTGACTATAGATTAAGAAAAAACATATTTCTCACCTGAGCACCAGTTGTCTATGCTTAATTCTTGCTACTCAGTCTGAGATCAGGAAGATTATTTAAGGACAGCCCTACCTAGGCAGAAAAGTTTGCTAGACTTCATCTCCAAAATATCTAGCAAAAGCAGAGCTGGAGGTATGGCTCAAGAGATAGAACATCTGGAAAGCAAGTGGTGTAAGCAGGCTCATGACTGAGTTCAAACTCGAGTACCATCCAAAAAAAAAAAAATCTTCTAAGCCAGTTCTTCCTGGGCTTCCCTGGAATCTTTTATGATAAGCCTCTTTGACCATCCCTGTTTTTTTTTTTTATACTGGATAGAATTTAGGGCAAAGACTCCTACTTGGGAAGGGAGAGGCTAATAGAACAAACATTTCCATTATCTAATGCATAGTTATTTCATTAAAAAAACCTTGAAAGGGAGAAGGTTGTGCAGTAGTGCTGTATTTCTACAGAATATAAATATATTTAATTAATATATAAATTATATCAATATATCAATATTCTGTAGGTCTTAAGTATTTATATTTGTATTACTTATATTCTGTATTTATATTTATTTATATTCTATATATTCTGTAGGTTTTCAGTCTGTGATTGACCCTGTGGGGGGAGGGGAAGAGAAGCCCACCACCAAAAGATAAGAGTTTGAAAAAAAAAAAAAGATAAGAGTTTGGGCTGGGAAGGTGGCTCAGTGGTAGAGTGCTTGCTTGCCTTGTATGCATGAGGCGCTGGGTTCGATTCCTTAGCACCACATAAGCAGAAAAAAGCCAGAAGTGGTGCTGTGGCTCAAGTGGTAGGGTGCTAGCCTTGAGCTGAGGGACAGCTCCCAGGCCCAGAGTTCAGGCCTCACGACCAAAAAAAAAAAAAAAAAAAGTTTAACTGGGAGATTAGTTCCATTGACTAATGTTTCCAGGTCTTAGTATTGGGAATTTTCTGAGAGGAAGTTTTCATTTCTTTGGTTAACAATAGCAAGATGAATATGTATATATATGTATGCATGTATATATGAATGTGTACTGTGTATATATGTGTATATTGTGTTATGGCAGATAAAACATGATGGGTTGTATAGTTCATGAATTTGAGAAAGAGTAAAAGGCTGTGGAGTTTCCATATTACAAAAAAGATTTATAGTATGTTATCTGAGAGGAAGAAGGAAGGTTAGTCCTTCATCTATTTTGCTTCCTCTTGGATTCCTATCTCTTCCCCAAAAGAGCTAGACATTTCCAGACCCTACTCAGTTCCATTTTCACTTAGCCATCAAATTGGATTTCTCTGTTCTGGCTGCTTAGCTGCTGCTTCCCTTTCTACTCTGCATTGCATTTATTTGTTATGGAGTAGAAAAGCCTCAGTTTCTGCCTGTCAGCAGTGTTCTGGGTTCAGAGGTGCTATTGTTATAAAGCTTGTTAGAAGCAGGTGTCTCAGGAAGAGTCTGGCTAAGCTGAAGAAAAGCATGCTTTCACTTTGAAGTCTTAGTTTTCATCCCTTGTGTCATATTTTCTCCTTCCTAGTTAGTCTCTGCCCCTTTTTCTTATTTCCCCATTTCTTGGCATCCTTCGATGACTTCTTTGGGAATGAATACAGTTTCTTTCATTAAGTGACTAATACCTAGTGGCTTCACACCTTTGTTTTGCTTTTTCACTCAAGGCTGGTACACAACCACTTGAGCCAGGCCTTCACCTCCTGTTTTTTTGCTGAGTAATTAGAGATAAGAGGCTCTTGAATTTGTCTGCTTGAGCTGGCGTTGAACTGTGATCCTCAGTTCTCAGTCCCCTGAGTAGATAGGATTGATTATAAGTGTCAGCGATCAGTGCCCAGCAGAAGCTCAGCTTTTAAAAACAGGAAGGTAAGGCAGTGGAGTGAAGGAAAACTAAGCATGAGGCAGAAGCAAAGGGATGTAGCTTTCTGTTGATCACCAGGAATTTGAGTGTTGCTGGTATTTAGAGGCTTTTTATAAACTTGGTTGGGGGCTAGTACTGAGTTTGAATTCAGTACTTGAGTACTGTCCTTAGCTTTTTCATTGAAGGCTGGTGTTCTGCCACTTGAGACATAGCTTTGCTTCCAGTGCTTTGCAGATTAGCTGTAGATAAGAATCTTGTATTTTTCTGCTCTGACTGGCTTTAAATTGGGATCCTCAGATCTTGGCCTCCTGATTAGCTAGGATTACAGGTATAAGCCGCCAGTGCATGGCTTCCTGACATGGTTTTACTTGTACTTCTTTACCTCTGTGTGCTTAGCTTAGCTTCATACCCTTCTCTTTTCTTTGTTGTAAATGAGTTTGAAAATGTTTTCAGTTGCTTCGTTTTCTCTCTCATGACAAATGAGAAAAAGAACCTCTGATGGACAACATGAACCTCATTGATCATACATGCTCCATTTCTTCTTCTTTTTTTCTTTTTGTGCCAATCTTGGATTTGAACTCAAGGCTGAGTGCTGTCCTCTTCTTTTGTTCAAGGCTAGTGCTCTACTGCTTGAGCCACAGCTTCATTTCTGGCTTTTTCTGAGCAGTTTGTTGAGATTAGAGTTTCACAGACTTTCCTACTCAGGCTGGCTTTGAACTGAGATCCTCAGATCTCACCCTAGTTATTAGCTAGGATTACAGGTGTTATCCACCAGTGCCTGGCTTCCTTCTACGGTTTTATTGTACTTCTTTACCTCTGTGTGCTTAGCTTAGCTTCATACCCAGCTCTTTGTTGTAAATAAATATGAAAATGTTTTCTCTTTATTAACCTCTGCTTCTTACTAAGCCTAATACTTTGAACAATATAATTAATTTTGATTCTCTAAGCTGTACCTTCCCAGTCCTCCTCCCTTTCTACTTCCTTTTCCTCCTCCTTTTCTTCCTCTTTTCCCTCTTCTTTCTCTCCTCCTCTCCTTCTTCCTCTTCTGTGTGCTGAAATGGAATCAGGACTTTTTCCATATTAGACAGGTACTCTGGCATTGAATGTCATTCCCAGCTCATCAGCTGGTAGTGAGTGATACTGATGGACTATCTATGGGGGGCAGGGTAGGGTGGAGTATGTGGCACATAGTAGGCACTAAGTCAGTGCTGGTTGTCTTGTTTTCCTTACAGTGAATCAGAAATCCTGCACCATGAGAAGCAGTATGAGCCATTCTACTCATCCTTTGTCGCCCTCTCCACTCACTACATTACCACAGTTTGCAGCCTCAGTAAGTACTTGCTTTTGTCACTGGCTTCTAACAGTTGCATATAGGAGGTGGTTTGCATATGAACAAGTTGCTAATGAAGTCTATATCAGCACTTAACATGTTGTTTATCCAAGAGAGGAGACAAATAGCCACTGTGTAGGGCTCCTTTGCCAGCTGAGGGAGCTTAATTTTAAAAAAGGAATACTTAGCTGGGTGCTGGTGGCTCATGCCTGTAATCCTAGCTACTCTGGAGGCTGAGATCTGAGGATTGTGGTTCAGAGCCAGCCCGGGCAAGGAAAGTCCATGAGACTCTTATCTCTAATTTGCCACCAGAAAACTGGAAGTGGCACTGTGGCTCAGGTGGTACTCAGCATGAGCTGAAGAGCTCAGGGAGAGTGCCCAGGCCCAGAGTTCAAGTCCAACAACAACAACAAAAGGAATACTTACTTTATTTAGTGATTCTGGAATTTGAACTCAGGACTTGTGTTTGCTAGGTAGGTGTTCTGCCACTTGACCCAAACCTCCAGCCTTGAGTAGTCTTTAAAAGCTCCCTAGTTAGGATGCTTGTTTCATGACCATTAATCAGTCCCATTCCCTTCTTAAAGTCCACAGCATTTAATTGACTTTACTCGTGTTAGTTTTCTGGGGATAGTTTTCTAGGTACTTGAGGGGTGAGCAGTTGTTATTTAAAGGTGTAGTCCTGATTGGTTTTGGTAAGATGTGACATATCTTTGTTTTTGGGTATATGAAGAGATTTTACTTGCCAACTTTCTCAAAATTTTTTCTACCCCTAAAGTGTCCAAGTCCTATTTTATGTTATTTCTGAATTTTTGCATTTTCAGTGTTGTGTGTGTGTGTGTGTGTTTGTTTTGTTGTTTGTTTTTTGGCTGTATTGGGGTTTGCTTTGGGCTTGTTCAGCTTGTACTGTACCTCCATTCCAGTTTTTTGCTGGTTATTTTTAGGACATTGTCTTGCTTCTGGCCCAGGCATGCCTGAGGGTTACCCCTCATCTGCTTTTCTTTTTGGGCTGGTCCTGGGGCTCGAACACTGAGCTTGGACACTGTTCTTAAGCTCTTTTTTTTTTTTTTTTTTTTGCTCTAGGCTAGTGATACATACAACACCACTTCCACCTTTTTCTGAGATTAATTGGAAATAAGAGTCTCACAGACTTTCTTGCCCAGGCTGGCTTTGTACCACTATCCTCAGATCTTAGCCATCTGAGTAGCTAGAATTATAGGCGTGAGCCACCAGTGCCTGGCTTATCCACCTGTTTTTAAGCTAGACTTTTTGTTGTTGCTGGGATGATTTGCAACAATACCTCTTCCGTTTTGCCTCTATTGAGACAGAGTGGTTCATACTTTACTGCCTTAGCTGGCCTGGCACCAACCTGAGTTTACCAGGTAGCTTTGTATGACATGCATGTACCACAGCAGTGAGCTGTGGATTGAGAAAGAATCTTGTGAACTATTTTGCCTAGAGTTTACCTGCAACTATGATCCTCCCATTTCCAGCCTCCCAGGTAGCACCACTGGTGCCCAGGCTAATTATTTTTTGCTGCAGTTATCTTAATTTCCAGTAAATATAAGGTAAATTGACTCATGAACAATTGATGGCTATCAATATCAAAATGCCTTTGTTTGCTCCTTGGGTTGTTGTTTCTGAATAATTACTAACATGAATGATATTGGGAGTGTTGGACACAAAGAGATAAGTCTGAGCAGTCTGAGATTAAATAAAGTTTATTGCTTTCTCAGTTCCACGGAACCAACTTCAGTCGGTGGCAGCAGCCTGTAAAGTTCTAATTGAGTTTTCTCTTCTGCGTCTGGAGAATCCAGATGAAGCGTGTGCTGTGTCCCAGGTAAGAGCTGTGGGCCATTTTCTAGCCCTTATTTTAATATACGACTGTGAATAACTTTCGGAATTGCCGGAATGGATAGCATAGTGCAGAGATTAATAGACTTTGTTTGTAACAGAAGTGAATCATTTGTGGGCTGTGTAGTATCTGTCACTAGTCAGCACTGCCTTTGTATAATTGAGTATAGCCACAGAGCTGCCTGTGAACGAGTGAACACAACTGTGTTCCTGCAAGCCATGTAGAGTGAGGACCATTAGCTTTTGATCTATGTTTGGGTTTCTCATTGCAATTTGTGTGTGTGTGTGTGTGTGTGTTACAGGGGATCAAACACAGATCCTCTTGCATGCCTGGTAGCCTTCACCACTGAGTTACATTCCAGCCCTGGAAATGGCAATTCTTTGTGTGAATCTAAATTTGGCTCTGTGCCAGTTTAAATTCCTTAAAGTGAGGAGTGTCTCCTGAAAGACATACTTCAATTTCCTTTCAGAAACACTTGATTCTCCTAATCAAAGGCCTCTGCACTGGTTGTAGCCGACTAGACAGAACTGAAATTATCACCTTCACAGCCATGATGAAATCGGCCAAACTGCCACAGACAGTGAAGACCCTTTCCGATGGTAAGTGTTCTGTCTACAGACCTGGCCACAGGATCACCTGCACAGCTATATCCATGGCCACCTCCATGGTAGTCTTGCCTGCTAGCAGTGCTCTCCTCAGGTGTTCCTTCTGTATTTTGTAGTGGAAGATCAGAAAGAGCTGGCCTCACTGGTGAACCCTGAGCTGAGGCAGAAGGAGGTGCAGATGAATTTTTTGAACCAGCTGACCTCAGTTTTCAACCCTAGAACTGTGGCATCACCACCCATTAGTCCACAGGCTCTGGTGAGTTCAGCCTAATGTCCTCATTTTCATGGGCTTCATTAAGATGGTTTCATTAGGAAAAGAATGCATTCTATTTTTGTGACATAAAGTAATAAAAACTCACATACTGTATAGGATGTTTTGGTCAAGGCTGAATCATATATATGATAGTGGTCCTATAGAACTTCATTGCCTAGTTGTATGTCATCTTAGTTTGTGTATTCTGAAGTGTTTCCATGATGATTCTTCTCTTAAAATATATCCTGCTATTAGCAATGCATGGAATGTACATGTCTGTGGTACAAAAAACAGAGTAAAATCACCCTAGTTAGTTTTGTACACAGGTTGTGATCCATCTTCTAGACATTTCTCAATGTAAATAAATGTAAGGAAGTTGTACATAGTTTTTCGTAAAAGACATTATTCTACTTGTAGAATATATATACATATATATATATATATATATATATATATATATATATATGGCATATATGGTATTTAAAGCTGTGTATTTTTCCCTTCTTGGGGAAAACAACTTGAGTTTTTTTGAGTATCAGTAAAGAGTTTTCCCGTTGTTAACTGGGGGGTTGCAGAGTATTTGCACTCTTGGTAACTTTATTTTGCATAGGACAGCCCAATAGTGTCTTTTCTTTTCTTTTTTTCTTTGCTAGTCTTGGGGTTTGAACTCAATGTTTTAGTGCTGTCCCTGAGCCTCTTTTGTGCTCAAGACTAGCCCTCTACCCCTTGAGCCACAGAGCTACTTCTGTCCTTTCTGAGTAGTTTATTGGAAATAAGAGTCTCACAGACTTTTTTGTCTGTGCTGGCTTTGAACCTAAGAGTCTCACAGACTTTTTTGTCTGTGCTGGCTTTGAACCATGATCCTTAGATCTCAGCCTTCTGTGTAACTAGTGGCTGGCTCTAGAAGGGTCTTGATAGGCCCATGTTTCTCTTCAGGTGGAAGGGGAAAATGATGAGCAGTCATCCACAGATCAAGCCTCTGCTATCAAGACCAAGAACGTGTTTATAGCTCAGAATGTGGCCAGTCTTCAAGAGCTTGGTAAGATTCCACAGCTGTGGACAGTTGGTTTCTCTCTCTGCTTAGGTAAACCCCCTACCCCTGTGGGCTTCTTTGGGAATAATCAGGCATCAGTACAGGCTTGTTTCATGAGGTTGTGCCTTTTTTGTTAAACCAGGTGGTTCAGAGAAGTTACTGCGTGTGTGTTTGAATCTGCCATATTTCCTACGCTACATCAATCGGTTCCAAGATGCAGTGTTAGCCAATTCCTTCTTTATCATGCCTGCAACAGTGGCAGATGCCACTGCTGTCCGTAATGGGTAAGGTGTTTCTTGGATTATATGCTTTTTTTTTTTCCTTCCAGTTCTGGGGCCTGGGCACTGTCCCTGATTTCTTTCGCTCAAGGGTAGCACTCTACTACTTGAGCCACAGTGCCACTTCCAGCCTTTTCTGTTTATGTGGTACTGAGGAATTGAACCCAGGGCTTCATGCATGCTAGGCAAGCACTCTACCACTAAGCCACATTCCCAGCCTGGAGCATGTGCTTTAAATTCTAATTTCAGAAGAGATGTCCCTGGCTTTTTATTTTTTTATTTTTTTTTATTTTTGTTTTGTTGACCATGGGGCTTGATCTCTGGGCCCAGGCTCTGTCCCATAGCTCTTCAGCTCAAGGCTAGCACTCTATACCACTTGAGCCACAGTGCCACTTCTGGTTTTCTGGTGATTAATTGGAGATAAGAGTCTCATGAACTTTGCTGCCTGGGCTGGCTTTGAACCAGGATCCTCAGATCTCAGCCTCCTGAGGAGTTAGGATTGCAGGCGTGAGCCACAATGCCTGGTTGCCTGACTTGTTTTTATGGTATGCCTCCTTCCTTAAAGTCATAGAATCAAGTGATATTAGGAGACATTTGTTAATCTTCTCTGTTATCTTATAGTTTTCATTCACTGGTGATTGATGTAACTATGGCATTGGATACCCTTTCTCTACCTGTGTTGGAACCTCTCAATCCTTCTCGTTTACAAGATGTAACAGTCCTCAGCCTAAGCTGTCTGTATGCAGGTGAGAAATGATGTCTAGTATCATTTACTCATACTTTTATGAAACCATACAACTCTGTTCTGCTTTATTTGCTCCCCTTTTCTAAAGAACATCTGATGTCAACATGTACGTGAAATGGTCTTTCAAGGTGATCGTACTGTTTAACTGCTGGCATTGTGTTAAATATGTATTTTACTTCATAACATGTGTGTTACTAAGAAGAGCAAAGTGCTAAAGATTGTTGTGCTGTTGATACCAAGAGTATATAATCCCTGCTCACAAGGAGCCTATACCAAGCAGTGGAGAGCAAATGGGCTAATTGTACATGAAACAGGAAAGGAAAAGGCCATAAGAGATGTGTAGAATATTTTTAGCATGGAATGCTTGAGTCTTGCTGGGAAAGCAGATTGAAAGAAGTCTGCATGGGATAGGTCAGATGTTTGAAGAATGATCTTCTCCATGTTACCATAAAATCCCCCCTTTTTTTTTTTTTGATTGGTCATGTGTCCTGGACTCTGGGACTGAGCGCTGTCCCTCAGCTCTTCAGCTCAAGGCTAGCGTTCTAGCATTTGAGCCACAGTACCACTTTCAGCTTTTTCTGCTTATGTGGTGCTGAGGAATCAAACCCGGGGCCTCCTGCATGAAAGGCAAGCACTCTACCACTTGAGCCACAGCTCTACTTCCAGCTTTCTTGGTAGTCACCTTCCCAGCCCTAAAATCCCTTTTCTTCCTTTTGCTCATGCTGCCTTGGAAGGAGGTACCTGACAGTTGCTGCTATTTCTTTTAAGTTATTGTTAAAGTGACTTTATAACATAAACCACTGGTTTTAGTTTTGAGTCCAGAGTGTAATAGCCCTGGAATGTCTTATGCTCAAGGCTAGCACTCTACCACTTGAGCCACAGCTCTACTTCCAGCTTTCTTGGTAGTTAATTGGAGATAAGAGACCATGGACTTTGCTGTGTGGGCTAAGTTCAGACCTTGGTCCTCTGATCCATAGTCCATGAGGGTTCCTTTGTGTTGTATAGCTCTGTATATTTTGACAAATGTATAATACCATGTATCCATTACTATTATTATTATTATTTATTTTTTTATTTTTTTATTGGTTGTTAGGTTAAACCCAGAGCTTGTGTACTGTCCCTGAGCTCTTTTGCACTACCACTTTGAGTTACAGCTCCACTTCTGGTTTTCTGGTGGTTAATTGGAGAGAAGAGTCTCATGGTACTTTTTAGCCTAGACTGACTTCAGACTGCAGTCCTCAGATCTCAGCCTCCTAGTAGTTAGGAATACAGGTGTGAGCTACTGGCGCCTAGCTCTACAATTAATGTATAATACAGAGTAATATCACTGCTCCAAAAGTCCCTGTTCTCACCTTATTTATCCTCTTATCTCCCACCCCAACCTATCCTTTTCAGACTGACTTATTTTACCTGACAATATATGCTTAAGATTCTCTCATGTCTTGGCTCGGTTGTTCATCTTTATTAGATGTTGGATTATATTCCATTGTGTGGCTATAGTGGTCTGCCTGTCCATAGACCTGTTGAAGGCTTCCACTTGTAGGCAATTATGAATAAAGTTGTAATAAATATTCATGTGTAGGTTTTTAATGTGGATATAAGCTTTCAGCTCATTTGTGTAAATATCAGGGGTGTGATTATTGAATTATATTGTGGGATTATGTTTAATCTTGCCCTTATGGAGCTAGTCTCCCCCTCCCCCCAGCCAAATCCTGGAATTGTTGTGGGTGTTTTGCCTTTCACTTTGTGTGGGTTTTTAGGAATGCCTCATGACTGAGATCTGCATTTGTTTGTTCATACATACTCCTTTTCAGGTGTGAGTGTGGCAACATGTATGGCCATTCTTCATGTGGGCAGTGCTCAGCAAGTGCGTACAGGATCCACAAGCTCCAAAGAAGAAGACTATGAAAGTGATGCAGCTACAATTGTCCAGAAATGTGTAAGTGGAGCATGCATCGGGAAATGTTGATGTGAAGGGATATGGCCAATTTTGTTTCCTCCCTAGATAGATAGTTCTGCACACTCTTTTATCTGGGTAACAGGTCTAAGAGGTTATTTGATATATCGCTTGCATAGATGCTTCTGTGTCTCTAGGACTCTATAGTACATAAACACTGCAAGTCAGTGTGGCACACAGCCTTGTGAAAGATGAGTTATACAAATGATACAATGGAGGACTTAACGGGTATATGCTTTTGTATGAGACATAGTAAACAAGATAATTTTGTTTATTTATTATTGTTATTATTTTTTGCCATTTCTAGGGCTTGAACTCAGGGCACAAGCACTTTCCCTGAGCTTCTCTGTGCCTAAGGCTAGTGCTCTACCATTTGAACCATAGTGCTGCTTCTGGCCTTTTCTGTTTATGTGGTACTGAGGATTTGAACACAGGGATTCATGCATGCTAGGCAAGCACTCTACAACTAAGACACATTCCCAGCCACAAGATTTTAGATGGGAGAAGCGTAGAAAAAATCAGTTGTGATAAAAAGCCATATGATGAAAAGCTGGGTGTTGTGCTTTAAGTTGGGGGGAGAGAACTGTAAGATGACATTTGAACTGAAGGAAAAGTGGGATTCAGCTGTAGATGAAGATAAGAAAATGTGATTGAATTTTGTCATTGAAAAATTACCTGGAGATATTTAATTCTTCAAATTAAATTGATTTGAGTAGCCTTTAATTTTGATAATGAAATATGTGAGTTTGCTCAGAGTTTTGTGTCTGTTTGGTATTGGACAGCTTGAAATCTATGACATGATTGGACAAGCCATCAGCAGTTCCCGCAGGGCAGGTGGCGAGGTAAGCTTGTCTCTGCTGTGTTCCTATTTTGATAGGAGCTTCTAAGCTATGATGTTTCTAATCACATTTCATTTTGTGCCTTTTACAACAGCACTACCAGAACTTTCAGTTGTTGGGTGCCTGGTGTTTGCTGAACAGCCTTTTCCTCATACTGAACCTCAGTCCTACTGCCTTGGCTGATAAGGGGAAAGAGAAAGACCCACTAGCTGCTCTCCGAGTGAGAGACATTCTTTCTCGTACAAAAGAGGGAGTGGGCTCTCCCAAGCTGGGGCCTGGCAAAGGGTAGGTATTTGCTGTGATTGTCACTTCTGTAGTATTGTGCTGGGTTATATTTCCTTGTTGTTTCATAGTGACCACAACCCATATCAGGGTTTGGTTTGTTTCAGTGCTGGGAATTGAACTGTGAGCTTTTGGTGTGCAAAGTACATATTCTATTCCTGAGTTATACCATCAACCTCCTCTCCACATCAATAGTAGAAAAACTCACCTATTAATCTAGTTTGAATTTCATGACAGTGGAGGTTATGATCTTCATCTCCTAGTTCCATTCATAGCTGTGAGATTTTTGGATGTTAGTGGTTCCCTTTATCCTACATGCTTATCTCTTATGAGAATATCTGTAAATGTATTCAAGTTTTTGTTTTGTTGTTGTTGTTGTTGTCATTTATCTCAGAAAAAAGTTTCTATTACAAAGTAGGCTACTTGACATGGAGTCCAGTACTCACTCATGTTTATCCTGAAGTGAGGATATTGTCAGATCATCCTGGATTGCTTCCTGAAATGTTTGCCACTACATTAATAAAGTCTGGGCAGGACTCCTTGCTGTATTATTTGGAATGTGGAGATATGATTCATGTGATGCTCAAGGTTTTGTTCTCTAAGCCCAGGCATTGCTAGGGATTATTTGTTTTAGTCCGTTCTGGGTACTATTGTAGGCAACAGTGATACAGCACTAAACAGAGCAACCTCCTTGCCTCTATGAATTTTACTTTCTAATAGAAGAAACAGTGAACAAATATGCCAACAAGTACATTGTAGATTATCATAGTGTTGTGAAGAACAGATAGAACAAGGGGCTAATGAGTAGCAGTGTTGGTTACTTGAGATAGGAAGATCTGGAAATGCTTCTGAAGATGAGATTTTGAGACCATATGGAAAGTGGCAGGGTGAACCATGCAGTGTTCAGGTCTGAGCAGAGAGTGTGAGATTGGTATTTCTAAGGATCAGTGATGATAGTATGGCTAGAATAGAAAAATTGAGCAGGGAAGGTAGAAGAAAATTAGGTCAGAGAGGTAGCCAGCAGCCGGATGATGCAAAACCCACAGGAGAGAGGTGACACAATCTGTTATTAGAGATCTGTAATCCAGCTACTGTGTGGAGTCAAGACTGCAGAGGCATAGACAGGACAGAGGGTGCAGTCAGGAAACTAGTGAGTCATGCCAAATGAGAGTAGTAGGTATTGTAGAATAGGGTAGTGGTGGGGCAGGCACAGAAAAATGGTCCACTTGTACGTTTGGGAGGTACAGCTGATTGGATTTGCTGACAGCTATTGAATGTGAAAATAGATTGGAAGTGGCGCTGTAGCTCAAGTGGTAGAGCACACTCGCCTTGAGCTGAAGAGCTGAGGGACAGCGCCCAGGCCCAGAGTTCAAGCCCCATGACCAAAAAAAAATAGTATCAAGGTTTTTTGATTTAAGTAACTGGGTTATGTGTTTACATGCTAGCAAACAGTTTAGAAGTTAATTGGTAGGAAAGGGGAAAAGAAATTCTTTGACATTGGTCATGGTGAGTTGAGATGACAGAGCTGTGTATGAGCTGTTGGCTGGCAGCTGGATTTGTAAATCTGGAGTTAAGGACATCAACAAAACATTGACTGGAATGTTATGTTGAATAAAGATGGACACATTTCCAAGAGATAGGGAGTAGATACTCATGCAAACATGTCAGGTTGTATCTAGAATGACCATAAGAGGGCATTTGACATGGCTGGAGATACCAAAGCAGCTTCTCTGAGCTGAATCTGAAAGAGGCATTGATACTGGGTGAACAGGGAGGCAAGAACATTCCAGAGCAAACATTAGATTGTGATTTTATGAGGGGCTGTCTTTACTTGGCCTTGTAATTGTAAATACCAAAAGACACATCTTTTAAGTATCAGTTACACTTATGAAATGGCTATTGTTTATTTGAATTTTAAAAGAATACTATGTACATAGTATGTTACCAGCCATAGAGACAAGCATTCCTTAAAAGGAAAATAATCTACCAAATTCTATACTCAAATAGTAACCATACATAAGTGTAAAATATTTAAATTTATACAAATGAGATCACATAATTGAGCACTCATGGCTCATGCTTATAATATTAGCTAATCAGGAGATTGAGATCTGAGGATCAAGATTTAGAGCTATTTCAGGCAGAAAATTCCTCAAAATTGTAAGCAGTAAAAAGACAGGTATAACTGTGGCTTCAGTGGTAGAGTGGCAGCCTTGAACTGAAAATGCCAATCTAGATTGAGCTGTATTTAAAATACTATAGACATCTTTTTAGTGACATTGTTGTAGAGTGGATAGAATTTTTCCTGATGGCTGGCATAATTACTAAGTTTATTCCACATTTTTTGTTTTGATAAATCATGCTTTTCTTTTTTTTTCTTTTCAAATCCATGAGGGATTTGAACATAGGACCTTACCTTGAGCCATGTTCCCAGATCTTTTTTGTCTTAGTTTTTTTTTTTTTTTTTTGAGGGAGAGGTTGGGTCTTAAAGTATTGTCTGAGGCTAACCTCAGATAGTGATCTTCCAGTGGCCTTTTACGTGGCTGTGATAATAGCTGGCATCACTACCCTCAGTTTATTTATTGAGATAGATTTCACTAACTTGAACTATGATCTTCCTGATTTCTATCATCTTCTGAGTAACTGGGGTTACAGGTTTGAGCCACTTTGTTCTCCTCAAGGCTGGAGCTCCACCACTTGAGCCACACCTCCTTTTCTAGCTTTTGCTGGTCAAGTGGTGATAAGAGTCTCTTGGATTTGTCTTCAGGCTCTCAGTAGCTAGGAGTATAGGCATGAGCCATTGGCACCTGACACAGGGTTATGCTTTTAAATAAACCTCTTTTTTTTTTTGTTGGTAGTGGGGCTTGAACTCTGGGCCTGAGCTCTGTCCCTCAGTTCTTCAGCTCAAGGCTAGCGCTCTACCACTTGAGCTACAGTGCCACTTATGGTTTTCTGGTGGTTTATTGAAGAGTTTCATGGACTTTCCTGCCCGGGCTGGTTTTGAACCATGATCCTCAGATCTCAGCCTCCTGAGTAGCTAGGATTACAGGTGTGAGCCACTGGCGCCTGGCTAGATAAAACTCTTGAAACATAAACTTCTGGAAACTTATTTAACTTTCTTCTAGGAGGGAAGTGTTACAAGTGCAATTATGAAGACAAAGGGCATAATATTTGAAGTGTTGAAGTATTTTGCCAAAGTTCTCTCCCGATTCAGTCATACTGTTTGTATTCCTGTCAGCAGCTGTGTGTGCATGTGTATGTTTACTCATGTTCTTTTTGGCACTGGGTATTATTAGTGTTCATGCTTACTAATCTCAGGAGAAGAAATATATTGCTCTTATTTATATTTCATAGATTACTGTTATTATTTCTCTTAATTTATTGGTCATTTGTGTGTTGGTTTTTTTTTTTTTTGTTTGTTGGTTTTTTTTTTTTTTTTTGAGTAGGTTGCTGGTACTTGTCTTTGAACTCAGGACCTTGCTAGGCAGGCACTCTACCACTTAAGTCATACTCCCATGCCTTTTTGCTTTTTTTATTTCTCAAATAAGATCTTGAGTTTAGGTCCAGGTTGGCTTGACTACTATCTGCCTACTGTGGCTTCCTGCATAGCTGGGATGACAGGCACACACACCACCACCATGCCCATCTTTTATTGAGGTCTTATAGTAAATTTTTTTTGCCTGCCAACCACAAGCTGTGATCCTCTATTCTCCACTTCCTTAGTAACTTGGATTTCTGGCCTGAGTCTCTGTTCCTTTGTTTCTTCCTTTATACTACTACCTTAAATTCTTTGCCTCAATTTTTTTCTCTGTTTCTTGTCTCCTTTTTGTATTGCTTTACATGCCTGCTATATATTAGATGTATTAACCTTTTATTTTGTAGGGTGCTGGTGACTCATGGCTGTAATCCTAGCTACTAAGGAGGCTGAGATCAGAGGATCTTGTTTCAAAGCCAGTCTAGGAGTCTGTGGGACTTTTATCTCCAAATAACCACCAGAAAACCAGAAGTGGCACTCTGGCTCAAGTGATAGGGCTCTAGCGTTGAGCTGAATGAAGAGTGCAGGGACAACACCCAAACTTAGAGTTCAAAGTTCAAGCTCCATGACCTACAAAAACAAAAACCAAAACCACCTTTTATGTACATTTTTTACAAAAAAATTTTATTCAAATACAATTTGCATACTACAAAGATCTTGTTTATTTTCAGTTATTTTATATGGGCTGGTAATTTTAATCTTTCTTCAAAGAATGTTTTTCAGAAGTTCAGTTGCCACTTAAGTCTTAGCACCTTCAGCAGCTCTGTTACTGTAGAATAGTCTCTTCTGATACAGAAGTTCTTGCCCTGAAGCCTGTAGATACTTCTGGCAATTTTGGGTTATATATAGTTATTTTCCTTCTGGAGAAAGGTCCGTAAGTCTTCCAAGGACTAAATCCCCAGAATGGCAAGAAAAGTGTTTCTGAGGTTATTATTCATTCTAATTATTTTCTTTGTGTAGGCATCAGGGCTTTGGGGTGCTCTCAGTCATATTAGCAAACCATGCCATCAAGCTATTGACATCTTTGTTTCAAGACCTGCAGGTGGAGGCTCTACACAAGGTGAGGAGGTTGTTCTTGTGGGGAATCGGGTACACTTCTGGGGACTAGCTTGACCCAGCAGCATGGAGGGTTGCTTCTGGCTGAGTCATATGGTTAATTGTCTTTTGTTATTGTTACTTTCAGGGTTGGGAGTCTGATGGTCCCCCTGCGGTCCTAAGCATTATGGCCCAGAGCACCTCCATACAGAGGATTCAACGGCTGATCGACTCTGTCCCACTGATGAACTTACTACTGACATTACTCTCAACTTCATACAGAAAGGTGGGTGGGAAGTAAGACACAGATAATTTGGAAGAACTTGCACAATCTCAAAATAAATAAGACCTTTGTAAGTGCAAATTTGTAGTAATGATTTTGAAGAGGAAAGGAATTCTTTCTTGTAATTTTTTTTTTTTGCGGGGGAGTCCGGTCGTGGGGCCTGAACTCTGGGCCTGGGTGCTGTCCCTCAGATCTTCAGCTCAAGGCTAGTGCTCTACCACTTTAGCCACAATGCCACTTCCGGCTTTTTTCTTTTTGCTTATGTGGTGCTGAGGAATCGAACCCAGGGCCTCATGCATGCAAGGCAAGCACTCTACCACTGAGCCACCGTCCCAGCCCCTCTTGTAATGTTTTTGAAGAGGAAAGGAATTCTTTCTCTTTCTCTCTCTCCTTCATTCCTTCCTTCCTTTTCTCCTTTCCTTTTTAATTTTCTTTCTTACCATCTACATATCTGATCAATCAGTCAGTCCCTACAACAGTCTGTCCATCTATCAAGATGAGGTCTCACTACATTGTTTTTCATCTGCTGGCCCCAATTCCTGGGCTTAAGTAATACTTCTCCCTCAGCCCCCTGAGCTTGGTCATTTGCTTGTTAAGGATTTTTTAAATTTTCTTTTGGTAGTTCTGGAATTTGAACTTGTTTTGTTCGCTTATTTGGACTGCCACTTGAGCCATGCCTCCAGTCCTGCTTTTTCCTGGTTATTTTGGATAGAATGCCTTGACTTTGTCTGGGCTGGTTTTGAACTGTAAACCTCAAGATCTCACCTGTAAGTAGCCAGTGTTACAGACAGGAGCCATGGGGCTTGAACTTTGTCTCTCAGCTAGCTCTTCAGCTCAAGGTTCTACCACTTGAGCCACAGTGCTACTTTTTTTTTTTGGTTGGTCATGTGGCTTGAACTCTGGGCTTGGGCATTGTCCCTGCGCTCTTCAGCCCAAGGCAAGCACTCTACCTCTTGAGCCACAGTGCCACTTCCTACTTCCAGTTTTTTTTGGTAGTTTATTGGAGATGAGTTTCACGGACTTTCCTGCCCAGGCTGGTTTTGAACCATGATCCTCAGATTTCAGCCTCCTGTGTAGCTAGGATTAGCGGCATGAGCCACCGGCGTCCACCTTGTTTTTTTTTTTTTTTTTGTGCTAGTCCTAGGGCTTGAACTCAGGGACTGGGTGTTGTCCCTGAGCTTTTGCTCAAGGTTGGCACTCTACTACTTGTGCCACAGTTCCATTTTCGACTTTTTGGTGGTTAGTTGGAGGTGAGTCTCCTGGTGCCAGTGCTGGGGCTCACATCTGTAATTCTAGCTACTTAGGAGGCTGAGATCTGAGGATTACAGTTCAAATCCAGTCTGGGCTGGAATGTCATTGAGACTCTTATCTCTAATGAACCACCAGAAAATGGGAAGTGGAGTTGTGGCTTAAAGTTGTGGAGTGTTAATCTTGAACAAAAGAGCTCAAGGACTGGGCTCAGGCCCTGAGTTCAAGCTCCGTGACTCACCAAAAAGAAAATTCTCATGGGCTTTCTTGCCAAGGCTGTCTTTGATTGCAGCCTTCTAAATAGGTAGGACCAGCACCTGGTGAGAGGAATTCTTAATTTGGTAGGACTTATAAAAACTTTTGAGTAAGTTATTGGTTATCAGTGTTACTTGTTGTTTTGAGCTGATTAGCATAACATTCTGAAGCAAAAGCTTAGAAGCTGTGGAAATGCTCTTTTTTTTCTTCCTCCAAATCTTGGCCATGTGACTAGTTGGAGTGCTTTTGTAAGATAAAGCTGTGAGACTCCTGAGGAAAGAGGCTTTTATTAGAAGTAGCTCTCAGATTTAGAACAAAGAATAGGGCTAGGGTTAGGCCTCAAGTGGTAGAGAGCTTGCCTAGGTAAATGAATGAGCTAGGGAGAAGCCTTGTTGTGTGGCTATGAGGTTAATTAAGCAGGTTGGCTCTGGTTTTGTTATTGCCAGTTATGGTAACCTTGTTTCCTAGGCATGTGTCCTACAGCGGCAGAGGAAGGGCTCCATGAGCAGTGATGCCAGTGCCTCCACCGACTCTAACACCTACTATGAGGACGATTTCAGCAGTACCGAGGAGGACAGCAGTCAAGGTGGGCCAGAGTCAGAGTGCCACAGCTTCTTTTTTTTTTTTTTTGTCGGTTATGGGGCCTGAACTCTGGGGCCTGGGCGCTGTCCCTCAGCTCTTCAGCTCAAGGCTAGCATTCTACCACTTGAGCCACAGCACCACTTCTGGCTTTTTCTGCTTATGTGGTGCTGAGGAATCGAACCCAGGGCCTCATGAATATAAGGCAAGCACTCTACCACTGAGCCACCTTCCCAGCCTGCCACAGCTTCTTTAGTACCATTTTGTTTCACTTACATCTCTATATTATGTACACTTAAAGAAGATATATTATTTAAAAACAAATTGAGCATAAAAGACTGAATGATGATATTACATTTAGCCAAGTCCATGTTGCTTTTCATTACTTTCAACTAGATGGAAGTATACCTCAGTTTACATGTGTTGTCCTATGTTGGAACCTCTGCTCTCAGCTTTCCTAATGCAATTTAGAAGATCTTGTGGAAAGTGTTTGGTGTAGCTGTTATGGTAGCTTTGTAGCCTAGGCGTGTGTTGGAGGGGAAATAAAAGCTGCTGTCCTGATTAACACTTCCTCCTGCCCTAGTTTGGCGAGAGTAAAGAAGATAAACATCTCTCAGATCCCTCTTCATAGCCAAGTGTATGAAATACCAAGAGAATTGTGACTCTCATCATTTTGGGGGTGACAGATTTGTTCTGGAAGTTGCTTGTAGTCAGTAAAATAAAGTGAAGTTGTCTCTCTTCTCTCCCATTTTATCAAATAATTTTTATTGACTATAACCATGTATAATGAAATATTCTCATTTTCTGTATACATTTGGATAAATTTTGGCCCATTGATGCAGGCTTGCATCCATCATTTGGATATCCTTGTGTTCATTTTGAGTTAGGTAGGCACTTTTATTTATATAGTTATTTTTTATTTTTTTGCCAGTCCTGGGACTGTTTTTTTTTCTGTTGGTCGCGGGGCTTGAGCCTGGGCGCTGTCCCTTAGCTCTTCAGCTCAAGGCTAACACTCTACCACTTGAGCTACAGTGCCACTTTCGGTTTTCTGGTGGTTAATTGGAGATCAGAGTCTGTTTGAGCAGGCTTTCTTTTTTTTTTTTTTTTGTTGGTCGTGGGGCTTGAACTCTGGGCCTGGGCGCTGTCCCTCAGCTCTTCAGCTCAAGGCGAGCACTCTACCACTTGAGCTACAGTGCCACTTCCGGTTTTCTAGTGGTTTATTGGAGATAGGAGTCTCAGGTCTTTCCTGCCCCGGGCTGGCTTTAACCTCGATCCTCAGATCTCAGCCTCCTGAGTAGCTAGGATTACAGGCGTGAGCCACCAGCGCCAGGCTTTGAGCAGGCTTTCAACCACGATCCTCAGATCTTGCCTCCTGAGTAGCTAGGATGACAGGCATGAGCCACTGGCACCTGGTTCCCTAAGCTTCTTTTGCTCAATACTTGCATTCACCACTTGAGCCACAGCCCTACTTTTGGCTTTTTGTATTTATATGGTATTGAGGAATTGAACCCAGGGTTTCACATGCTAGGCAAGCAGTCTACCACTAATCCACGTTCCCAGCCTAGGTAGGCACGTTTAGAAAGCCAGTACATCAGAAGAAGTTTGTGTTTTTTTTTTTTTTTTTTTTTTTTTACTAACTTTGTGACTTCTCTTTCTGTTTAGATGATGACAGTGAGCCTATTTTGGGGCAGTGGTTCGAGGAGACCATCTCTCCCAGTAAAGAGAAAGTGGCGCCTCCACCTCCACCCCCGCCCCCTCCGCTGGAGAGCTCTCCTCGGGTTAAAAGCCCCAGTAAGCAGGCCCCTGGTGACAAGGGCAACATTTTGGCTAGTCGAAAAGATCCTGAGTTGGTAAGAGTGGATTTCTGAGATTTAGTGGGAGAGGAATTGAGTAGAACAGTTGTGAAGGGAGAAGATTACTTGAACTGAAAGTTTTTTTTTAGTTTGGATAGCTCTAATGTATAAATACATTTTGTTTAGGCTTATCACTGTTTAATCAAATAGTTTTTATACTTGTTTCTTTGAATGATGGTTATCACCATAGGCTTTAGAACTGGATTTAAGTGGTTTGACTACTTAGTGGCTTTGGGCTATTATCTGAGCTTCTCCAAGCCTTAGTTTTGTCTCCTTGTGTCAAAGTTATTGTACTTGCTTCTGAGGGCAGGTGAAAAAGAATATTTTTCAACTCTTTAGTATAGGCTCGATACATCATAGATGCTTACTAATTTGGTTTGGACATTTACTGATAATTCAGGCTTTGTTTTGATAACTAGTCAGTAAATGAGTCGGGTACAAGTTCATATAGCTTAGACTAGTTAGGCCTATGGTAGCTCATGCCTGTAATCCTAGCTACTCAGGAAAGCTAAGATAGGAGAATTGTGATTCAGTGCCAGTCTGGGCAGAAAAGTCCATGAGGCTCTTACCTTCACTTAAATAGCACAAAGCCAGAAGTGGAGCTGTGGCGTGCGTGGTAAAGTACCAGTCTTGAGTGAAAAAGCCATACAAGAGCTAAAGGCTCTGAGTTCAAGTCTTGGTGCTAGCATACATCAAAAATGAAAGGTTTATGGATATAAAGCATTTATACAATAAAACAATATGTTTCTACAATAGAGAGTTAAAGAGCTAGGAATCCTATATGTGTGTAATAGTCATTAATATAGGTGTCCGGAACAAAGGACAAAAGTCCCTTGGGGAAGAAGAAAAATCGGTCAGTTACTTGGAAATTTGGTGACTTCTGAAGCACAGTATTTTCTGAAGTCTATTCTGTTTGATTGGTGTACAATTTTGTGTAGCTGGTAAATTCTCATGATCTTAGTCCTATTTTAGCAAGTTTTAAATGTGATTCTTTAATTCTTTTTTTTTTTTGCATGAGACTAATGGCTTATTTTGTTTGTCTTAGACTTTGTAAGTGTTTGGATCTGCAACTCTGATAGGAGCTATTTTGTATGCTTTTTAGTTTCTAGGTCTGGCTTCCAACATTTTGAACTTCATTACCTCTTCCATGCTAAACTCTCGGAACAATTTCATCCGAAACTATCTGAGCGTGTCTCTTTCCGAACACCATATGGCCACCCTGGCCAGTATCATCAAGGAGGTGGACAAAGATGGACTCAAGGGTCAGTAGATGGGCTTGCTCGAGTTTCCCTGTAGAGTTTGGCTGTTGGCAGGGTATGATGTCTCCATCCCATAGATGCTGGAATAACTGGTTTCCCGTCTGTCTTAAGGTTCATCAGATGAAGAGTTTGCTGCTGCTCTCTATCACTTCAACCACTCTCTGGTGACCTCTGACCTCCAGTCCCCAAATCTCCAGGTTTGTGTGCATTGTGCCCCCAAGGCCAGGAGCTCTTCAGGTTCATAGACTGCACTTGTCCTCAATCACCTCACAGGAAATAGCATAAAGAAATTGTTGTACTGTGTCCCTATGCCTTAATTAAGGATCATTTCATCAAAATGGAAATGTCCTTTGCCCTCAACTTAGTAAGCTTAAAGAAAAGGAAAACAGTTCAAAACAAAAACCCCACAAGGCTAAAATATGCTAGTAAAAAAGTAGACACAGTGGATAAAAAAGCAATTTATAAAAACACACTTACATTAAAATGCCCACAAACATAGAGAAATTTTTCATCAACAGAAATGGAAAAACAAACTAAGATGCATTTTAAAGAATCAGTCCAGGGGGGAGGGGGAGAGGCTGGGAAGGGAGGTGAAGGGTAAACAAAGGAGGAGGCTGCAATGCTTGGTAAGAAATGTATGCATTATCCTGCCCATGTAATTGTAACCCCTCTGTATAGTATGTTCACAAATAAAAAAAAAAAAGAATCAGTCCAATTGCAGGTGATGCAAGCTCCCATATCTAGTCTTGCTACTAGCTTATCATCAAAACAAAGGCTAGCACCTTGACCATGAGCTTCTAGTCTCATGGCCCTCTGTACCCACTGAACTAGGTAATGCCTGTAATTCTAAACTTGAAATTTCTAATTTTCTGTTTCCATATATATCAATATTCCTTAAAAAATATAGTTTCATAAACAGATCTTTCTAGGCATTTTTTTCCTCCACTTATTTTTAACCATATTGAAATTCTCATCTATGGCTCTCCCCCTACTGTTCTACTGATACCCAGAATCCTAAATTTCACTTTGCTAATTTCCTATTTTCATATGTGTGTGGCCGGGGGTGGGGGTGGGGATGGGGGTGGGGGTGGTGGGGGGGGGTGGTGGTGGTGCTTGAACTCAAGAACTGGGCTCTGCCCTTGAGTCTCTTTGTGCTCATGGCTAGCGTCCTACCATTTGAGCCACAGCGCCACTTCTGCTTTTTGCGTGGTTAATTGGAGATAAGAGTCTCACGGAGACTTTTCTGCCCAAGCTGGCTTCAAACCATGATCCTCAAATCTCAGCCTCCTAAGTAGCTAGGATTATAGCTGTTAGCCACTGGTGCCCAGCAAAAAAATTGCTTTATAACATGTAGATCTTTCCAGGCATTCTTTTTTTTTTTTTTACTTAATAGTAATCATAAGCATTGTATTGCCAAGATTTACTTGTGTTTCTGTGGTTATTGTAGGACTGCTCGACATTCCATTGTGCTTGTGACTGTACCAATTTGTCTCTTCCACTGAAATACATTTAAATTGTGTCCAGTTTTATTGATGCTCCAGGTTTTGCTATCTTTTATATTAACACTGTCCTTACTCCTCTATGGTATTTCTTCCACATGTCCCACATTCTCTTGGGAATTTAATTTGGAATAGAATCAGTCTCTAACCATATAAATTTTACTTGTATCAGTAGTATATCAGAGATTGTATGGATTCATACCCTTTCTCAATACAAAACAATATCCTTTTTTTTTTTTTCTTTATATCTAGCCCTCCTAGGTATTTTGTTTTGGGCTGTTTTTGAGGTTTAAATTGAGGATATTGTGTTTCCAGATGAGTAATCTACTACCTGTGCTATGCTATTCCCTCTTTTTTTGGTTGAAGTATTTTTTGGATAGTATCTTGGAATTTTTTGCCTGGGGCCAGTTTTAGGCTACAGTTTTTCTACTTAAAGCTTCTTATGTAGTTGGGATTGTAGGCATAAGCTACTATCTTATTTGAGGTTGAGGTAGTATCTTGCTAACTGCCTGGGCACATCTTGAATCTGAATCCTCTCTATCCCTTTTTCTTCTTCTTCCTCCCTTCCTCCACTTCTTCAATAGCTGTGATTGCAACTGTGTGTCACTGTGCCTGGTTAGCCATCATCACTTGATATTAATTTTGTTTTTGGAGAGGGGAGATAGTACTGAAGTTCAACTCAGTGCTTTGAACTTGCTAAATAGATACTCTACCACTTGAGCCCTCCACCAGGTACAATACCTTTCTTAATATGTTCAAAGTTATTAGTTCTTAAACTTTATTGTACATGAATATTCCTGAGGAGGGCTGGGAAGGTGGCTCAGTGGTATAGTGCTTGCCTTGCATGCATGAGGCCCTGGGTTCAATTCCTCAGCACCACATAAGCAGAAAAAGCTGGAAGTGGTGCTGTGGCTCAAGTGATAGAGCACTAGCCTTGAGCTGAAGAGCTAAGTGCCCAGGCCCAGAGTTCAGGCCCCACGACACACACACACACACACATAAACACACACGCACGCACAGACACACACACATGCACACACACACACACTCACACTCACACTCTTCCTGAATAGCTTGTTGAAAATGTAGATTTTGGGGATTGGTGGTAAAGCCCTGGGCAGGGTGCTTGCTTGATGTGGGTGATCTTGGATTTGATCTCTGGTACTTCAAAAAGCGAAACAGTGGCTGGGAATGTGGCTCAGTGGTAGAGTGCTTGCCAAGCATGCATGAAGCCCTGGGTTCAGTTACTCAGCACTACTACAGAAAAAGCCGGAGGTGGCACTATGGCTTAAGTGGTAGTGTGCTAGCCTTGAGCTGAAGAGGTGAGGGACAGCACCCAGGCCCAGAGTTCAAGCCCCACGGTGCTTAAAAAAAAACCAAAAAAACAAAATGCAGACTCCTGGTTAGCCTGATATTCCTTCCCTTAATATTTACTCATGTATGTTTCTGATAATTTTCTAGAGGTCATTTTGGAAAAATGTTTGGTTATTCATTAGATTATTTCAGCGGTGAATGTGGAAGCTCATGCCTATAATGTCAGCACCAGGAAGCTGGGTTACATAGCTACCCTGAGTTACATAGCAAAGACATTCTCTCAAAATAAATAAGTAAAAGCATTATTTCAGCAGATCCTCAGATTCATGATATACTTTTATCTACTTCATAATATTTTAAGATGGTATACTTTCACAAATCCAAACTACTTGTGAAATTCATGGAAAACAATACTTTTGTGACTTAAAAAGATGGTTATGAAACTCATTAATATTTACCTACTCTTAAATGCAAAATTTTATCTTGGCAGGAGAGGAAATAAAAATTGAGTAGAAATGTTGGTGACCTACTTAAGCAAGGGAAGACAACACTTCAGTGAGCATATACCCACAATGTCTCCTTTGACTAGAGGGCCAAATTGTCACACCACACTGGCCAGCTCCTATCCGAATGCACGTTATTCAGGGAAGTTTTGAAGCTCACAACTTAGTCCTTCTTGCTTAAACTTGTCCAAAGAAGAGGGAAGAATATTGTACTTTGGAGAGGAGTTCTTAGGCCTCCTGTAATGATGATATGCTTTTGGCATTGAAAAAATAGCTATAGTTAAAGCTTGTATGGACATGCAGCCTGTTTGTCCTAACTGGTAGAACAATCTTCAAGTAGCCCTTCTCATTCTGTCTCTAAACATGAGACTTTTAAGTTTTCACCTTAAGCTTTTTTGCTATGATTTAAGAAAGCAGAGGATAGTTTATTTACTTTGTTATTGGCTCTCCTACTTGGGTACCATTTCTTTTGAGTAATGTACAAAGCATCCTTACTTATAGTTGCCCAACTTTTATGGCTAGACATACCATTGGTGCACACCAAAGGAACTTAATAAAATGTATTCTAATCTGTAAAAGAAAACAAATTATATCTTCAAATGTTCTCCAGAGAACAGTGACCTGACTCACTGCTTAGAGAAGAAATTAACATGTGCTTATTGATAGTCTTTGAACATGTTAGCAGGTAGGATTTTATATTGAAGGGCTGGGGAGAGCATGTGCTTGACATGACATCACAAGTGAAGGGGTAATGGAGCTGCAGTGCTGGTTTGCAACATTTGATGTTAGGATGTTCTTGATACATTTCCCCCGTAATTACAGTTGTGTCACATAGGTATGTCTGTGTGTCAGTCTTTTTGATGTAGTTCAATAGGTTTACTTTTAAAAGAAATTCTTTCTTTGGAATTAGGAGTTAAGGAATTGTTTATGGCTTACCATTTAGTGTTGAGTCTTGTTCATCAGCCTCCTCCTTAGTAATGGAGCATGTAATACCCAGCTCCTGTTAACTCTGCATATTCAGTGCAAAAGTCCTTCGCACAGTGAGTGGATACAGCTATGTACCTGCGTAGTATGTGGAAACTGTTCTTGAGACCTGTGACATTTGAAATAATAATTATATCCAAGGATTGGGGTTATCAAAGATGTTTTAAAAGTATTCAATTTGGCAGATAGAGAAACATATCCTGCTTTTCAATGTAATATGGTGTGTGTGTGTGTGTGTGTGTGTGTGTGTATCTATGTATCTGTGTGTCTATATTTGAGAAAATAGAGGCATCTGGCATAACTGAGCTGAAACTATAGCTTATTAGGAGTGTCTTCCACAGGTGGAAGCAGAGAGCAGCCTTCATTAGTTCTACATGCCTTAGCATCTCACAAGCAGAATTTCCTTAATTATACTGTTTGAGTTATTGGGTCTCCCCTATTGGGTGTTACTGGTTTTACGTAACTCACTGTGAAGGAAAACCATTGGCTATTGCATTATATTTCATGCTTTGTCCATTTTGAAAACGATCCTGATTTTGTTACCTCCTATCACTTCTCCCTTCTCAAGCCCATTTCAATTAAGCCATTTCCAGGTGTTATTAGGGTTACATGAGAGGTTTTTCATATTTGTTGAACTAAATGATTTTTCTCAGCACCACTTCAGTCTGAATTTCTGGGTCTTTCTTCAGTCTGTCCTTTTTTGAACAACAAGCATTGGAGAGCATGAGTAACCTTTTCGCCTTGTCTCTTTCACTCAGAACACACTGCTGCAGCAGCTGGGAGTTGCTCCCTTTTCTGAGGGCCCTTGGCCCCTTTACATTCACCCGCAAGGCCTCTCTGTGCTTTCACGCCTCCTGCTCATCTGGCAGCATAAAGCTGGCACGCAAGGTGACCCTGATGTCCCTGAATGCCTTAAAGTTTGGGACAGGTAAGATAACTCCAAGGGAGGATATGTTTTTACTGTTTTTGTTTGTTGGACTTTTTATAGTTCACTTATAGTTTTGAGATGTTTTTACAATGATGTATTCAGAGTAGAAGTGGGGGAGAAATGATGGGAAGATGCTTTTCTAAAAAGAAGTGTAGGGCTGGGAAGGTGGCTCAGTGGTAGAGTGCTTGCCTTGCACGCATGAAGCCCTGGGTTCAATTCCTCAGCACCACATAAGCAAAAAGAAAAAAGCTGGAAGTGGTGCTGTGGCTCAAGTGGTAGAGTGTAGCCTTGAGCTGAAGAGCTGAGGGACAGCACCTAAGCCCAGAGTTCAGGCCTCACGACTGGACCCAAAAAATAAATAAATAAAAAATAAAAAGAAGTGTAACAACTGTTGTCTGGAAACAGAATTTTCTTGTAGCTATAGGGGATTTAGTTATGTTTTCTTTTTTTTTTTGTTTGTTGGTTTTTGTGTTTTTTTTTTTTTTTTTTTTTTTGGGTCCAGTCATGGGGCCTGAACTCTGGGCCTGGGAGCTGTCCCTCAGGTCTTCAGTTCAAGCCCAACGCTCTACCACTTGAGCCACAGTGCCACTTCCGGCTTTTTTCTTTATGTGGTGCTGAGGAATTGAACCCAGGGCCTCAGGCATGCAAGGCAAGCGCTGTACCACTGAGCCACCCTCCCAGCCTGTTTTTTTTTTTTTTTGCTTTTTTGCCAGTTCCAGGGGGCTTGAAATTCAGTGTGCTCGGCTTGTTCATGGTATATGCTCTACCATTTGAGCTACACCTCCAATCCAGCTTTCTGTTGTTTGTTTGAAGTTGGAGCCTTGCAGACTTTTCTCCCTGAGCTAGCTTTCATCGCAGTCCTAGCATTATAGGCTGTCCAGCCAATGGTGCCTTGCTGGTTATGATTATTAAACAGTCAGAATCTTGATCATAACCAATTTCATTGTGACCTGGTTTTTGAAAAAGAGGCAGCAGGAAAACTAGCTCTGCTTTCATCATGAAACCACTGAGAGTGACTTACTGTCTCTTTTGGATAAATTTTAAAGAACTTGTTTCCTTGGGGGAAGTTCAGATTAATCATCTAAATCCTCCTTAGATGGACCTGTATTTGCCATTTTTGTTTACATGGTTAGGAGTCTTCAAAGCAGTTTGTTTTCTAAAAGGCTTTGGTTTTCTAGTCCTCATTTTAGGATCAAATAGCTCTAATGTTGGATTTGAGAAATTGTAAACCTCCTCGAATGCCAGAGGCCCATTGTGTTTTCTGGTGGAATATTGCAACAAGGCTGGGAACTGGGGGTGGTGGGGTACTGTGAGGGAAGGTTGCCCTTATTAAAACACAAATCTCCTAATAGCCAAAGGCAGTGGAAACAGCTGGCTGTGCTCATTCCTTTATTTATTTATTCCTTTATTTATTTTTATAAAAGCTCTTCTGATGAGTTCTTGAAAGTTAAATTTTATGTTACTTTTGAACCTAATTTACTATTTAAAAAAAAATACAAAGGGCTTCAATCCCTGATGTCTGGTTATGAATACAATGCATCAATCAATGTCATGTCACCTCTTCCATCATTTTCCCCCATCTTTTCTCATCCCATCCTTACCCTAAAGTTATGTAGTTCAGTTTTTATATAATGTAGATTGAATGTAATGACTGCATTTGCTCACCTTCCTCCCTCCATATGTATGCCCTCCCCCTTTTTGTTGAACATGTTTCAACTTCCTGGTATTTATTTTGTAGTATGTTTTGTTAGTTGCTAGTGGTGTTACATATACCATTGGACTCCTCCCCTACGTATACCATCCTTTAGTCAATTTGTTTGTGTATATATGCTATATATGTTATCATGTTTGTATTTTAAATCTAACTTCCAAATAGAAGAGAAAAACATGCACTGTTTGTGTCTCTGAGCCTGACTTCACCTAACATAGGTTTACACATTTCCCTGCAAATGACATACTATTCTTTTAGATTGATGAGTATAATTCCATATGTATAAATATGTATTAACTTAAGTCATGTCATGATTCTGCTAGAATTATAATTAACTTAGACAATCTGGGGCTGAGGGGGTGCTCAGTGGTAGGTACTACTAGGTTCAATATCTAGGACTCTGTTTTTCAATATATAGGAAAAAGAATTGATTTTATTTTGTTCTAATCCTGGGGCTTGAACTCAGGCTGGTCACTGTCTCTGAGATTTAGTGCTGGGGGCTGGTGTTCTGGAATCTTAGCTCTATTTTCAAATTTTTGGAGGTTAATTGGAAATAAGAGTCTCACAAACTTGCTCCTGGGCTTGAACTCAGGGCCTGGACATTGTCCCTGAGCTGCTTTTGCTCCAGGCTAGCATTCTACCACTTGAGCCATGGCACTACTTCCAGCTTTTTCTGTTTATGTGATGCTGTGGAATCAAACCCAGGGCTTCATGCACATGAGACAAACACTATACCACTGAACCACATTCCAGCCTCTTCAGCTGGCTTTGAACTGTAATCCTCAGATCTCAATCTCCTGACTAGGTAGATATAAGCCACAGGCACCCAGCTAATTGACTTGGCTTTGTTGCCCAGGTTTACTGAGTACACAGCCACAACACTACCTTCCTTGGGGAGTTTGTAGTTCTTCCTTTTGTCTCCAGTGGCAAGTGGGTACTGACAGAAACTGCTGTGGCCATAGTTGAGAGAATTGGCTTTTTTTGTAGTCAGAACTTACTTTGTGTCTTGTCTTTTCATGCCTAGGTAGAAGATGTTCAACCCTTCCTTCCGATACTGCACATTGTAACTGTGGCAGACTTATGCTGCTTTCCCACAACACCTGTCCCTCTTCTTTGTGCTAGGTTTTTGTCTACAATGAAGCAGAATGCCCTACAAGGGGTAGTGCCCAGTGAGACAGAAGATCTGAATGTAGAACACCTGCAGCTGCTACTCCTCATTTTCCACAACTTTTCTGAGAAAGGCCGGCAGGCCATTTTGACCCTCTTTGTCCAGAATATCCAGGAGCTGAGCGTCAACATGGAAGCACAGATGCGCTCTGTGCCTCTCATCCTGGCACGCCTCCTTTTGATCTTTGACTATCTGCTTCATCAGTACTCCAAAGCACCCGTTTATCTGTTTGAGCAGGTACAGACCCTCACATTCTCTTTGCCTCACTATTATTAAGAGCTTTGGTGTCCACACACAGAATTACTAGCTACCTTTGTGTAATTTTAGTTGTTGGTTTTGGGAGGATTAAAAAAGCCCCTACATGCATATGTGCTCTGCACTTTATGCTTAGCCTGAAGTGATCAGTGTAGATTCCTTGAGTATGTGGGTTAGGATTGGAGGATAAGCTCTGTTCACAGGTGTTCTTTTGGATTGCCCTTCTTTGTATGATCTAGTAGTGCCTTGAGCATTGACCTTAATGGGTGTTTGCCAGTGGTTGAAGGATTATCAAGTGGTAAATTCTGTATTTCGGTAAATCCTTTGTAAGGATCCAAAATGAGGATTAGAGGGTTAGTTAAGGGTTGTTATGTTCTGTATTTATTCCCTTTATGTCTTGCAAAAACTGGTTTCTAAAAGAAGCCACAAAAAAAGTCTTGAAAATTGCATTTTGTTTTATGATATACTGATATATAATGTTCAGTGTGAGAGCAGAATGGTGACTGATGTGTCCTTAATTCAAGTGTTTGTATTTTCAAAGGTGCAGCATAACCTCCTCAGTCCTCCTTTTGGATGGGCAAATGGATCCCAGGACAGTAACAGCCGCAGACCAGCTACCCCTCTGTATCATGGATTCAAGGAAGTAGAAGAAAACTGGTCTAAGCATTTCTCATCAGGTTAATAAAAATCTGACTTACTGAGTCTTGTGGGTAGAGTCCATTTTGAAGTTGGGAGATTCCCAGAGAATCTGGCCATTTACTTTGGTATCCCTCCTACATATCTCAACAGTTTTAGAAGTTGACTTCCATGCATGCCACACTTGTGTTTTAAAACACTGAGGTGCAGGAATTAGGATGTACATAGTATAGATTGCTGTCACTTTCAAATAACGATTTTCCTCATTTGCCCTCAGGGATTAGTATCTTCCCACAAGCTAAATTTCCCTTTGTGTCTTGATGATAATACATGCCAAAAGCCATGGGAACTTGGTATGTGCTGCAGTGTTTCTCTCACATAGCGGTTGTCTATTATTAGTTAAAAAAATTTTTTTTAATTTTTTAAATTTATTTTATTTCATTTGAGAACATACTGTACAGAGGGGTTACAATTACATGGGCAGGATAATGCATACATTTCTTACCAAGCATTGCAGCCTCCTCCTTTGTTTACCCTTCACCTCTCTTCCCAGCCTCCCCCCTCCCCCCCACCCAATCCTTCCCCCCTCCCCCCCTACACCGACATTGTAAAGCTCCTTTTTGACATGACATTTTGTACTTCTCATTGTTGCAACAGGTCCACCTGAATCCTTAAACGACTTGTTTGTCCCCATCTCCTCCACAAGTTATACTGACATCAAATATAGTGAAAGCGGGGGTTACACTGTGGGGGAGGGACATACAAAGCAACAAAGAAATAATCTTATAAATGCGTTAGAAACACATGCATGAAAGAAAAAAAAACATTAAAATACATATTTAAGGGTTTGTTTTCCTAACATCACATTATCTGACCTTTTCCGCTTGACTCATACATATACTAGATACTGCAAATAAGGGAAACCATGGGACCTATGTTTCTTTGGGCCTGGCTTACTTCACTTAATATAATTTTTTCCAAGCCTTTCCATTTCCTAACAAATGGGGAAATGTCATTCTTTCTGATGGAGGCATAGAATTCCATTGTGTATATATACCACATTTTCTTGATCCATTCATCTACTGAGGGGAATCTGGGATGGTTCCATATCTTAGCTATAGTAAATAATGCTGCAATAAACATAGTTGTGCTGGTAGCTTTAGTGTGGTCTTGTTTGTAAACATTTGGGTAAATGCCCAAAAGTGGGATTGCTGGGTCATAGGGGAGTTCTATGTGAAGTCTTTTGAGGAACCTCCATACTGCTTTCCAAAGTGGTTGAACAAGTTTACATTCCCACCAACAATGAAGTAAGGTTCCTTTCTGTCCACATCCCCTCCAGCATCTGTTGTTGTTAGAGTTCTTGATTTTTGCCGTTCTAACTGGAGTGAGGTGATATCTCAATGTTGTTTTGATTTGCATTTCTTTTATGGCTAGGGATGTTGAACATTTCTTCATGTGTCTATTGGCCATCCTTCTTTCTTCTTCAGAGAAGTTTCTCTTTAAGTCTTTCGCCCACTTATTTATTGGGCAGTTGTTTCTTTGAGGATTTGTTGTTGGGGGGTTTAATTTTTTGAGTTTCAAGTATATTTTAGATATGAGAGCCTTGTCCGTTGTATGGCTAGTAAAAATCTTCTCCCAATCCGTGGGCTTTCTATTGATCTTGCTAGCTATGTCATTTGCCTGCAGAAGCTCTGCAACTTTATGCAATCCCATTTGTCCAACCTTTCTTTGATTTGTTGTGTTTCCGGGTCTCTATTCAGAAAATTTCGGCCTGAGCCAAGGAGACCTAGGGTTTCTCCTATTCCATCCTGTAATGTTTTCAGAGTGTCTGCTTTGAGTTCAAGGTCTTTGATCCATTTGGAGTTGATTCTGGTGCAGGGTGATATATAAGGATCTAGCTTTAGTTTTCTACATGTAGTTAACCAATTTTGCCAGCACCATTTACTGAAGAGGCTGTCTTTCTTCCATTCTATTGTTTTAGCTCCCTTATCGAAGATTAGGTGGCTACAGGTCTGTAGGTTCATTTCTGGGTTTTCAATTCTATTCCATTGGTCCTGAGGTCTGTTCTTATTAGTTAAATTGTTATTATTGTTATTTTAAAGGTAATATACAGAGGGGTTGCAGTTACATAAATCTGGTAAAGAGTCTATTTCTTTTTGGACAATAAAGCAGTTGTCTATTATTTTGATGAGCTTTTCTGGCTCATCTGGAGGGTTTATCAGGTTATTAGGTATTAATTATGCAGCCTTAGTATGAGTTTGTTTCTTATTGGTATTTGGTATTAAACATTATATAAGTTTAATATATTTAATGATACAATTTAGTTCACTACATTTGTTGTAGAGCAACTCAGTTAGCTTGTGGAGCAATGGTTTTTACTGGAGTGATATTGCCTTACTCTAGGAAACATTTGCTAGTGTCTTGGACACATTTTTGGTTGTTACAAATGTGGAGGTTTGCTATAGTTTGCTATATGCTAGAAGCCAGCCTTACTGTTAAACCTATTGTTCAAGGGAAGCCTCTTTTTTTTTGGTCGGTCATGGACCTGAACTCTGGGCCGGGGCACTGTCTCTCAGCTCTTCAACTCAAGGCTAGTGCTCTACCACTTGAGCCACAGTGCCACTTTGGCATTTTCTGCTTATGTGGTGCTGAGGAATTGAACCCAGGGCCTCATGCATGCAAGGCAGGCACTCTACCACTGAGCTACCTTCCCAGCCCAAGGGCAGCATCTTATACCAAAGAATTAGCTGTCCCCAAGTTTCAGCAGTGCCAGGGCTGAGCAAACTTGTTCTGAAGTGGTCTCTTTATTTTTAGATTTTATACTTGTCCAATTTATGAGTGAAACCATTAATTTAACACACCTAATATTTTTTAGATGCTGTCCCTCAACCCAGATTCTACTGTGTCCTGTCCCCAGAAGCCTCAGAGGATGATTTGAACCGTCTTGATTCTGTGGTAACAGGAATTTTCTTTCTGTCTTAACCTCTTTTCTTTCGTGAAGTTGTCTTTATATCTCAGCTAGGACTACAGCCCAGACATACTAAAGGAAAGACTTAAATTTTATTTGAGACAGCATCTCACTCTAAGCCTAGGCTGGCCTCGAACTAGTGACTTTTCTCCCTCAATCTCTTTGAATGCTGGGATTATAGGTATATACCACCATGCTTGACTACAAGTACTTTTTGTGTTGAGGCAGTTTGATAATTGTTAGGATTTGAACTTCTACCAAAAGGGAATTTTTTTTAAAGATTTACTTGCTGCTCTTCAGTTTATCACCTCAGACATTGTCTTTGTTTTCATGTCCTGTGCAAATATTTTAGTGGACGAAAATGGTTGTCTTACTCTTTTGCCCTAAAGCCTTGCAATTATATGTGCACAGCAATTCACAGAGTGAGGCCCTAGCATTGGAAGCTGCTATAAAATCAGTAAGGAAAATTTGTTGGGATGTTTTGTCAATCATCAAGTTGAGTGATAGTGTAGGAGTAGAAGTAAAACAGATGTATAATGATTGTTTTTCTCTCTTGATATCAGGCATGTGACGTTCTTTTCTCCAAGCTTGTTAAGTATGATGAGCTTTATACTGCCCTAACAGCCTTGCTTGCAGCTGGGTCCCAGCTTGATACTGTAAGGAGGAAGGAAAATAAGAATGTGACAGCTCTGGTAAGACCATGGAAGCTGGAGGAGGATTTGAACTCTATTTGATAAGTGATAAATGTTTCTATGGAAGCCTGGGAGATGACTTAGGCTGTTTGATTACTCATTGTTTGTACCAGAAACTAGTTTATTAAATAATCTTTGTAACCATGACTGTAAACTCAGTATTTCAAAAATATGGTGTGTCAGCTAGGCACCAGTGGCTCATACCTTAATTCTGGTTACTCAGGAAGCTGAGATCTGACTATCCTGGTTCCATGCCAGTTTGGGCAGAAAAAGTCCATGACACTCCATTTCCAATTAGCCAAAAACCTAGGCTGGAGGTATAGCCCATGTGATGGTAGAGTGCTAGTGCCAGCTTTGAGCAAGAAAGGCTCTGAGTTCAAGCCCAACAAAAGGAAACATGGTATGTTTATTGTAGAGATACTTTTGTGTTTTTTGGGGAGCTTTTTACTTATAAGTGATCTACCACTTGAGCCACAACTTCTTTTTTTCATTCTTTTAGCTAACATTGGGAGAAATGTGGCTTTTAACCGTCACAGCCTGTTGAAGTGCTGTGTTTTTCTATGTTTCTATGAATGTGTCTGTACTTCCAGAAGCTATAATGTAATTCTAAGTCTCAAAAGGAATTGGTAAATTATTGGCCTGTCAAGCAGAATGTCCTGCTTTGGCTTATTGGTAAAAATATTGGGGTGCATCCTTTTGTTGTGTGAGATATGCTGAATATTGTGATCTGTGTTTATTTTCTTACTATCAGATATACTCTTTAAAATATCTGGAGAACAAACTTGAGTTCTAAGTCAAAATCTTAATATGGAATCTACACAATTCTGCTTTAAAAATTGTATTTAGAGCAGTTCTTACTGCTCTTCTTGAGGCAGTGCCATGTTCTGCTTTCAATGACTGACTGACTCCATTTGCTTCCTCCAGGAGGCCTGTGCTCTTCAGTACTATTTCTTGATACTGTGGAGGATCCTAGGAATTTTGCCACCTTCAAAGACTTACATGAACCAGCTGGCCATGAACTCACCTGAGATGAGTGAATGTGACATCTTACACACACTACGCTGGTCATCCCGCCTCCGTATCAGCTCCTATGTCAATTGGATAAAGGTAGCAAACTAAACTTGATGTCAGTTTTATATGTAGCCAATTTGCTCTCTACTTACGGAGTCTTTTAATGAGAGCTTTGGACTCTATCTTTCCTGAGCATTTATTCTTTCTGCCTAAATAGGATCACCTCATCAAACAGGGAATGAAGGCTGAAAATGCTGGCTCTCTCATAGAACTGGCGTCTACCAAGTGTAGCTCAGTGAAATATGATGTTGAAATTGTTGAGGAATACTTCGCTCGACAGGTGTGATAATGTTGGGACGGTAATGATGGAACTTGGTTTCTATAATAGCCTTCTGTCACAACTAATTGATATCCTGGGTATTTTTTTTAAAAAGATCTCGTCATTCTGTAGCATCGACTGTACCACCATCTTGCAGCTCCATGAACTTCCTAGTCTGCAGTCCATCTACACCCTCGATGCTGCTATCTCCAAGGTCCAGGTCTCTTTGGATGAACACTTTTCAAAGATGGCTGCAGAGACGGATCCACATAAGTCATCTGAGATCACAAAGAATCTCCTTCCAGCCACACTCCAACTCATTGACACCTATGCATCATTCACTAGGTGTGATTGATTGCCTTCTGCAGTGTATAAGTAGTGCTCACTCTGAGCAGATGCCCAAGGGATGTAGTGATTTACTTCTTTCCTTCTTACCACTTAGGTTACCCCTCACCTTGGTGTATGCTTTCTTCTCTGAGGTGGTACCTGATAAAGACTTTTTCATTTAGCTAATGAGGAAATTTAATTTTTATAATTCCTTGTGATTTTTTTTTTTTTTTTTTTGTCGGTCATGGGGCTTGAACTCTGGGCCTGGGCACTGTCCCTCAGCTCTTCAGCTCAAGGAGAGCGCTCTACCACTTGAGCTACAGCGCCACTTCCGGTTTTCTGGTGGTTTATTGGAGATCGGAGTCCCACAGTCTTTCCTGCCCGGGCTGGCTTTGAACCGTGATCCTCAGATCTCAGCCTCCTGAGTAGCTAGGATTACAGGCGTGAGCCACCAGCGCCCGACTCCTTGTGATATTTTTTTCCTAGAATTTTATTGTTGAGAATAGGTATATAATTTTTGTAAACACAGTCTTTCCTATTATTGGCTTGAGATTAAATGGTCTTAAAATTTCACGACATGTAGAGTGAAAAACAATTTAATGAGTTAGAGATTATTTTGAAATTTTGCTGTTTAGGGAACATTGCAAATTACATTTTCTATAGAATTTGGTGTGAAAATATTTAAAAACATTTAAGTGATATTTAAAAACACCCCTCTCCTTTAGCCAAGGTTTGTACTTATTGAGCTCATTTATTTAATCTGGTCCCTGTAGGATTTCTGTTCAGTTAAGTTTACATAAATTTATGTTTACATCATTGTAAAACTTGACTTACCTTGTCTTTTAGTGCCTGCTGTATAGAGGACTGTTTCTTGAGACAATTTTTTTTTAATCTTTATTTTTTATTGTTATTATAAAGATGATGTATAGAAGTGTTGCAGTTACCTAAGTTAGGTAAAGAGTACATTTCTTAGCTGGGTGCCAGTAGTGCATGCCTGTAATTTTAGCTACTAAGGAGGCTGCGATCTGAGGATCGTGGTTCAAATCCATCCCAGGCAGGAAAGTCCATGAGACTCTAATCTCCATTTAACCACCAGTAAAAGAGAAGTGGTGTTATGGCTCAAGTGGTAGAATGCTAGCTTTGAGCTGAAACTGCTGAGGGACAGCACGCAGGCCCAGAGCTTTAAGCCCCACGACCAAAAAACAAAAACGACATTTCTTTTTGGACAGTGTCACCTTGAGACAAATTTTTGTACAACTATGATGAATAAATATAATAAATACAAGCACCTGCTGTGTACCAAATACTATTCATGCTTGGCTTATAGAAGTAGCCAAGTCAGATCAAGTTACTGCTTGTAGGAGTTTCTAGACTCTAATCTGGCCTATTAGGCTGAGTTGTTACTCCTGAGCAAATTAGTTTGGTTTGGCAAATTTTGAATAAATTAAAGTTAAATTAGTTTCTCCTTTTTCAAAATGTACTACTACTCAAAGCCTTATTAAAAAAAATTTTTTTTGGATGGTGCTGGGAATGACACTTAGAGCCTTGTGCCTGCCAAGGCAAGTACTCTACCAGTGAGCTATACTCCCTGTCACAGAGCCTTTGATTCTATTACCTTTCTATTCTTCCAAGGTAGGAGAAGCACAATAGAAGTCACTATTTTCCTAAATGTATTTGTCATGGAATCATGTTTTGCAAGCATTGCAGAGAAGGGAATATTTATTGGGAAATAATTACATACTGGAATTCTCATGAAGGGGCTGACACTGTCAATTCTATTTAATAGAAATATAAGCTAGAAAATTGAGGTGTTGACTTGTCAGCTTCTGTGGGGATAGTCTCTCTGACTATAGTGGGTTTAGATTCCTAAAACTTCTTCCATCTCTCCTTTTCCCTTAGAGCCTATTTGTTACAGAACTTCAATGAGGAGGGAGCCACTGAAAAACCTTCCAAAGAGAAACTGCAGGGCTTTGCTGCTGTCTTAGCTATTGGCTCCAGTAGGTGCAAGGCAAATACTCTGGGTGAGTGCATGCATGTCTTTGTAGTACTTGTCTCACTACTTATCTACTGGTGCTGACCATTTGTTGGATCCTTCCTTTGTGTCAAACGTTTATATGATTTTGTTTTATTGATATTCAAATAACTGTATGAAGTAGGAAACTGAGGCTTAGAGAAGTTTATTTGATCCAAATTCTGTATCTTACAAATGATAGTGTTAGTATCCAAATGGATCTGTTGGTTATAAAGCATAAGGCTATTTTGCCTTTATCATGTGACTGTGTCCTTTTTATTTGTAGCAGTTATGAAGACAACTATTACAGGCTTAGAATTTCTTTGCTGGGTTAGGAATGATCTGGTAGAAAATTAGAGTTGAAAATCAGAGGACTTGAGAGCAGGATTGGAGTTCATTGCAGAAATTGCTCTTAAATTTATGGTAATTTCTGTCTCCCTTAAATTCTAACTTTTAATATTATTCAGTTTCACTCTACTTCACTGAATGTTCTTCCCTGCCCTCAAGGTTTGTCTTTCGGAGGAAAGAGACCAAAATGCCACCTTGTCAAGGTGTTTAGTGATGGTTGTGGCCTGACTTGCTAGGATCGCTCCCCTTGCCTGTGTTCAGTTATCTTTACTTCCCAGATTAGAAAGTGAATTTGATGAGAAGTGGAAGCTTCCTGCAGTAATTGTTAGCTGGTTCTTGAACTGCTAGTGACATACTCACCTAAGCTGTCTTAGTAATTACTTTGGTGACCTGGCTGTAATGTTTCTTTCTGCATCTGGGTTTGGCTTTTTAAATCTATTCTGATAATTCCTCACCCATACTGTTTCCTCCAGGTCCAACCCTGGTTCAGAATTTGCCATCATCAGTGCAAGCTGTATGTGAGTCCTGGAATACTATCAATACTAATGAGTTTCCCAACATTGGATCCTGGGTGAGTCTAAATGCTGATCACCACCCCTTCCGTGTTCTGTTCTTATTCTGAGGCTTAAGCTAGCTAAACCGGAGAATTAATAGATTACAGCAATATTTACTATACTGAATCAGTAATCAATTTATCAGTTACTCACGTGATTCTCACATGTTTTCTTTTTGCTTCAGAGTTCATGTAACCAGAGTACAAATGACTTTATTTCTCTGAGTTTTGATTTTTGTCATCTGTCAGATATGGGAATGTGGTGATTAAATGTATTAAATGTAAAATGCTTAGCATTTTTACATCTCAATACATATGAACCTGTCTCTTTTTCTTTTTAGCTTATGTGTAAGGACGCCGCTTTTTTTCCCCCATGATTTTACGAGATACCTAGAAGGTTCTCTAGGCTTTTGGATCCTGTTGAGTCTTTTGTCAGTTTTCTTGATCTTTGGTTATGTTCTATTCAAATTACCTCTTTGAATAGATTATCCTGTTATTAAAGTTCATGAAGACTATAATCTTGCTTTGTAATTGAGGCTTTGTAATGAGGAGGGAGCCACTGAAAAACCTTCCAAAGAGAAACACCTCAAGCTGCCTGCACAGTTAACATCTTTATAACAGAGACCAGATACATTGTAAAATCCAGCACTTTCTCAGTCATTATAGGCAATATAATATAATACTATAGATATTATATATCTATTATATATACTGATATATTGGGTATTTGTTTTTTTTTTAATTTTTATTTTTTATTGTGAAAATACTGTACAGAGGGGTTACAATTAGATGGGCAAGATAATGAGTACATTTCTTATCAAGCATTGTAGCCTCCTCCTTTGTTATCCCTTCCCAGCTTCCCCCCCCCCCCACCCCCCCCCTCCCCCCCCCAATCCTCCTGGGTATTTGTTATATGTGCTGGTATTTGTTTTTTGGTTTTTTTTGGGTCCGGTCGTGGGGCCTGAACTCTGGGCCTGGGTGCTATCCCTCAGCTCTTCAGCTCAAGGCTAGCACTCTACCACTTGAGCCACAGCGCCACTTCTGGCTTTTTTCTTTTTGCTTATGTGGTGCTGAGGAATCGAACCCAGGGCCTCAGGCATGCAAGGCAAGCACTCTACCACTAAGCCACCTTCCCAGCCCCTGTACTGGTATTTGTTGTATATTGGAATTGATATAGGATATTTGTTGTATTTAACCGTTAACTTTGGGCAGAAATTTGTGAACTGCCTAATTCCCCCATGTGGTGTAGCTCCCAGACCAATAACTAATTGTGTACCCTTCCCAGGGCCAGTAACAGGGCTAATAACTAATTGTTATACTCAGCAAGTCTTAGTTTAACTCAATTTTTTTTCCTATTGGAGAATTTCATCTAGGATGTGTAATATATCTGTTCACATCTGATTTGCTTCCTTTCAGCGCAATGCTTTTGCCAATGATACCATTCCTTCTGAGAGTTACATCAGTGCTGTGCAAGCTGCTCACTTGGGAACTCTTTGTGGCCAGAGTCTGCCTCTGGCTGCTTCCTTGAAGCATACTCTTCTCTCGCTGGTTAGGCTGACTGGAGACCTGATTGTGTGAGTACCCAGCCCCTAGCCCTGAGTGCTCTTTGTATCAGTTTTCTTAAAGGAAGACACTGAGAGTTTTTGTAACTATACCATGATGTTTCTCTTGTGTCCTCTTTCAGCCAAGAGAACCTGTTACTCCAAAGAATAAACACTTACCTAGAAATCTTTGGTCTGAAGGGCCGAAGAGTATCAGCTCTTCTCTTTGTTTTTCAGAAAAGGCCAACTTGCTTTAAACCAGTATTATGATTTGTAGGTGTTTGGGCTTATATTTTACAGAGATTGCTTGATAATGTTTCTTTCTCCAGAATCATTGCAGTACTTAGGCTTTGTCATCATAAGGAGTAGGGCAGGCCACCAGTGAGACTATTTGTTGTTGTTTTTTTTTTTTTTTGTGCCAGTATTAGGCTCTGAACTCAGAGCCTTATGCCCTCATTTGGCTTTCTCACTCAAGGCTGTTGCTCTACCACTTGAGCCACACTGCCAGTTCTGGCTTTTTGGTGATTTGGATCTAAGAGCTTCATGAGTTTTTCTGTCCAGGATGGCTTTGAAATGAGAGCCTCAGATCTCAGGTTCCTTTATGGGCATGAACTACCAGCAGCTAGCTCAGATTCCTCCCTAGAGAGGATTACTTAGTTTTTAGTTAGTGTTCTCTCTCTCTGTCTGTTTCTATTTTTGAATATTACAAAATACAGCTCATTAATTTGACATAGTAAATGTATCTTTCACATGGAAATTATTTTTGCCTCTGATATAATGGTGAAAAAACCTCAGAATTACATGCTTATGCTGAAAGCAGCCATCAAGGGAAGAAAGTGAATAAAAACTCTCCCCAGTTAATAATTGAATTACCTAAACCCTGCCTTGTATCACTTTGAGTGAGTTTGTTCACTTACTTGGTCTGTCTCTCTGCTGAAGGTGGGCAGATGAGATGAACCCACCACAGGTCATTCGGACCCTGCTACCCCTTCTTTTGGAGTCCAGCACTGAGAGTGTTGCTGAGATCAGTAGCAACTCCCTGGAACGCATCCTAGGCCCTGCAGAATCTGATGAGTTCCTGGCTCGTGTTTATGAGAAGCTGATCACTGGTTGCTACAACATTCTGGCCAATCATGCAGACCCCAACAGGTGAGCTGAAGGAGGAAAGCAGTCAGGTTCCTGTGCCCTGTTGATATGAGATGAATGTATCAGCACAGCTACATTTACCCTAGCTACTGTGCTGTTAAAGTGGAAACTCTGCTTTGTGTACCTTATCCCTTCTATCGTTCTTCTTTGTCCTTTCTCACCTCTTCTTAAAAGAATTTCAACATATTTCATTGCTTTATTTTTTTCATGCCTATTAAAGTACTAGGGTCATGTTCGTTCTCATTCAGTCTCTGTGTCTGTCACCTTCTCCCCTCCTGCTGACACCCACCTTCAGCAGAACCTGTTTTTTTTTGTTTTTTATTATAAAGTTGATGTACTGAGGGTTTACAGTTACATAAGTCAGGTAATAAGTATACTTTGTTTGGACAATATGTCCCCTGCCATGTTTTTTTTTTTTTTTTTAAATTCATGTTTATAAGGATCTTGTCAGGTTTACCAGGTTGAAAACAGTAAATTCATAATCAACACTTAAAAGACAAACTTCCCTCAAGTCTTTGTTTTTCATTCTGCTACCTACATTTAGGCTTACCCTTTCATCTACAATAGCCATATCTCATTTCATGAGAGCTGAACTATATATAGAAGTATGTATTAATGTATTTTTAATGTTTTTTATTGTAAAAATACTGTACATAATGTTTTTTTTTTCAGAAGAAATTTAAAACAATTTAACCATGCAGAAATGATTTGTCCCAGATTATCCCCTCAAGAAAAGCAACCCTCAGGGCTGGGAAGGTGGCTCAGTGGTAGAGTGCTTGCCTTGCATGCATGAGGCCCTGGGTTCGATTCCTCAGCACCACATAAGCAAAAAGAAAAAAGCCGGAAATGGCGCTGTGGCTCAAGCGCTAGAGTGTTAGCCTTGAGCTGAAGAGCTGAGGGACAGCACCCAGGCCCAGAGTTGAGGCCCCACGACTGCACCCAAAAAAAAAAAGCAACCCTCAAATCACTGGCTGTTAGACTTTATACTCAGCTTTGACAGAACCAAACTGGACATTGCCCTTAAGGTCTAGTTGTAAATGAACTTTGAGTTTTAAAAGTCAATGTGAGGAAGACATAAACATGTCTTACTATTGGTGGCTAATTTTTCTTTGACCCTCAGTGGACTGGATGAGTCTATCTTGGAGGAATGTCTTCAATATTTGGAAAAGCAATTAGAAAGTAGCCAGGCCCGTAAAGCCATGGAAGAATTCTTCTCAGACAGGTGAGTGGTATCTGGCTTTATTCAGTGTGACCACTGAATCCTCCTGAAGCAGGGAGCTGTATGTGTTGACTCAGGTGTCCTTCTCAGGGACTGAGGAAGGTCTGCATGGATGTCTGTCCCTTGGAGAGGGCTTAAGTTAATTTCTGACTTCTTGAGGTTGTTGATGAAGGGGTTGGATTTCAGGACCACCTGTGGTTCTGAAATGGTCACAGTGGCCATTTCTCCCAAAGGAGATGAGATTGTGAAGAAATAGAAATGGGTTCCTTTTATGTGAAGCTTAATGTGATTCTTCCATTTCTCCCTCCCGCCTTACAGTGGCGAACTTGTGCAGATCATGATGGCCACAGCCAATGAGAACCTTTCTGCTAAATTCTGTAACCGAGTCTTGAAATTCTTCACCAAACTCTTCCAGCTGAGTGAGTGACAGCTTTTAGTAATCTTCTTAGGGGAACTTTGATGTCCAGCTAATGCTGTTCCTATCTTCTGCCTGAGTTTAACTGCAGCATGAAAATGCTAACAAGTGGAGAGAATCCCTCAGAGAAAGTTTGGAAGGAACTTGACATTCTTGAGGCCTTTCCTTCTTTTCTGTCTTTTGGTGTGCCCTGTTCTTGCTTTCCCCTAGTCCTTCTTCCTTGACTGTAGGTTTTGGTCTGTTCCTAGCTGAGAAGAGCCCTAACCCGAGCCTTCTGCATCTCTGTGGCTCATTGGCACAACTGGCTTGTGTGGAGCCTGTGCGTTTGCAGGCCTGGCTCACCCGGATGACTACATCACCCCCAAAAGATTCTGATCAGCTGGATATAATTCAGGAGAACCGGCAGCTGTTGCAGTTACTGACCACGTACATTGTTCGGGAAAACAGGTAGAGCAATTACATGCATGTCTGTTGTCTATAACATTCTCAAGTAGAGCATCTACAGCTAGCTTTCCTTCAGGCACTATACTTAACATTTGCAGTGTTTTCATGGTTTCTTTTTCCCTTACCAGGAATCTAGTGTAGCTTCTTGTTTGTTTCCCATGGAGGGACTGGGAAGGTAGCTCAGTAGTAGAGTGATTGCCTTGCATGCATGAGGCCCTGGGCTCGATTCCTCAGCACCACATAAGCAGAAAAAAAAAGGCCAGACTTTCCCATGGAAAGTCTTCTGGTATAACCTATTCTATCACTTACAACTGGAGTGAATGTTTGGTGCTCTAGGAGCCCATATCTGAAGTTGAGATTATGTCTTATATTTTTAAATCAATTTAATCACTGTTACAAATTTGAAATACATGAGAGTCAGATCCTTGTTGATTACTCACCAATTTACTCTTTCTTTTCTAACAGCCAAGTTGGAGAAGGCGTGTGTGCTGTCCTTCTGGGCACCCTGACTCCCATGGCAACAGAGATGCTGGCCAATGGTGATGGGACTGGCTTTCCTGAACTCATGGTTGTGATGGCCACCCTGGCCAGTGCTGGTCAAGGTGCTGGTCACCTTCAGCTTCATAATGCTGCTGTGGACTGGTTGGGCAGATGGTAAGATGTTGAAATTGTAGGAACCTGTTTGTAGATACTTCACTGTGTTGGAAAAGAGAAGAATAATTGTAGGTTCTTTGTAGCTCAGAGTAAGTATGAAGGGAACTTAAATCCCTAATCATTTTTATTAAGGGATAAGGTAGCAGCCAATTATTCTGTTGAGATTCCATTTTCATTATTTCCCTAGTAGAGTTTCCTGTTTGTTATTCCCAAGAGAAGTCCTTGACAGAATACTGAATATAAGTAATAATTCTAAGACCAGAATAGCCCAATTGTGTTACTGCATATGAAATAGTTTTCTAAGAACACTTCTGCATCAAGAGTCCCCATTGCTCCAAGGTTCATGAAGATACTTTCTTTCTTTGGTGCCTCAGATGATTTTTTGTTTCCCTTCCTTTTTGTTTTCTTTGGGACAGCAAGAAATACCTGTCACAGAAGAATGTGGTTGAGAAACTGAATGCCAATGTAATGCATGGAAAGGTAAGAAAAGTGAGAGTGACAGTAATCAGGGAACAGGGGAAGAGTGTTCCTGTCTTTATGATCAGGCATAGCTTTCTCCTTACTGTGGCTTCTCTCCCTGGTTAGTCTGCAGAGAACAAAGGTGATAATCTCACCTAGTAGTGTACAATTGCTAACTCTGTGCCATCTTTCAGGTGGCAAGAAATGATCTTGTGGTGAAAATATACACAGTGTCACAAGTTCCTACTACTCTTCCGATACTGATGTGTTGTGGGAAAAGTCCCTGCTTGTGCTTTTAATCTGTGTACTCTGAGTCAGTATTGCAGCTCCAGTCCAGAGCATAGAATTGCTCAGTGTGCCTGCAGGTTCAGGGTTCTTTGCTGAGAAAAAAAGGGTTTGAGACTGACAGATAGGTTTAGACACTTTCCATTGCTCTCCTCCTATGAACCTGGCATAGTGTGTAGGGGCAGATAACCAGCCTCTGATACTCCACAATGTTTCCAAGTCATCTCTTTTCTGATTTCCTGCTAACCATGTTTTGTTTCACTTTAATGCCAGCTAGACCAACTAAGTTCTTACTGATTTGTTGGTACATGAGCCTTTTTTTTTTTTTGAGATGTATTCTTCTAATCTTGGTGCCTTTAGTCTCCTGAGTGCTGTGATTAGAGGTTTGTAACACGCTCCTGGCTTTTTTTTTTATTGTGAAAATACCGTACAGAGGGGTTACAGTTACATGGGCAAGATAATGAATATATTTCTTATCAAGCATTGTAGCCTCCTCCTTTGTTTCCCCTTCCCATCCCTTCCTATCCTCAACCCCCCCACCCCCCCCCCCCCGTCCGTCCGTTTCCCCCCCTCCCCCGCACCAAAGTTGTAAAGTTCACTTTCGACATAACAATTTGTACATCTCATTGTTGCAATGGGTCCATGGGTCCACCTGTATCCCTATTTAAACGATTGGTTTTTCCCCTTCCCCTCCACAAATTATACCGACATTAAATACAGTGACAGCAGGGGTTATACTGTGGGGGAGGGACATACAAAGCAACTTTGTACATCTCGTTGTTGCAATGGGTCCACCTATATCCCTATTTAAACGATTGGTTTTTCCCCTTCCCCTCCACAAATTATACTGACATCAAATACAATGAAAGCAGGGGTTATACTGTGGGGGAGGGACATACAAAGCAACAAAGAAATAATCTTATAAATGTGTTAGAAACAATCGCATGAAAGAAAAAAACATTTGAATATATATCTTAGGGTTCATTTCCCTAACATCACCTTATCTGACCTTTTCTGTTTGACTAAGACATATACTAGATATTGCAAATAAGGGAAACCATGGGACCTATGTTTCTTTGGGCCTGGCTTACTTCACTTAATATAATTTTTTCAAAGCCTTTCAATTTCCTAACAAATGGGGCAATGTCATTCTTTCTGATGAAGGCATAGAATTCCATTGTGTATATATATATATATATATATATATACATTTTCTTGATCCATTCATCTACTGAGGGGCATCTGGGTTGGTTCCATATCTTAGCTATAGTAAATAATGCTGCAATAAACATAGTCGGGCTGGTAGCTTTAGTGTGGTCTTGTTTGTGATCATTTGGGTAAATGCCCAAAAGCTGGGTCATAGGGGAGTTCTATGTGGAGTCTTTTGAGGAACCTCCTCCATACTGCTTTCCAAAGTGGTTGAACAAGTTTACACTCCCACCAACAATGCAGTAAGGTTCCCTTCTGTCCACATCCCCTCCAGCATCTGTTGTTATTAGAGTTCTTGATTTTAGCCATTCTAACTGGAGTGGGATAGTATCTCAATGTTGTTTTGATTTGCATTTCTTTTATGCCTAGGGAGGTTGAGCATTTCTTCATGTGTCTATTGGCCATCCTTCTTTCCTCTTCAGAGAAGTTTCTCTTTAAGTCTTTAGTTGTTTCTTTGAAGATTTGTTGTTGGGGGATTTAATTTTTTGAGTTCAAGGTATATTTTAGATATGAGACCCTTGTCCGTTGTATGGCTAGTGAAGATCTTCTCCCAATCCGTAGGCTTTCTATTGATCTTGCTGGCTATGTCCTTTGCCATGCAGAAGCTCTGCAATTTCATGCAATCCCATTTGTCCACCCTTTCTTTGATTTGTTGTGTTTCTGGGTCTCTATTAAGAAAGTTTCGGCCTGTGCCAACAAGACCTAGCGTTTCTCCTATTCCATCCTGTAATGTTTTCACAGTGTCTGCTTTGACTCCAAGGTCTTTGACCCATTTGGAGTTGATTCTGGTGCAGGGTGATATATAAGGATCTAGCTTTAGTTTTCTACAAGTAGTTAACCAATTTTGCCAGCACCATTTACTGAAGAGGCTCTTTCTTCCATTCTATTTTTTTAGCTCCCTTATTGAAGATTAGATGGCTATAGGTCTGTAGGTTCATTTCTGGGTTTTCAATTCTATTCCATTGGTCCTGAGGTCTGTTCTTGTGCCAGTACCAAGCTGTTTTGATTAATGTGGCTTTATAGTAGAGTTTGAAATTTGGTATTGATATTCCTCTAGCAGTGTTCTTTCTGTTGAGGATCGTTTTTGTTATTCAGGGTCTTTTATTGTTCCATATGAATTTTTGGATTGCCTCTTCTATTTCCTTGAAGAATGAGGTTGGAATTTTGATAGGTATCGCATTGAATTTGTAGATAGCCTTGGGAAGTATTGCCATTTTCACGATGTTGATCTTTCCAATCCATGCTTCTGGCTTTTTAATCCATTGTCTTGTCACACTAAAATGTCAGAATGCAGAGGAAGAAACTTAGAAATCAGAGTCTGATGCCAGGATTTTGGGGGGTTCATTTTGTACACATGTACAATATGCAGTGGTTTGCTGGAAAAATTTTCTCTTGATCTCTGAAGATGTTCCTTTCCATGATAATGTAAAACCTGATAATTGATTACTTTTGATAATGGGTAAAAATGCTAATGATAGGGAAAATAGTAGTGACAGCTTCTTCATATTTATTATCTGGCTTTTTCTTTAAGACTTTTAGTTTCCTTTTGAGCTTCATTCTCCCAATTTCAGTTCTACTCTATTTTGCTGTAAGACTTTGTGAATAGTTATTTTTGCACTTAAGAGTGAATGAACATAACACTAATTCAGTACAATTTACTGACAAGTTTCAGGTAGACAGTAGTAAGAGTTTGGGAAATAGTTAACTAAAATAACATTGCTTTGCAGTCTGTCTTTACATGGTTCCTTTAATCTTGAGTTTTATTGAAAAGGTCTTATGTAATAAAGCCTGGAGAACTAAAGTTTATGTTGGGTCTTCTCTTATAGCACGTGATAATCTTGGAGTGCACATGCCATATTATGTCTTACTTGGCTGATGTCACAAATGCCCTAAGCCAGAGTAATGGTCAAGGCCCAAGTCACCTGTCAGTGGACGGGGAAGAGCGAGCCATTGAGGTAGACTCAGACTGGGTGGAGGAGTTGGCAGTGGAAGAGGAAGATTCACAGGCTGAGGACTCAGTAAGTAATCCCTAAGTTAACCTTTCAGGTAATGGCTAATTAGGATACTAGTAAGTCTTTGGTTTCTTTGTAGCCCTTTGCTTTCTTTCTGATCACACACCTGTGAGGCTCACACTTTTTTGTTTTTCTAGGCCCCATATTGCAACCATAGTGATCTAATCTCTTGATAGAGGGGCTCTTCACTAATCGTATGCCTTTCTTCTATCTAGAGTCACTTTTCCTGCTCCTTGAGGCTTTACATACAAGATAGAATGTTAGAGATAAAGTCTTTATAGGAATGGTGGGAGCTCTCTTACAGAGTAGGCATTAAGATTTTTTTTTCTTCATCACAAAGCCGTATGGTTTGCACCTGAAATTACAACATATTTTCAGCCTATTTCCAATTGGGACACGTTTCTGTTGATCATTGATGAGTCTCCTTTGGGGATTGAAGCAGGTGTTTTTGTGGGTACATAACTGGAAGGATATATTTCTAATTAAAAAGATTTACTGTCTTTCAAGGATGAAGATTCTCTTTGCAATAAACTCTGCACTTTTACCATCACACAGAAAGAATTCATGAACCAGCATTGGTAAGAGTCTTCCATTTACACAAAGGCTAGTTGGGCCTTGTTTGTTGGCCCTTCTGAGCTTATTGGCTGGTCCTTACTCTTTTTAGGTACCACTGTCATACCTGCAAAATGGTGGATGGAGTAGGTGTGTGCACAGTGTGTGCTAAGGTGTGCCACAAGGACCATGAGATTTCTTATGCCAAGTATGGATCCTTCTTCTGTGACTGTGGAGCCAAGGAAGATGGAAGCTGTTTGGTGAGAGCGTTGGAATCTTCACTGAGCTCTAAAAGAAGCTTGTTGGTGATATGAACACACTTAGGCCAAAGTGGAAAATTCCCACATACCTTTCATGGTACTAGTGTCTAGGGACACAGTCTGCTGTTACTGATGAACTATACAATTTTGGCCTATGTACCTTATTTACAGTATTAGAGCCAGCATATTCCTTAAAGATCTTGAAGCCAGTCTTTTCTAAGAAATGCCCACATTTCAGGTGTGATAAGGAAGGCCTGCTGTTATATATGGACACCGAATTAGGTGAATACCATGAATTTAGTCTTTTGGATAAACATGTGCATACTTAGCCAGCTTCTCTTTTCTCTCTTAAGTTCTTAGGCAGTATTTCTCTCTTTTTTTTTTTTTTTTTTTTTTGAGAGGTCTCACTATATAGCCTAGGCTGTTCTTAAAACTTGCGATCCAATTGGGTGCTTGTAATCCTGCTAGTTAGGTGGTTGAGACGTGAGGATTATAGTTCCAAGCCAGCCCAGGCAGAAAATCCTGTAAGATTCTTATCTCCAATTAGCCTCCAGAAAACTGGAAGTGGTGCTGTGGCTCAAAGTGGTAGAGCATTAGCTTTGAGTGAAAAGATCATGGACAATGCCCAGGCCCTGAGTTCAAACCCACCAGTTGGAAACAACAACAACAAATACCTTGTGATCCTCTTACATGAGCCTCCAAAGTGCTGGGGATACAAATGTGAGCTACCACACCTGGTTCTCAGGCAGTATTTAACCTCAGCCTGTGGCAAGAATTCATGGACTCAATAACATTTCTATCCCTAGGCACTGGTAAAAAGAACTCCAAGCAGTGGCATGAGCTCCACCATGAAGGAGTCTGCATTTCAGAGTGAACCAAGGGTTTCAGAGAGTTTGGTTCGCCATGCTAGCACTTCACCAGCCGACAAGGCCAAGGTCACCATTAGTGATGGAAAGGTCACTGATGAAGAGAAGCCCAAGAAGAGTAGCCTGTGCCGCACAGTAGAAGGTTGCCGAGAAGAGCTACAGAACCAGGTGAAGCTTACTTGTGGCCCTTAGTCCAGTAGACAGAGTTTAGAACCTGACAAGTTTGTCTGAGAATGCACAAAACTCCCCTGACAAACTATCTTTTCCTAAGTTTGACGATCCTCAGAATGAAACCTCTTAGTATGTGCTTTGAGTTTCTAGCAAAGAATTTCTGACTGAGGAACATAGGGGTATTGATGAGGGCAGGTGGGAGGGTAAAAATTATGTAATACCATAGTACATATTTTGTCTGGAATTGCTCATTTACCAGGAATGCAGAAGAGGATTTGAGTGGTTACTTTCTTAAATTCCTATCCTATATTGGATGGCAGAGAAGTTACTGTATCTGCTAGGTGCCTTGAATGATGATGGTGTTGCTGTAGGACCTTTGGTTTAGAAAGTTTGCTCTAGTTAGTAGCAGAGTAGCATGGACTACAGTCAGACCCAGGATTATGGAGAGAATGAGATGATGGTGAAACTATCTATCTGGAAGTAAGGAAACTGGATTCTGAAGGAGTTCCTGGCCAGATTATAAGGAGGACCCATTATTATTCTCTTTGGTTTATTTTATTTTTTTCACTGTGTATTTCAATTTTTCTTAGGCCAATTTCTCCTTCGCTCCTCTCGTGTTAGACATGCTCAATTTCCTCATGGATGCCATTCAGACCAACTTTCAACAGGCTTCGGCTGTGGGGAGCAGCAGCCGGGCACAGCAGGCCCTTGGTGAACTGCATACAGTGGACAAGGTGGTTGAGATGACAGACCAGCTGATGGTAAGTGTGGCAGGGTCATGAAGTTTGGTGGGCAGAGGAACCAGCATGCCGATCGGAATACCAGTGTACCCAACATCCTCTGAGGAATGTTCTTGGAAGTGCGTTCCAGACATTTAGAACTTAGAACCTAAGCTATCATATCCCACAACCATATGTAGACAACAATCAGCATATCAAGTGTGTCTTTGAAAGAGAGAATCCAGGTTCATTTTGAGCCACCCAGGCAAGCTATTTTTTTCGTTCATATGAGTATATGAATCTTTTAGGTGTGGAAACCTCCATTTTGGGGCAATTATACTTAGGAATGTTCTTTTCTTTTCTTTTCTTTTTTGGTCAGTTGGGCTTGAACTCAAGGCTTGGGCTCTGTCCCTGAGCTTTTTTGCTGAAGGCTAGCGCTCTTTCACTTTGATCCACAGTGCCATTTCTGGTTTTCCAATGGTTAGAGATGAGTCTCACGGATTTTTCCTGCCCAGGCTGGCTTCAAACTACAATCCTCAGATTCAGCCTCCTGACTAGCTCGGATTACAGATTTGAGCCACCAGGACCTGGCAGGAATTTATTTATTTATTTTTTGTCAGTCATGGGGCTTGAATTCTGGGCCTGGGCACTGTCCCTCAGTTCTTCAGCTCAAGGCAAGCACTTGACCCCTGAGCCAAGCGCCACTTCCGGTTTTCTGGTGGTTAATTGGAGATTGGAGATAAGAGTCTCGTGGACTTTGCCACCTGGGCTGGCTTTGAACTGTGATCCTCAGATCTCAGCCTCATGAGTAGCTAGGATCATAGGCGTGAGCCACTGGCACCTGGCATAGGAATTTATTTTTTACAAAAAATAGAAAACCCCTTTTTTGTATCTGCTTTTCTAGGATTCACCTAGTTTGCAAAAGAGTTTTTCTCTTTTGCTAAAAGCCCTTGATAAAGACCATGTTCCTTTAGTTGTTAAATGTGACATGGATATAAGGTATTAGTCATTATCCACGTTCAAAGCAGTTGCTGGGAACTGTATATAGCACTTCCGGGGTGCCCTTCCCCATCTACCCTTGCAACTGCAGTGGGCAGTGGAGGAGGGCTCAAGGCATGCGTTGCGCCCAAGGACGTCACACCTCACAGGTGGCTGTTGTTACTGGAGAAAAAACATTTGCTAAGAAACGTCCCAAATTTTGCTGTTTTACTAACAGCCAATCTGTTCTAGAGAACTGGTCTTAAGATTTATAGATAATGAAGATGAAACTAAAAAAGACTGAAGAGGGATTGGATAGTTTCTGACTGAATTTTGCCAGGTTAGATCAATGAGAGAAAAATTCCATCTAAGATCATCTCTGATCTTTTATTTTTGGAAAGGAGATGTATCTTTTTTTTTTTAATTGTGAAAATAACGTACAGAGGGATTACAATTACATGGGCAAGGTAATGAGTACGGTTCTTATCAAGCATTGTTACCTCCTCCTTTGTTTCCCCTTCCCATCCCTTACCACCCCGCACCCTTCCCCCCCCCCCCATCTTTTTTTTTTTTTTTTTGCCAGACCTGGGGCTTCAACTCTGGGCCTAGGCACTGTCCCTGAGCTTCTTTTGCTGAAGGCAAGTGCTCTAGCACTAGGGCCCACAGTGTCACTGCTTTTTGAGTAGTTTATTGGTGATAAGAGTCTGAGGGGGTTTCCTGCCCAGGTTAGCTTTAAACTGCAATTCTCAGATCTCAGCCTCCTGAGTAGCTAGTATCATGATGATTTTACCTAAAGAAAAATTCCATCTATTATGATTTTACAAGTGAAAAGACGTTTTAACATGTTGTAGTACTTGTTGAAAAATTCAGGATAATTTATTAGAGTAAAAACTGATTATTGGTGCTGTGACTCAAGTGGTAGTGTCCTTGCCTTGAGCTGAAGAGCTGAGGGATAGTACTCAGGCCCAGAGTTCAAGCCCCATGACTGACAAACAACAACAACAACAAACAACTCAAATTTACCACACACAGTTTGAAGTTGGGATTACTTTGTTTTTGCCGGTGATGGGGCCTGAACTCTGGGCCTGGGAGCTGTCCCTCAGCTCTTCAGCTCAAGGCTAGCACTCTACCACTAGAGCCACAGCTCCACTTCCGGCTTTTTCTGTTTATGTGGTGCTGAGGAACTGAACCCAGGGCCTCATACATGCAAGGCAAGCACTTTACCTCTGAGCCACCTTCTCAGCCCTGGGATTGCTTTTGAATGACTAACTTGTGCAGTGTTGGATGAATATGACATGACTCAGTGATCCTTTTTACTTACAATTTCTCTGCTCCCCTGTGCGCTAGGTTCCCACCTTAGGCTCCCAGGAAGGTGCCTTTGAGAATGTACGGATGAATTACAGCGGAGACCAGGGCCAGACTATACGGCAGCTAATCAGCGCCCACGTGCTCAGGCGGGTGGCCATGTGTGTTCTGTCTTCTCCACATGGGCGCCGCCAGCACTTGGCTGTCAGCCATGAGAAGGGCAAGGTGGGTCCTCTAGTCATTTCTCTCTTATTTTCATTATGTGTGTCTTAAATGTTAAACAGAACTGAGAGGTGATCGTGCTCACATCTGCCTCCTGTGGGGAACTTCCACTGGATCTCAAATGTTTAGGACTACATGTCATGAATGTTTTCACTTGAGAATGGTGTAATTAGTAAATTCCCACATGAAACATTCCTTCACAACCTAGGAGAAGGCAGTGAGCAGTATTTATCCACAATTTGGATAAATACTCACCCTGTTTGGTGCATCTAGAGGCACAAGCTGAGGAGCAAAAACCCTTAGGTGATCATCAGTGCTTCTCTGCCTCTGAGGATATGGGGACATTTGTATTTTACAGAATGAGTAGTTGGAAGAGTGTAGGTATCTTAATTTTTGCTTTTTAATAATTTCAAAAAGCATCTCATGTATGTTGGAAAACAACAGTGATACATAGGGATTAACTTGTGTGAAATGATTATCAGTGATTTGTTCTGCTCTTACTAGAAGGAGGAAACAAAAGATGTATGTGTTTGTTCTACAGGGTAGTAAATCGGGGCTGGGAACGTGGCTTAGTGGTAGAGCGCTTGCCTTGCATGCATGAAGCCCTGAGTTCGATTCATCAGCACCACATAAGCAAAAAGACAAAAGCCAGAAGTGGTGCTGTGGCTCAAGTGGTAGAGTGCTAGCCTTGAGCTGAAGAGTGGAGGGACAGCGCCCAGGCCCAGAGTTCAGGCCCCACGACCGGACCCAAAATAAAATAAAATAAAGGGTAGTAACTCATCTAGATGTTTCCTAAGAAACACACAAGAAGACACTATGAGATAACATCCCTATTTAAAAGGGTTTTTGTAACTTGCTCTCTGTTCTTAAGGGGACTAGGATTAAGAATAAACTGGTGGTGATTCCTTTGCAGATCACAGTTCTGCAGCTCTCTGCACTTTTGAAGCAAGCAGACTCCAGCAAAAGGAAGTTGACTCTGACCCGCTTGGCTTCTGCCCCTGTGCCCTTTACTGTGCTGAGCCTTACTGGAAATCCCTGCAAGGAAGATTACCTGGCAGTGTGTGGCTTGAAGGTAAATAGTCTAGGAGTGATTACTTGAAGCTCTGCATTCTACTTATCTGTCATTGTCTCAGTATTGTTTCTTACTGAGTTTTGTGATGAAAACTTAAAAGCAAGAGAAATCTTTCTTTTAACTTCCAGATGGCTTCTGTGTTGTAAATAATCTGTGTTTTAGAAACCTGAATATGTCCTTGGACAGTGTGAATACTAGAAGGCAGAGAATATTAGAGAAGGCAAAGAAATACATAAACTCTAACATGAATTAGCTGAACTGTCCAAATGATGTTTTAACCATGTGTTCTTTTACTTGTACCTAGGACTGCCATGTGCTCACCTTTAGTAGCTCGGGTTCAGTTTCGGATCACTTGGTGTTGCACCCTCAGTTGGCAACAGGGAACTTCATCATCAAAGCCGTGTGGCTACCTGGTTCACAGACTGAGTTAGCAATTGTTACAGCAGACTTTGTGAAGGTACAATTTTAGCTCTGTAATGATCTTGTTTGGCTTTTAAAGAATTATCTTTACTTTGTGCTATCTTCTTTCAGAAACTAAAAAATAAAACAGCTAACATTGGTGGTTCCCATCTGTAATTCTATTTTGGAGTCTGAGAATGGGAGGATAGTTGTTCAAGGAGCAACCTGGATAGAAAAGTCCAAGAGACTTCTTAGTCCATAGGCAGACATGGTACTATGCCTACATTGTGTCTAGCTTTGTAGGAGGCTGAAATCAGAAGGCAGAAAAGTCTGCAAGATTCCATCTCAGCAGAAGAAGCTGAGTGTAGTAGCATCCATCTGTCATCCCAGATATGATTATAGATCTAAATAGGTGGACCACTCTCGGGGTTTGTACCTGAACAGGAAGTAAGAATTTATCTAAAAAATACCCAGCATAGCCGGGTGACTCTTGATGCTAATTGTAGCTACTTAGGTGGCTGAATTCTTTTTTTTTTTTTTTTGGGTCCAGTCGTGGGGCCTGAACTCTGGGCCTGGGCGCTGTCCCTCAGCTCTTCAGCTCAAGGCTAGCACTCTACCACTTGAGCTACAACGCCACTTCCGGCTTTTTTCTTTTTGCTTATGTGGTGCTGAGGAATCGAACCCGGGGCCTCAGGCATGCAAGGCAAGCGCTCTACCATTGAGCCACCTTCCCAGCCCCATGGTGGCTGAATTCTTAGGACCATGGTTCAAAGCCAGCCTGTGCAATGTCTGTGAGACTCTTATCTCCAGTTAACCACCAAAAAGTTGGAAATGGAACTGTGGTCCAATCATAGAGCACTAGTATTGAACACAGAAGTGGCTAGGCTATGAGTTCAAGTTCCAGGACCAGCATTCACACACACAAAAGTACTCAGAATAAAAACATCTGGAGGGCTGGGAAGGTGGCTCAGTGGTAGAGTACTTGCCTTGCATGCATGAGGCCCTGGGTTCGATTCCTCAGTACCACATAGCAGAAAAAGGTGGAAGTGGCACTCTGGCTCAAGTGGTAGAGTGCTAGCCTTGAGCTGAAGAGCTGAGGGACAGCGCCCAGGCCCGGAGTTCAGGCCCCACGACTGACTGCAGCCCTTCCTTCCCCCCTCCCCCCCCCCCCCCAAAAAAAAAAAAAAAAAAAAAGGTCTGGAAATGTGGCTCCACAGTAGGGATCCTGCCTAGTAGGCAAGGTGCCCTGAGTTCTAACTCCCTAGTACTGCAAAACAACCCAATCAAAACAAATAAAGCACATTGGTTGCTTTTTGTTACATTGCTGAGTAGGTATTCTTTGCTTTTAGGCCATTGATTGATTCTGTGTCTGCCCTTGTTATGCCAAATATATTTCACTTACTGTACTTGTTACAGAATTTATTAGTGTGTACTCCTGTCCTACTTCTTTCTTCAGGAGAGTAAGAGATGTTTATCTTTTGTGCACCACAAAGTGTAACAATCAGTAGGTGCTTGTTGAAGAATGAATGTCCCTATTAGAATTCATCAGAGTATTTTGGGGATGGGACTGAAACACATTACCCTTACATATTCTTTCTTTCACATGGTAGATTTATGACCTATCTGTGGATGCTTTGAGTCCAACCTTCTACTTCCTCCTGCCAAGTTCGAAGATAAGAGATGTTACCTTCCTTTTCAATGAGGAGGGGAAGAACATCATTGTGATAATGTCTTCAGCTGGGTACATCTATACTCAGCTCATGGAGGAGGCCAGCAGTGCCCAGCAAGGACCCTTCTATGTCACAAACGTACTGGAAATCAATCATGAAGATCTGAAGGTTGGAACATATACAACAATTCCTGTGTTGCTGTTCTTTTTTGGATGCTTCTGACTTTTTATTTAATAGCAAAATCTTTGGTCCTTCATGACCAAACTGATTCAACGTTGCTGTATTCCCAAGATATCTGTAAAGTTTGCCTACAGGGCTCTCATGCTTAGCATGTGGGAGTACCTACCTAATCATGATTTAAAACTTGTCACCTTTCACCAGTAAGAGAAATTAATACGCATGTGTGTCTTTGCTTTCACAGGATAGTAACAGCCAGCTGGCAGGTGGTGGTGTATCTGTGTACTACTCCCACGTGTTACAGATGCTGTTCTTCAGTTATTGTCAGGGAAAGTCCTTTGCAGCCACCATCAGCAGAACAAGCATGGAGGTGGTGCAGCTCTTCCCTATCAACATTAAAAGGTAGGAATGAGTACTAAATGTCTACCTTCCAAGTGCCCCTGTTCAGCAGAGCTTTCCTGTGCTAAGTCAAGTGAAGCATGTTTTTCTCTGGCAGTCCTCCTTCATTGCTAAATACAGGCCAGGGTTGTCAGTTTGGGATGCCTGGGTAGTTTGTCCTCCACTATGGAGACCCCAGTCTGTAAGAAGTAGTTGGGGGCAGGCTGCTGTTACACAGAAGGAAAATCTATAGTGAGGGCAGCAGTGTGAGTTTAATAATTACCAAAATTTAGAAGTGGCTCACAGCACTTGTCCTACTATATCCTTGAAGTTTTCCTTCTTGGGAACGTACCTCTGAGGAAACTGAACATGGTGTCAGTACTGGGGGGAGGGTGGCTGGACCTGAGTGGGCAAAGTAGAGACTTCCATAATCACACATGAGTTAGTTTTATTTAGAGAAGAGGGAGGAAAGGATCAGGATCTCTGAGCACTTCGTCTGAAATTTCCTGGTTTGGAATGAACAAATGTGGACACCAGTTTGCACACGGGTTGAAATGCTTGGATATCTTTATAGATCATCAGCAACTCCATGGCCCTGCATAATTCACAAGGCACATAGGGTCATCTGTTCCTTAGACCATGGCAGCCTAGCAGTAGACATGCTAGGAGGATCCCTCCTGTGGGCACATGTTAAAGTGTGCTACATGTGCCTATGACTTAGGGTAAAAGTGACCTTGATTAAGGATATTGTTCTGAGGTCACTTAGCTAGTTAGAGGGTTGCCCATAGGTCAAGAGAAGAGCTATCCAGTGGTAATACCCTAACTGGCCAATTTTGTTGTTTCCAGTTCCAATGGTGGCAGTAAGACTTCTCCTGCTCTCTGCCAGTGGTCTGAGGTGATGAACCATCCTGGCTTGGTGTGTTGTGTGCAGCAAACAACAGGTGTGCCTCTGGTTGTTATGGTGAAACCAGACACTTTTCTAATCCAGGAGATTAAGACTCTTCCTGCGAAAGCAAAGGTCAGTGCCAGATTCTCCCATCACTTTCATATGAGCTTGGTCTGCATTTAAAGTTATGAAGCTATTTCATGTCTTTCAGCAGAGGTCTTTAAAGATTTTTCAAGTCATGTGTGGTGGTGCACACCTGTAATCCTAGCACTAGGAGGTGGTGATAGAAGGGTCGTGAGTTCCAGGCCAACCTGAGTACCATAGAGAGATTATGTATTAAAAAGCCCCCAAAACAAAAATAAGAAATTATATTTTCTTCTAGATGCTTTTTCTTTTGTTACCCTCTTCACCCCTACCTAGCTGATAAGCCAGTTGCTTTTCTGCTTCTTTTTCTCTGATTCTGAGCACTGGGTGTGAGAACTGATCTCCTCTGTTGTCCGCTCATTCTAGATCCAAGACATGGTTGCTATTAGACATACAGCCTGCAATGAGCAACAGCGGACAACCATGATCTTGCTGTGTGAGGATGGCAGCTTGCGCATTTACATGGCCAATGTGGAGAACACTTCTTACTGGCTCCAGCCGTCCTTGCAGCCCAGCAGTGTAATCAGCATCATGAAGCCTGTTCGAAAGCGCAAAACAGCTACAATTAGTAAGCCCTCTCCAGGCCCCAGGAATGAGCACCGTAGTGTCCTAGACAGCATAGCATAGGCTGTGAGGAGACTAGCTGACCTGCTTTGCATACTCAGGAAAAGTCAGAGATAAGAAGAGAGCTAGCCAGTTTTCTGAAAGCAAGGGTCCACATAGCAAGTGCTTTTTGACTGTTGGCTGTAGGGCAGCAATTCTTTGGTGTCCCAGTCTGATGTCTTCATCCTTGTTTGAGGTATTTTCTTTCTGTATTTCAGGAAAGCTTGCTTGCAGCATGGATCTGACTGAAGAATAGATCCCTTTAGTTTGATTTCCCACAGAATAGTGAAGATCATCATAGCTCTCTGAGCCATGGTGGACTTAATCCTGGCTAATAGAGAATTCTAGGTAGATAGGCTGATAGAGAAAGCTTGGGTTTAGTAGGAGTGAACTGGCTAAGCAAAGATTATTGCGGGGATCATGATATCTTAAATTTTTATAGTTTTTGAGGTGATTTTGGAGCTCATCTAGAGAGATGAACTGTGAGTTAGTACTTCTTATTGTTTGTTGTAAGCAAACAGAGCCCATTCTTATGAACTGTGAACCCAACACCAATACCAGATTTTGTTTAGCTAAGTCATCTGGACACTCAGGAGCTGATGACATGTGAGTGTAAAACAAACACTAGAGTCCACGAGGAGGAGTAATATGTGAGTGTGGGCTGTATGGGCAGTCCTCAGAGTAGAGGCAGAGGTGCCAGAAACTTCAGACAACCATGATCTCTGACAGTTTGATATTCTTCTTCATAGCAACCCGCACATCTAGCCAGGTGACCTTCCCCATTGACTTCTTTGAACACAACCAGCAGCTGACAGATGTGGAGTTCGGTGGTAATGATCTCCTGCAAGTCTACAATGCACAACAGATAAAGCACCGGCTGAACTCTACTGGCATGTATGTGGCTAACACCAAGGTGAGGACTGCACCTGTCTGGGTTCAATCCCTGAGTAGAAAGATTTGTAAACAGAAGGGTTGAATGGCACGACTCCTTTTAGAATGCATATAGGAAATATAGAAAGCACTATTCTGATTAAATGGCCCTTGAATAAATGCATCCTATCAGGCTACGTTTCTGCCATTATCCACAAGGTACTGCACAGGGCAGAAAGAGGTGATTAATGCTGGGCAGAAGGATGTCTGCCATAGAAAGGAATCCTTCCCTGCATATTTTCTAGAACTCCTTGGGAGCAAGAAAGTCAGGAGCTAAAAGAAAAATGTTCTTTCTAGGTGCACAGCTGAAGTAATATCAGGAGGGATTTCAGACTGAACTGAAACTTCTTTTGGTTTTCTGATGTTCATCTTTTTGTCTTGACAGCCTGGTGGCTTCACCATTGAGATCAGTAACAACAACAGCACTATGGTGATGACAGGCATGCGGATCCAGATCGGGACCCAGGCAATTGAACGGGCCCCATCATATATCGAGATTTTTGGCAGAACCATGCAGCTTAATCTGAGTCGATCACGCTGGTTTGACTTCCCCTTTACCAGAGAAGAAGCCCTGCAAGCTGATAAGAAGCTGAACCTCTTTAGTGAGTCACTTACCTCTTGTCTTTCTCCTTGTGACTGTAGATTTGATAGCTACTAGTCTGTGACCTTCCAGTGTTCTGAACCACTGAGTGCTATATTCCTCAACCTCCACACTTAACTTTGTGGTGTATTTCATCTGGAAACTTTGAGCTTCATATGAGATGTAAAAGAACCAATATTCCTAGGGATGAAGTCTTACTTAAGAAAGGGGCTGGGCTGGGAAGGTGGCTCAGTGGTAGAGCGCTTGCCTTGCATGCATGAGGCCCTGGGTTCGATTCCTCAGCACCACATAAGCAAAAAGAAAAAAGCCGGAAGTGGCACTGTGGCTCAAGTGGTAGAGCGCTAGCCTTGAGCTGAAGAGCTGACGGATAGTACCCAGGCCCAGAGCACAGGTCCCACGACCGGACCCCCTCTTCCCCCCCAAAAAAAAAAAAAATTAAGAAAGGGGCTATGGATTGGTAAAACTCAGTTAAGGTATTCTCTTCTGTGGTGTTGGATCAACATCTCTGGTGCTCTGCTTCCATGTTCAGGCAGAGGGGAGGCAAGAAGAGAGACCTACTTGTGAAGTCACCAGGCTTTCTTTAAGCATAGAGCCCTTAGGCCACACATCTCTGAGATGTGTTCAGAAAGTCCTTGCTGTACTTTTGAAAATTTATAATTCTTAAGAGTTTGAATCTCTAGGGCTTATCTTCATTTATTGGTCACCTATTGATAGTGTGAATGAGCAGGATGTGAACTTTACACAGAGGAAGTACTTAGAGACCTTTGGGGCTGAGGAGTGGGGGATACCATATCCTCAGTACCAGAAGGCCCTTCCAGTGATGTTAAGGGTCTCTTCTGAGTAGGAGACAAAACAGATTTTTGGTCCCTCAAACTATTTCTTTGTCTGCTCAACATCAAAAGTGCTGTTGGTGCCTTGGCAGATAAAATTCCTCTGTGTCTATAAAATTGATGTGATTTGTTCCTTGCCTCAGCTGATCTGTTTGTGGCTTTGGAGAGGTGGTGTGAGCCCTTTACTTCTGAAATGTGCTTCCTAATGGCCTCCTTTGCTTACTGCAGTTGGTGCCTCAGTGGATCCAGCAGGTGTCACCATGATAGATGCTGTAAAAATTTATGGCAAGACTAAGGAGCAATTTGGCTGGCCTGATGAGCCCCCTGAAGAATTCCCTTCTGCCTCTGTCAGCAACATCTGCCCTTCCAACCTCAACCAGAGTAATGGCACTGTAGACAGCGACTCAGCTACACCTACTACAACTAGTGGCACTGTCTTGGAGAGGTACCAGTGCTGGCGGGTTTGGCTTTATTTTCCACAGTTTCCACCATTTTCCACTTGCTGCCAGAACTTCCTTTTGTCCAAGAGTGTGGTTCTCTAATTGCCCCAAGTCTAGCCTATGATAGTCCTGTTTTCTTGCAGCTTACCCAACATTTAGTGTCTGTTTAGTGTGTAGACAAAGCCTGGAAAGTGGGTTCAGAGCTATGTGAAGCCAGAACCTTGGCCTAGGCAGAAGTCAATAAGTACCCTTCGAAGTAAGGATCACAGAGTAGAATGTGCTTAAAATATAGTATTCTAGATTAGGATTCAACCTTGCTGACCTGACAGGCAAGCTTCTTCCCTTCCATGTTGATGGCATCATCTTCTCATCTTTCTCTATAGCAGCCACTTATTCAAGTAGTAATGACATTACCAGCAAGAGCCTCTGCTGCATCTTGTAGCAGAGTGTAGTTTCCTTAAATCTCCCTGTGGTGGCATTCTTAAGCTTGGCTTTTTTGTGCTGGGTAGCTGCTAGTTTGTCATGGTAGATGAAATAATTCATGATGTAAGATTGTGAGCTTCTTACATTGTAAGTCATAAAAATAACTGTGCTTGGAGCCACTGCATCCCACCAGCAGCCTCTTCACATCTTTCTCTTGCTTTTTCCCCCACCCTCTTCATATATGGTTTGCTTAGGATATGTTTCCAGGTTTCTCTGAGCTTCACATTTTTTTCCTCTTTTTTTTTTTATTTGTTTTTGCTTCTTCCCCAAGTTCTGAAACTGAGTCCCTAACCAAGCTGGATCGGTTAGTATGCCCTCTTTCTTTTCTCTGCACGAATGCGTGTATGTCAGAGAGCAGTGTATGCAATGGTGTGGCTTTGCTTCTGTTCAGAGTCCTGCTTCTTCCTGTTCTGGTCATTGCATGGCTGCAGAGCTCTCCATGTATAAAATGGAGCATACTGAGTGCGTCCTTGGTGTTGGCTGTGTCAGACTCTCTTGGCTCTCTCCTCCTTACCCTAGTCCTCATTGTGCCCTCTCTGGAGTGAATGAGAAGTGGATGAGGGGTGGAGGGGCAAGCAAAAGTCCTGCCATTTCATAATCCATTAGAGACCTTGCTCTGTCCACCTTTGTTCTATGCTGCAGTTCCTCTTCCTTAGTTTTTTATTGCCTTCCTCTGCCCCTCATCCCTTTTCTCGCCAGCTGCTGTCTTAATACTTTCTTTTCTCTGTAAGGGCTATAGCTGCCAGGATGTTGGTCTTTTTGCTATGTCAAAGGAGTAAGCTCTGGGAGCATGTTACTTGTACTTTTTAATAGTTGAGCTTCCTATTTCTTCCCTAAGGGAGAATTACTCCATTTTCTAAAGATGCTTTATATACTGCCCTTTGAATGCTAGCAAGTGGCATGCACCAAAAACTATAGTCTGTTTGCTCTCCTATACTTAGGAACTTACAGCAAATGTTTGGACACAGTTTTTTCAAGTTGTACATGAAAGTTAATCATAACCTTTTCAACATAAGAAGATGGCTCTCGCTTTTCCTTGTGTCTCCCTTTGCCCACTGATCTCTGGGCACCTGAGCTTGTTTCCCACTGCATCAAGACTGTTAAGCCCATCTTAGTGATCCCTGCCACAGGCAGCAGAAGGAAGCACATTTATTATCCTCTTTAAGGAAGAAAAGCCCTTTGAGTTTTGGATTATGAACATGGCCTCAGGTTGATTTCCAAGCAGAAGCCAGAGTTCTTCTGGCCTGTAACATAGGCAGCAATATGCATGGTGCCTGTGGCAGGTCTAATTGTGCTTTGATTTTGTATTTGGCATTCATTAGCTGTCCTCAAGGTCCTCACGACTGTAGTTTGCTTAGGCTAAAGCAAGAGGCAGAGAGAACGGTTGTTGTACTCAAGCCAGGTTTTCTGTCTCCCCAGGCTGGTTGTGAGTTCTTTAGAAGCCCTGGAAAGCTGCTTTGCCGTTGGTCCAATCATCGAGAAGGCAAGTTCTTCAAAGCACATGGGAGCTTTTCTGAAGAGGCAGGAAGTCAGTGAAGTTGTCAGAGGCTGGAGGCCTTGAATTTGAAGAGCACTTATGGTCTAATCTTGATTTGCAAAGAAGCACCAGAGAAGTCTTTGGCTTTAGGCCTCATGTCCTGGTTTTGGGGGGCTGTAGTGAGACCTGTCATAGAGCAGGATAAGTGAGTGCTGGTGCCCAAATCCTATTCTGGGAGTTGGAGTGTGTATCCTACTTCTTTGCCGGTGTTTTAGGGATTATAACTTCTGAATCCCTTTTTTTTCTTGGCAGTCTATGGTGTATAACCTAGCCCTGGTGCCAAGGAAGGAAGGAAAGAAGGGGGAAGGGCAGACTAGACAGGTCATTCTTTATTGAGTTGTTGGGATCAGTGGTAACCTTGCTATCTTTTGCATCAGGAGAGGAACAAGAATGCAGCACAGGAGCTGGCCACTTTGCTGCTGTCCCTGCCAGCACCTGCTAGTGTACAGCAGCAGTCCAAGAGTCTTTTAGCCAGCCTGCATACTAGTCGCTCAGCCTATCACAGCCACAAGGTAACTGTTCTCTCTATAGAAATAGGAGTTGTAGATCGGACAGGGAATTGAGTCAGTTAGCTTTCTGTTTGTAAAGCAAGGGTCTAGCAAAGCTGGAGACAGGACCTTCAATGTTGAGATTAAACCTAGTTTAAAGTTTCTCTGAGAAATGTATGAACATAATCAAAACTAAGAAAAGGGCTTAGCAGACCACTTGCATCTTTTTCTCTAACAGAATTAGCAAGACTTAAGAAAGAGAATGGAATGCTGAGTGTAGGCAGTAGCTCCTTGGAAAAGAGTACAGAAGTGGGGAGTCACTTAGGAGGTAAAGGCTGTCACTGTTCTCACCCCTCAGCTTTGGGCCCATGTGTAAGCATACTTGTGGTGAGGTGGTTAATTAGTGGTAGCTCTTGGGGAGACTCTGAAGAGGAAAACTGGGAAAGAAGATCTCTCTGAAAGTCTGCAGATGCCAAAGGAGATAACTTGGGCAGGTTTATGTAGATGGAATAGATAATGGTTTAGACCCAGGAGGAAGAAGGACTCTGAGAGAAGCTATGATCCATCTGCTTTGGCTTTTGACCCTCTCTCCTGTAAAATTGAGAAACACGAGGTTAGCCTTCTCAGATTGCTAAGGAAAGGCCATTTGGGAGCATCATCCTTGAGTAGTAGAAATTCGCTAATGAATATTTGCTGGAATAAGAGGTGTGGGCTGCTACAGTCCTGGAAATCATGCAGGTTCACACTGAGGTGAACTTTTGACTTTTTAAAGACTAATACTTTCTGAACTCAGAAGTTTAATATGTTTGATTGCTTTGGAGATTTATTTGTTAGAAAGTTGGTGGTAAATAACGTGATCTCTTGAAAGGAGACAGCAATCCTCATGATCTACCAGCTTTCCCCTGTTCTTTGCTTTAGTGTTGAGCCCATGCTTGTGGTTGATCCTCTGTGATGATGCTGTTTTATAGGATCAGGCCTTGCTGAGCAAAGCTGTGCAGTGTCTCAACACATCCAGCAAAGAAGGCAAGGACTTGGACCCTGAAGTCTTCCAGAGGCTGGTCATCACAGCTCGATCCATTGCCATCATGCGTCCTAACAACCTTGTCCATTTTACGGAGTCAAAGCTGCCCCAGATGGAAACAGGTGAACTAGGCCTTTGTGGCCGTGGTCCTGAAATTGGCTCAGTCCACCTTCTTTGTCCTATCTCATCCTCTTCCTGTTATTGCTGGCTGCTAACTGACTTCCTGTTCTGAGAAGGGATTTTGCTCCCTGTTCTTTATACCTTATAGGGCCTTTGCCATCAGGATTGTACCATTTTAATTAACTTCCTTTTCCAGTGCTTATCCTTTTAATCATCCCTAGGTTTATTTAGTGTTCTGTACGTCAGATACAATCTGTCTTTGAACTTGCTATGTCTTATGGTCTTGAGGGTAAATGTAAAGCTTGATTGGCCCTGGTGCTTATAAGCAGTTAAGTTATTTTGTATTTTTAGGCTGTTCATTTGCCATCACTTAATTAATGTGTACAGTGGCGTCTTTCAGTGCTTGATCCTGTTTCCTCTCCTCCTTACATTGGCTGAGTACCAAACCTGTTTTGCCATTGTCAAATAGAGTTTTCTGATGCTTTTACAGTTATCTATCATTGTCCTATTCGTCCTTCTAACACTACAATCCTGAACTCATTCTTGAGAAATCTCAGCTGTTCCGAGGTTTTACAGTTGAAAGGTTGGAACGGGCTTCTTTGAATCTACTGTGAAGATCCTCTTTGCTCCCTTCCTATTGAATTCTAACACTCAATGTTTTCTGTGATATTCCTTTCCCAGACTGTTTTTTTCCTAGATGTGCCTGCTGGAATCTAGGGATAGTTGGCATATTGATTGGGGCCCCACTTGAAACTCCCTCCGCAGGCAAGCTTCCTTGACCTGAGTTAACCTTAAAACAAATTAAATTCTGTCTTAGATTTACCATCGTTAATGATTTTTTTTCCCCTTGTGTAGAAGGAGTGGATGAGGGGAAGGAACCACAGAAGCAGGCAGAAGGAGAATGCTGTAGTTTCATCACGCAGCTTGTGAACCACTTCTGGAAACTCCATGCATCCAAACCCAAGAATGCCTTCCTGGCCCCTGCCTGCCTGCCAGGTATCATGTGAAACTGGATGCTTAGTACAAGTGACAGAAGTTCTCTCTAGTTCCTCCAGAATTAATCATTGCAGCTTAGGAGTCTGTGAGATCAATGCATTATTCCCTGTGGGAATTAACAGTATAGCAGGGAATGGGGTTTCTTCATGTGGGGTTGCTTCTATCACATAAAGAAGCACTTTGAGGGGCTGGGAAGGTGGCTCAGTGGTAGAGCGCTTGCCTTGCATGCCTGAGGCCCTGGGTTCGATTCCTCAGCACCACATAAGCAAAAAAAAAAAAAATCCCGGAAGTGGCGCTGTGGCTCAAGTGGTGGAGTGCTGGCCTTGAGCTGAAGAGCTGAGGGACAGCGCCCAGGCCCAGAGTTCAGGCCCCATGACCGGACCCCAAAAAAAAAAAAAAAAGAAGCACTTTGATGAGTGAGTGAGTGTGTGTGTGGGTGTGTGCATGCGCGCTTGCTTAGTATTTTTTTTCTTTTTTAATTTTGATTCAAAAAATAGAATAAAGGTCAAAGCCAGTTCAGAGACAAACATTAAGAATTTTCCTGAAGAATAATTTGTTTCCAGTGCACTACTGCCCTTAGTGTTTTGACTTCTCACACTGCTTTAAGTTTAGATCTGAATAGCAAAGGGTAAATTAAAATAACTCAGGGTGTCTGAAGCAGTAAACCCAAAAGGCATATCAAGATCATGTTTTGTTACATGGTAAGGGTTTGGGGAAAGTAGGGCATTTAGTCTTGGCCTATTCTTCACAGTTCCTTACTTTATCTTGATATCCATAGATAGAGCATGGCTGCTTAACTTCTGTCATTCAGGAGGCTATCTGCCACAGGTTTTGAGTACAGTTTGAGACTGAAAATAAAATAAATCACAAGCAGTACTGCTATAACAATTCCTACTGTGTGTGCTTTGTTGGCTTGTTGTGCTGTATGTTACTGATTTTTGTTTGACTGACCTTTATATGGGTTAAGAGTTTGTACCTTTAAGTATCTAGAGACTTCTACGGATTTTCAGCTATTTTTCTTGCCTTTATTTAGGTCTCACTCATATTGAAGCTACTGTTAATGCATTGGTAGATATTATCCATGGCTACTGTACTTGTGAGCTGGACTGTATCAATACAGCATCCAAGATCTACATGCAGATGCTGTTGTGTCCTGTACGTATTACACAACCCCACATGGCTCTCAACAGGCTAAGGGGTGTCTATAAAATTTTTAGTAAGCTAGTTAAGCTAATTAAATAAAATGGGAGGTTGATGGGGTTGTTTTGAATATTGATAAATGCCATAGAAAATAAAGTCAACTTAACCTGCTAATTTGGTTAGCTGGTTTGCTGATCTCCCAGTATGTTTATTAGGGACTGGCAAAGGAAGAAAAGTGTTAAGAGCTGGCTTCCTAAATAACGTTTGTGCTGGGTGCTGGTGGCTCACGCCTGTAATCCTAACGACTCAGGAGGCTGAGATCTGAGGAGCGAGGTTCAAAGCCAGCACAGGCAGGAAAGTCCATGAGACTCTTATCTCCAATTAATCACCAGAAAACTGGGAGTGGCTCTGTGGCTCAAGTGGTAGAGTGCTAGCCTTGAGCTGAAGAGCTGAGGGACAGCGCCCAGGCCGAGTTCAAACCCTAAACCGCCCCCCTCCCCCCCAAAAAAATTAGTGCTGTTTCATCATGACTGTTTTCCTTTTAAACTTTAGGATCCGGCTGTGAGCTTCTCTTGCAAACAAGCTCTAATTCGAGTCCTAAGGCCCAGAAACAAACGGAGACATGTAACATTGCCCTCCTCCCCTCGAAGTAACACTCCAATGGGTAATTTGAGGTCTGGGTTTAGTCTGGACTCTGGGATGAGGGTAGGGAGCCTGGTCCAGGGGAGGGGAATAAGAGGCACTGTGTCAGGATATGTTGTTTATATTGACCAATGCCCTAGAACCTCTATCTATCTATCTACCTACCTATCTATCTATCTATCTATCTATCTACTACCTACCTATCATCTATCCACTATTCCATAAATAATTTAAGATGTTAAAAAAATTGATACAGTAAGCAGAATAACAAAGCCAAAGCTATGGGAAATAAAGGTACATTAATAGTATTATAGATATAAAGCTTTGGCTATAGAGCATCTATTTCACCAGGTGATGGATAACCTGCATCATACCCTTGCAGGATGGATCCATTTAGCTGAAGCTTCCTAAGAACTAGAGCAAAAGTATCCTAAGAACAGTTAGAAAAATCCCAGTGACCAAACACAAAATGCAACTGTTGTTTTAGGAGAAAAGTACATTTCCTGGCACAAAAATCTTGATTAAGGATGTTTTGTTGTTAATGGGGCAGAGTCCTGAATGAACTTTAAATACAGTGTTTGCTAGCAAATTTCACAGATTGCACTCATGATATACCTGGAGATGGTCAAGGGCCACATTATACAGAGAAAAAGAAATAAGTACAATTAATAATACGTTTAGTAATATGTTTAGTAATTTAATTAATTTAGTAATATGTTAAATATTTCATATATATATGCATATATATGTCATGTAATCAATCTAAAAACTATTAGTAAAACACTTTGCATTTCCTAGTACTATTTTTGAAAACCAGTGTGTATTTCATGATGGTGTCATGTCTATTGATAGCCCTATTTAAAGTACTCAGTAGGCACATGTGGCTGATGTGATAGTGAATATCTAAAGTTAAATATATGGCCATGTAACTTTGGGGAGAGGGGGTCAGTCATAGGGCTTGAACTCAGGGCTTAGGCACTGTCACTGAGCTGCTTTTGCTCAAGGCTAGCACTCTACTACTTGAGCCACTGTACCACTTCCAGCTTTTGTATTTATGTGGTACTGAGGAATTGAACCCCAGGCTTCATACATGCTAGGCAAGCATTCTACTACTGAGCCACATTCCCATTCCATGAACATGTAATTTTGAGATACTCTTCCTTGAGTAACATTTATTTAAGTTTTCCATGAGTGAAAAAAATAGTTTGTGGCTCTCTTCACTGGTAGGAGCCTACAGTACAAATATTTCCTGTTCCTAAAAAGGACATATTTATAATGCTTTAAATCCAGTGCTTCAACTAGGAGGAGGACACAGAATCAGAGGGACCCATCAGCTGCACTGGACATTGATGAAAATGAACTAAGCAACTCAAGGGCAGCCATGGGAAGATGAGAATGAGAGGGATAGAGGGAACAGCTAATGCCAAGCAAAAGGAAAGAAATGTACATATCACCCAATGTAGAAGAAATAGCTCTATTGTCAAAGCTCATAACTTCACAAACTTCATAGACCACGATAATGACAATTTGCCTCATGAAGGTTAGAATGTGTTTGTGACTTTAAGTATTACTATCTCACAATACTATGGAATTTGTGAAATTTATGTAATCACTTAATCACAATAAAAAAATTTTTAAAAAATTCCAGTGCTTCAATGGAAGACGAGGTCTACATGGCCCTCATGGGCTTTTGCCTTAGAGGAAGGCCCTTCCATCTTCCTACAGAGAATGATGTTTCCTAGTAGGATCTATCGAGAGTTTCACATTTCACTTCTGATTCTTACAACGATTATGTAGTGTGGAAGTCTCACTCACTGATCTAGCTGCTTTGGAGAAAATTGAAATACTCTAAGCTGCTAACAGCAAAATATCTCCATCGTATTTTCTTCTGGCATGTCCAGAGTCTCCTAAGAATTGGTGGGAGTTTATAGAGCCTGTTTTATGGGAATACCTCACAATCCAAAGTTGTTTGCTTATTTTAATTTTAAAAATTTTTAAAATTTTTTTTGTCAGTCCTGGGGCTTGAACTCAGGACCTGGGCACTGTCCCTGAGCCTCTTTATCTCAATGCTAGTACTCTACCACTTGAGCCACAGCACCACTTCTGGCTTTTTCTATTTATGTGGTACCGAGGAATTGAACCCTAGGCAAGCACTCTACCACTTAAACCACATTCCCAGTCCTTATTTTAATTTTTTGTTGGTCAATGTCATTATACCTACATTCATCATCTGAGAAGTGTATTCTTATGGAGGATGAGCTGTCATTGCTAACTGTATCTTCCTAGATTCTGTTAAGCATGAGAAACAGGAAAACAAGGCCTCTAGGCTTAGGGCCCTGGAGTTGTACCTCAGAAGCACAAGGTGCTGGTTCTGGCTTCTTCTTCTTTTTTTCTTTCTTTCTTTCTTTTTTTTTTTTGTCACTTATGGGGGCTGAACTCTAGACCTGGGCGCTGTCCCTCAGCTCTTCAGCTCAAGGCTAGCACTCTACCACTTGAGCAACAGCGCCACTTCCAGCTTTTTTCTGCTTATGTAGTGCTGAGGAATTGAACCCAGGCCTCATGCATGTGAAGCAAGCACTCTGCCACTGAGGCAACTTCCCAGCCCATGGTTCTGGCTTTTCTTGTGCTTAGCTTGCTATGTGATATAGCATGTGTCAAGGGACTTTAGGTGACTAGGGTTTCTTTGACTCAGGAGACAAGGATGATGACGATGACGATGATGCAGATGAGAAAATGCAGTCCTCAGGGATCACCGATGGTGGTCACATCCGCCAGGAAAGCCAGGAACAGAGTGAGGTGGACCATGGCGATTTTGAAATGGTGGTGAGTCTGTTAGAAGGAGAGGGGAGAAGGAACTTTAAACTCCCCTCCAGCTCTTAGCTTCCTAAAGTTACCATTTGCTATGGGACACTGACAGAGCTTTCTCTCTGCAGTCTGAGTCAATGGTCCTGGAGACAGCTGAAAATGTCAACAATGGCAACCCCTCTCCCCTGGAGGCTCTGCTGGCAGGTGCAGAGGGCTTCCCACCCATGCTGGACATCCCACCTGATGCAGATGATGAGACCATGGTTGAACTAGCCATTGCCCTGAGCCTGCAGCAGGACCAACAAGGTAGAAGGCAATGCCGGGAACACAGTGGCCTTTGGCCTTACACTGGAAAGAGGGTTTGGCAGTTACTGATACACAGCTGACTTAGTTTGTCCCCAGATTTGGGGAGAGGTTGATCTGGGTGAGAGCTGTTCACAGGTGGAGAGTGAGAAGGATTGCTTTGGGAATTCTGGGCTAAGGAGCCAATCTCACAGTTTCTATATTAGCTTGGTCTTTTTGATGAATTCCTCCAGAATCTCTTTTATTCCTTGTGCCAGTGTTCTTCCTGAGCTGAAGGAAGCCTTTCCTGTCTTTATAACTAAACTTGGTGGGTGAACAGCAATGGCTGTTGATTAACTTCGTGGCTGGAAGGGGTCACATGCTGGTGTTCAGGAGGCCAAAGCAACGCTGTGGAGAGGGTCTGGAGGGGATATTGTGTTCACTCTCCACTTGTTTCCCAGGCAGCAGCAGCAGTGCCCTGGGCCTGCAGAGCCTGGGACTGTCCGGCCAGGCACCCAGCTCTTCCTCTCTGGACGCAGGAACCCTCTCTGACACCACAGCATCAGGTAACTGTCCACAGCAAGGAGCATGGCTCAGGGTCCCAGGACCCTCAGGCCTTGTTTCTAATGCTGTGAGAGTATAATGGGCAGCTGCTTTGACAGGCCATCTGGACTTCCTGCTTCTGCCATGGCTGTAAACATATGGGTGTGGAAGGAAAGCTCTGGGGCTTGGTAATGGCACTCACTGCTCTGCTTCCTCACGCTTTGCATGCTGCCTGGCTTCAGCTAATTTCCCTAGAGAGGTCCACAGAGGTCCACAGCTTGTAGGCTGATTAGCAATAGGCTTATGTTGAAGCATTCAGTATTCTTTGTCAGAGTTGTAACATGGTTTAGACATATTAAAAGAGAGACAAGACTTAGATTTCATATCTTTTAAATTGTCTTCATTTAAAAGTAAAAAGTAAAGCTATAAACAACTTGGTTAGGCATCGGAATTTTTGGGCAGTGTGGCTAACTAACCATCAGGGACCTGTGCGCTTGAGAGGTTGGGGTTGTGTGGACAACTAAAATCCATAGAAAACCTTCAGATCTCATTTTGTCTTTACATAAAATCTATTTCTTAATCTGTTAAGAAATAAAATGTATTTCCAAATGGAGAATTGGAGCATAGGAGGATGGCACACCTGAGAAATCCAGTGGAAAATCAGCCCCCAAGTAATTTAAGGGTTGATTTATATATATATGCTTGTTCAGAATGCATCTTTTATTTCTTTTCTTTTGGGAGTTTTACCGTGGATAGATAAGGAAAGGGCAAGACTGACTGTCCCCATCTGCTACCCTGTCTTGTTGCTTTTTGAGGTCTCTTTAGTTGCTGTCATTTCAAGCTTTGAGCTGTTGTGCTGTCCTGGTTGTGTTTGTATCTTGCTCTTTTGGCTGTCATGGCTTTTCTCCCCTATGTCTCTCATCCAGCATTTTCCTCCTGTCTCAGCTCAGCCCTGATCCTGGATGCTGTGGCTGTCTCTGGGGAATTTCCTTGCTTCATTATTAGCATCTGATGAGGATGATTAGGAGGTGTGAAATTTCCCAGTGAGCTCCCTTCTGGACTATTTGATAAAACAAACAGCTGATTCAAGAGCTCATGATAAGTGATTTCTTCACATTAGCACAAATTGACTGATTGCAAAGTAAATCTCATTAAAATTCTGAGTTCTATGCTTTGAATGGCAATGGCTAGTTTCAGATCTCTCAGTAGGTGTCAGTAACACCTAGACAATGGTAACCATGAAGCATTTAGCTAGAACACTCAACATCCATGTCATCTATTATTGCTGAATCTCTGCACTGCAATGTAACAGCGAAGGAAATGCCCAGCAAACTGGGTTTTCACTTCTGTCTAAGTACTGTTTGCAACGCACCTTGTGTAGTGTTTGTTCCGGTTAGTGATTAATTGGCAAAGCAAATCTTTCTTTTTTTTCCTCTGACCACAGGATATATTAACTGCACTGTATCTTCTGCACTTTGTGGTTTGATGCTTTCCCCCCAAGGGGGGGTTTTTACCTGTAACAGCTCTTGTTACTCTCTTAGCTCCAGCTTCTGATGACGAGGGCAGCACGGCAGCAACAGATGGCTCCACCCTGCGGACCTCTCCTGCCGACCATGGTGGCAGTGTGGGCTCGGAGAGCGGGGGCAGTGCAGTGGACTCAGTGGCTGGCGAGCACAGTGGTAAAGTGCCTGGGGCATTGTGGTCTTCTTGGGCAGAGGGTTGGGAAAAGATAGGATGGATAAATGAATGTTTGGGCCTTGAGTTGCTTCTAGCAGTGAGGAGCTTAAGGACTCACTGCAAATCTGAAGTTCATTTGATCTCAGCCTTAGAGTTTCAAGTGTTTAGTAATAGAGCTTAAAAGCTCAGTGGGTCTTGCAATTACGTTAGTGGAAGAAAAGCATTGATATGTATGGTCCTGAGTTATATAGTATAATTGAAGGTCACTATCCTTACTCTTTATCTAGTGGGAGAAAATGTGTTCTTGGGCTGTCCTGTTAATGATCTGTATTGATCTAGCAGCCATCCTGAAGTCATGAGTCAGGGTCTCTAACATGAAGAAACATGACAGCTGTTTCAGTTTGACCTTGGAAATAAGTCTGTAGATAAAAATCAGTTATGAAAAAATTTTATGAGGGCTTAGTTGGAGTTCCCACGAGACAGAAGTTGATAGTGGCTGGGATTAAGTTTGTTCTTGTGATTTAACATAGTGTGCTGGGGCTGGAATTACATTGAACTTCACAGAGTAGAAAACAATGTTTTATAATTTACCTTCTTCAACTATTGCTGGTTCAGAGTGCTTTGGGAGTTGATTTTTGCTCTTTAACCATTGCCCTCTAGTGTCTGGCCGGAGCAGTGCCTATGGGGATGCCACAGCGGAAGGGCATCCTGCTGGACCAGGAAGTGTCAGCTCAAGCACTGGTGCTATTAGTACTGCCACTGGGCACCAGGAGGGAGACGGCTCCGAGGGAGAAGGAGAAGGGGAAGCTGAAGGAGATGTCCATACCAGCAACAGGTCAGGATGGACCATTCTCAGTCACCAGGCTTGCCTGTCTCCTTCCAGAAAGAGGAAATGGAGCGTTAGCAATAGTTCTTTTCAGACATAAAGGCAATTGAAGCTGCCAGTTTTCTTTTCTTCCAACCATAGCTGACTTCAAAGTATATAGAGGTCCAGCCTACTTTGGGAATTGATGTGTGCCTCCCTTTCCTCCCCCCTTCTTTTCTTGTTTTTGTTTTTTTTTCTTTTTTTGGTGGAACTGGGTTTTGAACTCAGCCAATCCTAATCCTGATTTGTGCCTTTTAACTCATTTCCTTCTATTATCTGGCCTGTTTAAAATAATGGCAATGCCACAATAGAGAGGCACCTAGCTGCGTGTTTTTGTTTGTGACAGTGTATATCTCATAAACTGGTCTAGAACTGTCTTACTTTTCTGAGTAGTTATTGAGATAATTACAGAGAGAACGAAGAGTGGTTTTTCTCTGAAGACACATAAATCTCTAAGGAACTGTGAAGTGATTGTCATGAAAATAGGAGTTTTTCTTCCTAAAGTCTTTTGTTCCATTGTTTGTTAGAAAGTAAAGGAGAACAAAACACAGCAAAATGTAGATTGAGGTCTAGAAATACCCAAAGTGGAACATTTTGAAATTAAAAGTTATCCTAATCCATCTACTTCAAAAACTTATGGTAGTATACTGGATGGGTGGAGTGAATATGTTCACCAGCAGAAGATGACTAGAAAAGTAGAAGAGTGAGAAAAACTTAGGAATAATACTTGTAGACTTGGTGCTCAACCACCTTAGCCATGCCTCTAATTCTGGCTTTTTGCTATTGGCAATAAAAGTCTTGGAAATTGTCTTCCTGGGATGACATCAAAATTCTCAGATATCAGCATCCTTAATGGGGTTATAGGTCTGAATCACAGTGCCCCGCTAAATTTTTTTTTTTTTTTTTTTTTGTCGGTTGTGGGACTTGAACTCTGGGCCTGAACACTGTCCCTCAGCTCTTCAGCTCAAGACTAGTGCTCTACCACTTAAGCCACAGCTCCACTTCCGCCTTTTTCTGTTTATGTGGTGCTGAGGAATTGAACCCAGGGCCTCATGCATGCAAGGCAAGCACTCTACCACTGAGCCACCTTCCCAGCCTCCCCGCTAAATTTTTTAAATAATAGAACTAAATTCTACTATAAGGCAGTAAGGAAAATTGTGATTTTGGAGTACAGGAAATAAAAGGAAATTACTTCCTTATTGTATTTGTTTGTTTGTTTGTTTCAAGAGTAGCATTTAAGAATTTGGAAAGCCAGTAATCTAGTGTGATCTTAGTTGTCTACTCTGCTGGTTTTTGGGACTTCTTTCTCTGTACATGTTTATCTTGTGTATATTCTCCAAACATGAGGGCATTATTTCATCTTGGAGCCTGTTTTGTTTGGTTCATAAAGCTATTGGACTGTTGCTATTATCTTGAGTTTCCTCGCTGTTACCTTGTCCATCCCTGAGCAATTTTCTTTTACTTGCCATCTCTATACAGGTTGCAGTTTGCCTAGTTATTTGTGGATATCAGTGTGGGCCGTTGTGTATTATTTTCTGAAGAAGACTTAGCTCATTCCTTTGAGTCCTTTTTGGAATGATGACTATTTATTATTCCATTAAGAACCTGTGCTTTTTGAGGCCAGCCTGTGAAAGTTACTAGACCCTCATTAGTAGGCTGGGCTTGTAATCCCAGCTATGTTGGAGGTGTAAGTAGAAGAATTGAGGTTCAGCCTGTTGGAAAAACTAGAGGCTCTACTGGAAAACTATTAAAGCAAAAAGGGTCCGAGGATGTGACTCAAGTGGTAGAGGAAGTAAGAAAATATAGACCCCAGTACTATAAAACATAACAGAAAAACAACTACTTTCATTTAAACATTTATTAATTTGAAAATATTTTAGATACTTGCTAGGATAGGTATTGCATGAAAATGGCACATTTTAAATGTATATAAACCTGTGTCTTCTTTCACTTTATCTTATCTCTAAGATAAAGTGAAGCAGAAACAGTTGACTAATTATAAAAGTGAATCCATTAATTCATTCAGCAACATTGTTGTTATTCTGTATGAGATTATGAGTTACATGACAGCCAGCCAGCTTGTCTAGGAAGAGGAGATAGTATTGGCATGGAGTGTCATACTAAGTGGAGGCTGGGTATAAGATGGCAGTAAAGCAGTGATGACCTTCCTGAGGACTGAGACACATGAAAAAGGAAGGGTCTGGTTCTGAGCAGCTGGACAATAGAGAATTTGTACATTGGAGAAGTCTAGGAAACACCTGGAGGCAGGACTATCCACATGTGGCTAGCCTGTAGTTAGAGGCTGGGGATAAATGTGACTGGATACCTCACTTGGGAGATACCTTTAACTAACAGCTGCACATAAGAACAATTTTGTTCAGCTCTTTTAATAGAGTGAACTTTCTGCTTTTGTGTTTAGCTTTTTAAAATATTTTTGATGTATGTGTGTGCACACACAAGCATGCTTGCACATGCATGTGCCTATCCTGGTGCTTGAACTCAGGGTGTAAGTGCTGTCCCAAGTTTTTTTTGCCCAAGGTTAGTGCTCTGCTACATGAAACACACTTCACTTCTTGCTTTTTGGTGATTAATTGGAAAAAAAGAGTCACAGAATTTTCTGCCCAAATTTTAGTCCTCAGAGCTCAGCTTCCTAAGTAGCTAGGATTACAGGCATGGCCTACCAGTGCCCAACATCTTTTTGACTTTTGGGAGGGACAGGGTCTTGCTGTATAGCCTTGGATAGCCTCAAATTCTCCATTTCCTGCATCAGCCTCCTCTTGAGTGCCAGAATTATACACATACCACACCCACACTCAACTTTAATTAATTAATTAATTAATTAATTAATTTTGGTTGGTGGTGGGGCTTGAACTCTGGACCTGGGCACTGTCCCTCAGCTCTTCTGATCAAGGCGAGCGAGCACTCTACCACTTGGGCCACAGTGCTACTTCCAGTTTTCTGGTGGCTAATTGGAGATAAGAATCTCACAGACTTTTCTGCCTGGGCTGGCTTTGAACCACGCTCCTCAGATCTCAGCCTCCTGAGTAGCTAGAATTATAGGCATGAGTCACTGGTGCCTGGCTTTAATATCTTTCTAATGTTAGGATTATTCAGGTCTTACTTATTTTGGTACAGGAAGAAAGAATAATAGCTGGCTCTTGTTTATATAATGATTCATGTTGTATATTTTCTTTGGCCATTTAGGCTGCACATGGTGCGCCTGATGCTGTTGGAGAGGTTACTGCAGACCTTGCCCCAGTTACGAAATGTTGGAGGTGTCCGGGCCATCCCATACATGCAGGTATCCTTGATCTCCTGTGTCTACTACATTACACTTGGGCCATCCTTAGCAGTGTGTTATCTTTTTCAGTGACTCAGAAGACTTAGTGTTAAGTAACCAAAGGCTGTAAGCTACAGCCTTTCAGATTACTGATGAAGGCTGAGGGTCAGAGAATTATTTATAAATGCTCAAGGCAATCCAGCTTGGTATTGACAGAGGCAGAAGCAAAAGCTTACTCCTGAGACTTCATTGTACATTGTCTCTCTACTTCTTAAATATTAGAGTATGTTCAAGTTGATATTCCTAGACTAGTTCTCTTCCTTAAAGGTTAAATTGTTCTTTGATTCTAACCTGAGCACACTACTCTATCTCAAGCTACTTTGGCTGGATATAATGTAGGTTAGTCAGTTAATTTTGCAAAATTCTTGCAAAACCCTCTCATTGCTGCTGGCATATATTATAAATTGGTTCTTCTGACTAAACACTTTAGCTTGGGAAAACCTGGAACTTAGAACATATTACCAGTGTGATTGGCAGAGCAGTCCAGAAAATTGAGATGTCTTCATGTACACCTCCTTCCAGAGTTCTTTAGCAAATTGGCTTCCATGTTTTCTGTCTTCAGGTCATTCTAATGCTTACTACAGATTTGGATGGAGAAGATGAGAAAGACAAGGGAGCTTTGGACAACCTTCTCTCCCAGCTGATTGCTGAACTGGGTATGGATAAAAAGGTAAGTTGGAGGGTTGTGAGGTATGACAAGGTAGGATTGGCCCAGCTCCTCAGGATCCAACTCCTTTCTTAGAGAAGCATCACCTAGTTCTGGGGTACCATTTACTGAAGGCTTCGGGTTCTGCTGGTTCAACACAGTGAGTTCAGTGGCTACTTTGGCCTAGGCATACTTTGGGACCTGAGTACAAATGACAGATGAGACAGTCTCTGCCCTCATGGACCTTTGTGGTGGAGAAGAAACATTGAATTGGCTGTTTGCTTTTTACTGCGGCCTTCTGAGTATTGCAGGCTCAGATATAGTTCATGTGCACTGGCATTTTTTGTTTTTGGTTTCCCCTGAGAAACACTTAGTACATATAGGTTTGAGGAAGTCGTGTTCAGAGGGTGCCTCAAGCTTAAAGGAAGTGTAGAAGTCTGAGCTCTGTTTCTGCCTGCAGGATGTGTCCAAGAAGAATGAGCGCAGTGCTTTGAATGAAGTCCATTTGGTAGTGATGAGGCTTCTTAGTGTCTTCATGTCCCGCACGAAGTCTGGATCCAAGTCTTCCATATGTGAGGTATTTTTGCTTTGAGCTTATGGGTTTGGGGATAGGTAAGAAGATTGGCTGGTAGGTGCAGAGAGGAGGGCAGAGGTGACAGTCCTGTGTGAGCATAAGACCACTGTTGCCCAAGGGGAGTAAGGGAGTAATAGTCTAAGCTGCCGTCTCTTCAAGAGCAGAACTTCCCCCTTTGTTAGAATCCCTTCCAAGCCCAAGTCTTTACCAACAATCCCTCCAATGGAGAGGTTAAAGGGTTTGGAAGTTCCATTATTGAAAAGCAAGGTCCTGTTCTGCAAGGCACAGAGTGGCTAAGAGGATTCCCCTAGTGTCTGTTGCTATAAGGTATGGAAATAAAGCCGAGAGAAAGCAAAGTGTGTGTTGAAAGGAGATTAGCACAAAGCGGAGAAGGTGGAATGGAGGCTGAACTGCATCCAATCTTAATGAGCTTATGTGCTGTGGGGTTTGCTGGGATTTGCGAGGCTCTCTAATGGTCTTATTTACAGTAGCTTTTCTCCTACTTTTTATGCATGTGATCACTCACCCCATCTCCTTTGGAAGCTGGTTCTATGGGAGGAGTCCTACTGGGAGAGTGAGGCTGCTTAGAAGTATCTTCTTGAAGAAAGGTTCTTTCCTTGTTGCCCAAGGAAAAAGAAAAAAACCCATCCTTCTGGGAGGAGAAGGTAGTCCTTACCTCCCTGGCATATGGGTAGAGATGAGGTTGAGCATTTTCAATGCAAAAGACTGATAACTTATTTATATAACAGTTTGTTTTCAGACCATTGTGGGAACATTTCCTACCCTTTTCCACCCAACCAGATTTCATAGGACATTCTTGCCTTCTCTGTGTGTATTTTCTTTCTCCTAGTCATCTTCCCTCATCTCTAGTGCCACAGCTGCAGCCCTGCTGAGCTCAGGGGCTGTGGACTATTGCCTGCATGTGCTCAAGTCACTGCTGGAATATTGGAAGAACCAACAGAATGATGAAGAACCCGTGGCCACTAGCCAGTTGCTGAAACCCCATACAACTTCATCCCCTCCTGATATGAGCCCATTCTTTCTCCGGCAGTATGTGAAGGTAAAGTCTTTCCCCAGTCAAAAGAGAGGTCCTGGTACTCCTCTCAAGCACTGCACTCTGAGCCCTCAAAGAATAAAGCTGGAGGAGCTCAGAGTGAGGAACCTCAGAAAAGGAAATTCGGTTCCTTGGTGGAGTTTAATCTTGGCATGTTTTAATAATTGCTCACTCTGCTAAGATTATGATTCCTGTCTTTTTGTAAACGCAGGAAGTGAGCAAATTAGTCATCTCATTCCACATGAAACTCCTTAGAAAAGATGAGATTGTATAAGGCAACTTCAGCTGCATGGGTCTTGTCCTCATGTGTATGTCACATATCTGCCTGCTGCCATAAAAGGAAAACCCTTGGTTATGCTGGTTTGGATGAGCCCACAAACCAGGTCTACCCAGTGTTCTTACATACCAACCATGAAGCATGGAGAAGTTCTGTTTAACCTCAATATCTGTCTCTAAAAATGAGCATATGATGCTGCCTGCGCAGGAAAGTTTTGAATTTAGGGAATGGAATACATTTTCACAGAAAGTCAGGAATCTTTACTTACTACTATTTCAGGTTTTTTTTTAATCAATATAGATCTGATTTTTGTACATGCAGAAAAACAACACAGTATTAAAGTGTCAGAATTTTTAGTTCATTACATGAACTAAGTCTTGGGTCTTCTGAGTTTGTCAGCAATGGCTTTGAATGGTGGTCTTTACCAACTCCAATACATAGGATTCCTGGTGAGCCTGTTTCCTCATTGAGGTCCCAGTTTCTCACACAGATGTTCTTCTTCAGGGTCATGCTGCTGATGTGTTTGAGGCCTATACTCAGCTGCTCACAGAGATGGTCCTGCGGTTGCCATACCAAATCAAAAAGATCGCTGACACCAGTTCTCGAATCCCACCTCCTGTCTTTGATCACTCATGGTTCTATTTTCTCTCAGAGGTGAGTGAAAGCCTGAGAAGTGTGCTACTCCAGGAAAGGATACAGCTGCTCTTACTCTTGTTTCCTACTTTCAGTGTTCCCCTATTAGAGCCCTTGCTTGTTCATTTAGGTTGTGGTTTTACCCCTCTGGCACCTGATGTACACATTTGTTGCTAGAAGATAGGGATTTAATCAGCAGTTGGCTGTAATTTGTGACTCTGTCACCTAGTTTGCCTCACAGGGTAGTGATGATCAAGTTCAGTCATACAGGTTATCAGGAAGACAGAAGGCATGCTAGTGAACTGCACAGAGGCTTTGTGCAGAGAACTGATGAAATAGCTAGATACCCCCATGAAGATAGAAAAGGAACACTGGTGACACAGCCCTTGTATGGCAAAGGGAGGCCTGAGGGATCTGGGCTGCTCTCTACAGTGGAGCTATTGCTGGTACCTCTTTTGGCCACAAAGGATGTGTTATGTAGATTCAGGGACACCCAAAGAAGCTGCTGGTTAGAGCTGACTGCAGCTACCTGGGGAATGTTGTTGCTAGAACTACAGATAGCACAGCAATGAGCCCATAGCTTCTACCTTCAGCTTCCTTCCCCATTGGCAGATACTAACATTGGTCAGCTGGCAAAGAGCAGTGCAGAATAGGATAGGTATGCAGAATAGCATAGCAGAGTATAGCCACATGGGTTTGGAGCTGAGAGACTATAGTTCTTTTTTTTTTTTTTTTTTTTTGTGGTCAGTTGTGGGGCTTGAACTCTGAGCCTGGGCGCTGTCCCTCAGCTCTTACAGCTCAAGCCAAGAGCTCTACCGCTTGAACCACAGTGCCACTTCCGGTTTTCTAGTGGTTTATTGGAGATAGAGTCTCACAGACTTTCCTGCCCCGGCTGGCTTTGAACCTCGATCCTCAGATCTCAGCCTCCTGAGAAGCTAGGATTACAGGCGTGAGCCACCAGTGCCCGGCGAGACTAAAGTTCTGACAGCACTGCACAGCTACTTGATACCAGTTCTGGGAAAAATAATCTCAAATGATCATTTGCAGTTCTGGAGCCATACTACTCTGCCTTTCCCCTAGCTATGATACCTAAAAGATTTGGGATGCTTTTCTCCATTTAGTTTCATTTTGTGAGCTGGTATGAAGGCCAGTATCCTGTTTCTGAGAATGTGGTGCATAAATGCCATGATCCCTTTTTTCCTTCTTTTTTTTTTTTTTTTTATGTATATGCATACTTCTTTTTTTCTTTAAGGAATCAAAAATAGTTGATTCTTGTTATCTAAACATTTTGGATCCATAGCTTCAAACAACTGCAGATAAATCTAAATGTGTATGTTCTAAACATTTACAGACATTTTCTTGTCATTCCCTAAACAATACACCATAACAGCTATTTACAATAATTCATATGGTATTAGGTATTATAAGTAACCTAGAGATTATTGAAAATAAAGGATGTAGGTAGATTATATTCAAACACTATACCATTTTGTATCTCAAAATCCATAGATTTTGAGGTCTGTAGGGGTCCTAGAACCAGTCCTTGTGGAATGACTGGTTTGTTTGAGTTCTCACCAGTTTCCAATAGCAATGTATTAAAAACTAAGATGCTTGAGTTACAACTTGTACATATAAGTTCCAGATTCTGTTCTTCTATTTTTTTAATATGCAGTATTGGAGGTTATACTTGGCAGGCAAATACTCTGTCACTTGAACTACTTTGCACTCTTTTTGCATTGGTTATTTTTGAGATGGTGTCTCACTTTATGTCCAGAATAGCCTGGACTATGATCCTCCTATTTTCCCTTTTGTCACAGGAATGGTGATGTGTGTCAATGTGTCCAGCCATCATGTTTCTCCTGTAGTTTGAAATGACAGACATGCACCACTGCATCTAGCCATTGGTTGATAGGAAGTCTTACAAACTTTTTTACCCAGGCTGATCTCAATGATGATCCCTAATCTCTACATCCCAAATAGCTAGGATTATACTGTTACAGCTGAGTCACTTTACCTGTCTGACTGTATTCTTTATCCATCAAGTACTTGATGATCCAGCAGACTCCATTTGTACGCCGCCAAGTCCGAAAACTTCTGCTCTTCATCTGTGGATCAAAGGAGAAGTACCGACAACTCCGGGATTTGCACACCTTGGACTCTCATGTGCGTGGGATCAAGAAGCTGCTAGAGGAACAGGGAATATTTCTCCGGGCCAGTGTGGTTACAGCCAGTTCAGGCTCTGCCTTGCAGTATGACACACTCATCAGCCTGGTAAGAGGGCTGGGGAATGGTAGGGCAAGGGGAGCAGGTGCTGAGGCTTAGCCAAGTATATAACTAGATGAGGGTCTTAGGGAATGTCATTGCTCCATCTCACAGAAAATCTCCAACACCAAAGCCATGCTAGTCCCTTTATGTTTGGCTTCGGGGTCTGCAGTTCCTCATTCCCATCAGTTAATGACATGGGTGGCATAATCTTACTAGTTCACTTGTTCATATCATGGACTATCATGGGTAGGATGAACCTGAAATTTGAGCATCTCTGTTTTTTATCCTTGAATACTAAAGCAGTGATGGAGTATAAAAACTTCTTACTGCCTGAGGAGAGAGAAACTGTTTGAACTTAGGGGAGTAACTAGAATACTTTTTATTTGAGCATCTGGAAAGAAGATAGTTCTTAGCTTGTTCATCTTGTGTGTTGTTTATAGCAAGGAAAAAAATGAATTGGACTATAGTTTGTTTTATGGACTGGCCTGCCTTTGCTGCCTTAGTGAGTGACCTGAAGACATTCTGTGTGATAGGAATTGGAACAGAAGTAGGCTTTTGTGAGGTATGCTTATGAGCATACCCTGCTCCCAGATTTGCCATTCATCCCTTGAATGGAAGACAGTGGTTACTTCATGGACCCAAACAGGGTGACAGGCACTTAAGGTAGCAGGTGTGCATATTTGGGCTGTGATTGGCTTCCCTTTCAGATGGAACACCTGAAAGCCTGTGCAGAGATTGCTGCCCAGCGAACCATCAACTGGCAGAAATTCTGCATCAAAGATGACTGTAAGTGTTTCTTCTTTTTTGTTCATTCCCCCAGAGCTATTTATTGAGGCTTGCCCTGTGTTCAGTATTGACTTGATGCTAGAGATATAGCCATGAGCAAGATAAAGAGACAGAACTCTGCCTAGCAAAGAAGACAGTAACTTAACAAGTGAAAAGGATTGGTGGTGAAAATTGGGAGCTCTGGGAATACAGAGCAGGACCCAGATGGTGGCAGTAAAACAGTTGTCAGAGAGTTTAGAGAATCCTTCCAGTGAGGCTGGAATCTGTCTGCAGTTGTCTTCATCCACTGAAATCTTTCTTCTTTCTGGTAGCATCTAGCAAAGCAAACTTTGGTGGGAATAGGGCAGCTGCAGTCATGTGGCACAGTCCCTTCTGTTAATTGTGTAAGTAGTTCAGTCCCCCCATAGCTCATCACTGCTTCTCTGCTTGCAGCTGTCCTGTACTTCCTCCTGCAAGTGAGTTTCCTGGTGGATGAGGGTGTGTCCCCAGTGCTGCTGCAGCTGCTCTCCTGTGCTCTGTGTGGCAGCAAAGTGCTCGCGGCCCTGGCAGCCTCCACAGGTTCCTCCAGTTCCGCTTCCTCCTCTGCTCCTGTGGCTTCCAGCTCTGGACAAGGCGCAACACAGTCCAAATCTTCCACGAAAAAGAGCAAAAAAGAAGAAAAGGAAAAAGAAAAAGATAGTAAGAGTAATTTTTTGGTGCTAATCACAGTGATATGTTAACTCTTGGAGTACATCATTTATTCTGAAATTCTAAAAGGTCATTTATCCTGGGCTTTCCACAAGCTTCTGTAGTGTCATTTTCAGTTGTGGTGACACCTTCGACAATTGTGTGACTATCTTATACAAAGTATAGTAATCTTTAGTAAGCCAAGCTGCTGCTTCTATGGAATAATAGATAATAGACTATAGAGTGATTGTCAGAGTTAGGTGAAGTGATGCTTAGCCAACTAGGAATGTGCCAAAAATGTCAACTTTCAGCACACCCCTTACCTTAGCTTCTCTGTTCCATGGGCCTTGGGGACTTGAGATGGTGATCTGCAGGTTGGGAGCAGTGGAGGTGCTTTGCATTCTCCCAAGTAATTACTTAGCCTCTATCTGTAGCAGTTACTTAGTCTGTCTACAGTTTACTGTTTGAGATAGCCAACTATTGAAAAGAAATTCTTCTCCCCTTAACTATATTTCTTTGGTGCTAGGGTTATAACAGGCATATTGTCCTGTGCTTTTTTTGTATTAACATATTTATATGTCATTTGGGGCCAATCTATTTGTCCTCTAGTGAACAACTGAAAATTGTTTTGCAGATTATAACCATTTAGGGTAAAAACAGTTAGAGATGGGATAGAATTCCCCCTCTCCATATTCCTCCCTCCATCATTCTCTCTTCCCTTCATCTGGTAACTTGGCCCTAAACACCTAGGTGACTTCTTTTTTTTAATTTTTTAATTTTTTTTTTTTTGGGGGGGGGGGGTATGGGTCCGGTCGTGGGGCCTGAACTCTGGGCCTGGGCGCTGTCACTCAGCTCTTCAGCTCAAGGCTAGCGCTCTGTCACCTGAGCCACAGCGCCACTTCCGGCTTTTCTCTTTTTGCTTATGTGGTGCTGAGGAATCGAACCCAGGGCCTCAGGCATGCAAGGCAAGCGCTCCACCACTGAGCCACCTTCCCATCCCACTTTTTTATTTTTAACTTATTATTTTTTTTTTTGTAAAAGACATGTACAGAGCGGTTATAGTTACATAGGTCAGGTAATGATTACATTTCTTTTTGAAATGTATCATTTCTTCCCTCATTTTCTCCCAGTTTTTGCCTAACCAGCCCCCTCCCTTACAAGTTGTATAGTTCATTTTTCAACATAGTATCTAGTGAATATCATTGCTGCATTAGTTCACCTTTTGTCCCACTGTTTCTGTGCTTCCTCTTCTCTCCTCCTCCCCCAAATAGATAAACTTACATACAAGACAAAAAGTATAGAAATAACAAATAGCAATAAAAAGGGAAAAGCAAAAAAAAAAAAAAAAATCACAAAAAATTAATTAAAAAGAAAACCTCATTTTCATTTCTTGGAGTTCATTTCGATAAGCATCCTTTTATATGATCATATGCAAATAGCTACTGAGTCTTTGTGATCCTCTCCTAAGAATACCCTCCTTTGATCTCACTGTATGAATGTTTAGAGTCCTGTTACTTTTCAGGCTTCAGTCCTGCCCTAATTTTGCAGGTGAGAGTTCAGGTAGCCAGGAGGACCAGCTGTGCACAGCTCTGGTGAACCAGCTGAACAAATTTGCTGATAAGGAAACCCTCATCCAGTTTCTGCGTTGTTTCCTGTTGGAGTCCAATTCTTCTTCTGTGCGCTGGCAGGCCCACTGCCTGACGCTGCACATCTACAGGTAGCTCCAGGGCTCAGTTTGCAAATCTGCACAGGTCTGGGACTAGGGTGCATAATGGAGTTTCCCTTTGGTTTTATGTTACCTACTTTAGGTCATGGTATTAATTAGTACTTCTGCCTGCCTGAATCCTTGAGCACTAGACATTTCATCACTAATTTGTAAAATGACCAGGTTTAACTTATTAGATCAAAAGCTCAGTTGGGTGATGCGACTAAATCACCACTTGAAGAAAGCAAAAGGCTAGGCCATATTACCATAAAAAGGTTCCAGCCTACACCCTACTTGTAGGGGCTTAGAAATAGTGTCTAGGCCTTGGTGGTAAATATAGGTGCCTTAGTTTGCTGCTGCTTGCTAATATGAGCTGACATTTACTTACAGAAACTCCAGCAAATCTCAACAGGAGCTCTTGCTAGATCTCATGTGGTCCATTTGGCCAGAACTCCCAGCTTATGGTCGTAAGGCTGCCCAGTTTGTGGATCTACTGGGATATTTCTCCTTGAAAACAATACAGACAGAGAAGAAGGTAACAACTGATCTATTATCATAGATGCTAACTTGCCTTACTGAATTTTTTCTTATGAGTTTAAAACATTATAGCCATTATGGGTAGGGTTCCCATATGTGAATCTATTTTGAATATATCTAGTTTTGTATTTCTAAAGTTATAGGTCCTTCATGTAAACCATGAAAACAACACAATTAGCACAGGAATGTGATCTGAATTTGGCTTAGCCAAGAGAAATGGAAGATGTAGGGTGAGGAAATGCAGCTCAATAAAGTTGCTTGGGAAAGAAAGTCCTCCCTGATTTTGTGTCCAAAATATGTTTCTGCAGTTAGACAAATCATTCCATGTCCTTTCCTTAAGCATAATGTCTTCCTCCATTGAATCTGAAAGGTGGCAGTTGCTGAGACTGAGAGGACTTATAAGAAAATAGAATCCGTTCGACCTTTGGGAATTAGGACTATCTTTGTGTTTGTGATTGGCTACTGAGAAGTTCAGTGCTTGTTGGATAATCTCTAGCCACAAAGCTGAAGGCCAAAAAAAAAAAACAAACAGAAACAAGCTGAAGGCAAAAAGTCTTTAACAAATAAAGACTTGAGCTTTAATTACATTTCTTTTCTGAATTCTGTTTCAGTTGAAGGAGTATTCACAGAAGGCTGTTGAGATACTTCGGACTCAAAACCATATTCTCACCAACCATCCCAACTCCAACATTTACAGGTAAATGAGATTTGTTTTGATTCCTACTATTTGAAGTGCAGTCACCACTTTGAATAGCTATTTCCTATTGAGTAGTCCTTTCATATGAATTACAAAGGTCTTCAGGTACATTGATTTCAACTTGTCCGTCCTTGGCTCCTCCCAGGCCCTAGCACATTGAAGGCACTCAAAATATAATCACTGAATTAATGCTTGGGTAAGCTAGTAGTATCAGAAGGTCTCTGGTGTTGAGGGCTTAATGTAAATAAGAAAAATGACTTCACAAGCTGGGCACTGATGGCTCATTTCTGTAATCCTAGCTACTCAGAAGGCTTAAGATCTAAGGATTGTAGTTTGAAGCCAACCTGAGCAGGAAATTCTGTGAGATTCTTAGAAATGGAGCTGTGGTTCAAGGATAGAACACTGGCCTTGAGCAAAAGAACCTCAGGGATAGCACCCAGGCCCTGAGGTCAGGCCCCAGGACTAGCATACAAAAAAGTTCACAGACACTGTCTTCTTTTTTTAACTAAAAACACAATCACAGAGACTTGAAAGAGGACACTGATTAAATTTATGGTTTATTATTTCCCTGATTTAATAATGACTTTAAAAAACAAGTTTACTGAGCTGGGAATGTTGCTTAGTGGTAGAGTGCTTGCTTAGTATGCATGAAGCCCTGGGTTCGATTCCTCAGTACCACATAACTAGAAAAAGCTGGAAGTGGTGCTGTGGCTCAAGTGGTAGGGCATAGCCTTGAGCAAAAGAAGCTCAGGGACAGTGCCCAGGCCCTGAGTTCAAGCCCTAAGACTGGCAAAAAAAAAAAAAAAATTGATACAATTTGGTACTATTTTAAACATATCATACAGTAATTTTATTGATTATTTGTCTTTGAACTTGGCTTCACCATTTGCTAGGCTAGCATTCTACCACTTTGACCATGTCTATAGCCCTGGCCTTTTGCTGATTATTTTGCAGATGGAGTCTTGTGGACTTTTCTGCTTGGGCTAGCTTTGAACCTTCATCCTCCAAATTTCGGCCTCTTAAGTAGCTAGGATTACAGGCATGAGCCACCAATACCTGGCTCAATGATTTAATATATAATTATGATTCTTCTGAGTCAGTTAAATACAATTTAAAATTTCATTGAATGTTAGCTCAAACATATGAAACATCTGAGGTCATTTAATTTAAATTTCCTTCCTGTGACTTGTATAGCATTTTGGGATTATTTACTACCCTTGTGTTCTTATGGGAGAATGGGGGTTTACTTTGGGGATGTTTGTCCTAGCTTCTTTGAGAAGCTCAATATTTTCTAAAATGAAAATTTCCTTATGCTGAAACTGGTTTCTTCCTTAGCACCTTGTCCGGCTTAGTGGAGTTCGATGGCTATTATCTGGAGAGTGATCCCTGTCTGGTGTGTAACAATCCAGAAGTGCCATTTTGTGTAAGTAGCATCTTTAGCATGACAGGTCCACTGGCTTCTCATTTCCAGACATTAGTTATTATGACATAGATGTTCTTCCTCAGGTGGTTGGTGACCAGTGGCATAGCTTCTTGCCTACCACAGCACTACCTTAGAATGAATTGCCCTGATGAACTGTTAGTCTTGTACTAATGCTGTGTTTTTGTGTACCTTTGTGTCTAGTATATCAAGCTGTCTTCCATTAAAGTGGATACACGATACACCACCACCCAGCAGGTTGTGAAGCTGATTGGCAGTCACACCATCAGCAAAGTGACAGTGAAGATTGGGGACCTAAAGCGGACCAAGATGGTGCGGACTATCAATCTGTATTATAACAACCGAACTGTGCAGGCCATCGTGGAGTTGAAAAACAAGTATGAGCTTTTCAGACTTGGGGTGAGATTGCAGGATTGTAAGGCTTCATTCCAGGTGTTGGCTTTGAGTTCTGGAATGGGGCAAAGAAACATATCCTTAGGGGCCAGTATGTCCTCTTAGCCACACCAGTCATGCCTGACTGACAAAAGGGGAACACAGGTACTTAAGGATATTTAAAGTTAGTCCAGTGGTACCACAGAATCCTTTGGCAGCTTTTCACCAGTCTACTCTTGGGTACCTCCAGGGCCTCAGTGAGCTATTGTTTTCTTTTCTTTCCTTTTCTTCCCCCCTCTCATTAGGCTATTATTACTGAGAGTTAAAAGAGAGGCACTTAGGCCCTCTTGTCTCCTAACACTGTCTCTTTTAGACCAGCCCGCTGGCACAAAGCAAAGAAAGTTCAGCTGACCCCCGGTCAGACAGAAGTGAAGATTGACCTGCCGTTGCCCATTGTGGCCTCCAACCTGATGATTGAGTTTGCAGACTTCTATGAAAACTACCAGGCATCCACAGAGACCCTGCAGTGCCCACGCTGTAGTGCCTCTGTTCCTGCTAATCCAGGGGTGTGTGGCAACTGTGGAGAGAATGTGTACCAGTGTCACAAATGCAGGTAATCCTCGGCTTGTCCCCCAGGGAGGGCTCACACCCTTCCTGTTTTCCATAACTGTCCCTTTGGGCAATTTTATTATCTGGTGTACTGGCTAGTGAGATGATTATGGAATGAGTGGAGAGTCTGATGAGGAGTAGGGGAAGAAAGGGAGGTGGAAGAATGGTGTCTGCATATGTGTTTGTGTTCATCCAGTGTGGTTGATTACTTCATTTCCACCTATTGGTTATTGATTATTATCCCTTCAGTAATTCCTGCACTAGCATCCTGAGTATAGATGTGGTATATCCTCTTCCTCAGTCACCTACATAACCCAAATCGCTGCTGCTCCACTGATCTAACACTTTGGTTCTTTAGATCCATCAACTATGATGAAAAGGATCCTTTCCTCTGCAATGCTTGTGGCTTCTGTAAATATGCTCGCTTTGACTTCATGCTCTACGCCAAGCCTTGCTGTGCAGTGGATCCCATTGAAAATGAGGAAGACCGGAAGAAGGTATGGTCACATCTGGCATGCACTTAGGCAGTGGGTTTATTTGAACTTCAAGCAATGCTGTTGCATTTTTGTCTTGACTTCTGGCCCAAGTCTTCCTCAATCCAGCAAATATCGGGTCCCAGGGATCAGGTTTTGTATAGAAGCAAATAATGGCATCATGTGTACTGGACCCATGAGTTTGGAGATTGGTACTGAAACTCCATGTCTCTAGGAGCAGATAACACCAGTTTAGAAAGGCAAAAAGGAGTCAGATGACATGCCTTGTATTTGTTCCATAACTGTTTCAGTTGAGGCTGCTGGCTTTTCCTTAATGTTAGCTTATCAGGGACATAATCTCTTAGGTCTGGATGGATGCTAAAGAGCCGTGAAAAGGAGTCCTGTTGGGATAATAGCAGAACATTTAGCTTTGGATTCAGAAGGACAAAAAGTTCGTATTCCAGTTAGTCTTTTTTAATGCTTTTATGACCTTGCATTGCATAAATTATTCTTGAGCATTACATTTTGTTTTATTCTATACCTCTCTATATATTCATATAAAATTAATATACTATCTGATAGGATTGTTAGTGAGGGAGATAGTGTACAACATTGTGACATATAGGAAATGTTCCAAGAAGTTATGAGCAGTTAGGATTACTTAGGGAAGTCAACATGCTGAGAAGACTTCACACAGGTCCCTTTTCTCTTCCTGTGTAGGCTGTTTCCAACATAAACACACTTCTGGACAAAGCTGACCGAGTATATCATCAATTGATGGGACATAGGCCACAGCTGGAGAACCTGCTATGCAAAGTGAATGAGGCCGCTCCAGAAAAGCCACAGGTATTCCCAGACTGGATGGTCACTGAGGGAGGGTTTTGTGTCAGCAGCAGAAGACTGCCTAAGTGAAGTCATCTTACGGGGACATCTGACAGTTTACTTCTTGGGTTGTAGGAAGACTCTGGAACGGCAGGGGGCATCAGTTCCACATCAGCCAGTGTAAATCGCTATATCCTGCAGTTGGCTCAGGAGTACTGTGGTGACTGCAAGAACTCATTTGATGAACTCTCCAAAATCATCCAGGTGTGTTTTTTCCAAATAAAATTGATGGCTGTTTTCACAGCAGTCCTATTGCAGTTCAGTTCTTGGTGTTGTATTTTCCCAATCCTTTTGGTAATATAGACCAGATAGTGCCTCCCATATTGCAATTTCTGCCACTTCTCAGAGTGCTGACTTCGGCTGTAAGACAGAATGTTTTTCTTGTCCATTAACAAATCTGTATTTAGAACAGTTAGTACTTCCAGAAAAAAAAAAAAGTTTCCAAAATTCTATTCCCCTCTTCGAATATGCTATGTTTGTAGGCTAGAGGATCAGAGAGCTGCAGTCAGCTCAGGTGGGCTGCATATGAACATTCTGTCACTGACTCCATGATAGGATGCCAGCCACAGGCGGTGAAGCTTCACCCAAAGAGAACATCCAGTTCATTACTTCCCCCTAGCCCTCCAATCACTGGCTCCCATCTTTGCTAAACATACCCAAGTTTCTGACCCTTTCTTTTTTTAAAAGACAGTTTTACAGAGAGGATGAGCCTGTGATCAGAGTTTGATTTTTGACTGGCTCCCTTAATTTGTGAAACATCTATGTTAAGCTTCAGTTTCCTCTTCTGTAAAATGAGGATAAAATAACTGTGAGGTTATTGACAACACTGAATTAATAATGCAGATGAAGTTGTTTTCCAAGTGAAACTAACTTTCTAATTAACTTCCTTTGTGCTTATTTTAATTGCCTATTTCATTTTTGTCTTTTCATTTTTAGAAAGTCTTTGCTTCACGCAAGGAGTTGTTGGAATATGACCTGCAGCAAAGGGAAGCAGCCACCAAATCATCCCGGACTTCTGTGCAGCCCACATTCACTGCCAGCCAGTACCGCGCTTTATCCGTCCTGGGCTGTGGCCACACATCTTCCACCAAGTGCTATGGCTGTGCTTCTGCCGTCACCGAGCATTGTATCACACTCCTCAGGGCCCTGGCCACCAATCCAGCTCTGCGACATATCCTTGTCTCCCAGGGCCTTATCCGGGAACTCTTCGATTATAATCTTCGCCGAGGAGCTGCAGCCATGCGGGAGGAGGTCCGCCAGCTCATGTGCCTCCTAACTCGGTCAGCACCTCCTCCACAATTATGGGCCTTAGGAATGCCTACTCACCCTGGTGTTAGTGAGAGGACTAGAGGTGATGCTGGAAGGACTAAGGGCGTGGCAGAGAATCATGCTTCTGATTGTCTGGTGGTGATTGTCTGCTTATCGCAGAGGGATCATGGGAAGATTGAGGGTGTCAATTATCCACCTAGGCTTCCTTGTAAATGGTTGTTTGGCATATACCGTGTTGGTTCCAGGGATGTGTACTGAGGAAATGTTCTGCTCTTGGTGAAGGAGGACAAGAAAGCTTAGGGACACTTGGATTCAAGAATACTTAACCAAAGCAGGCAATGGAGCCTAGGGAGGGCTAAGGAAGGGCTAAAGGAGTAATACTTTGACTCAAGCTCAAAAAGAACCAGGCTCAAGAGCTGACATTTTGCAGCATGTACCTTGGAAAAGTTATTGAATTTCTCCTGAGCTTACACATTACTCATCTATCTCCTTATCTGAAAACAGATGAGGAATATAAGTACCCTAAAGGCATTTGATAACTGTGGGTGAAATAATTTGTAAATAATAACTTACATGGTACTTAGTAGGTATGAGAGATCGCATCCAGAGCTTTATTTATGTGGGATAAATTTAGTCCCTCATTTAACAAATGTCTGTTGAATGCCAGGTACTATGTGAGACTGTGGGGGTGCAGTGGTAAATGAAGCAAAGCCCTTGCCCTCAGGTATCTGATATTCTACATATGGAGGGTGTCAGTAAGCAAATACTGAAAACTGTGATTCCAGAAAACAAGATTGTAGGGGAAAATAAAGCAGGGTGGTAACCCCTGCAGGAGAGTGTAGTTAAACTATGTTGGAAAGCAAAGAGTGACAAGATACAGTGTATTTTTTAGGTCGGTCATGGGGCTTGAACTCTGGGCCTGGGTGCTGTCCCTAAGCTCTTCAGCTCAAGGTGAGTGCTCTACCACTTGAGCCATGGTACCACTTCAGGTTTTCTGGTGGTTAATTGGAGATAAAAAGTCTCATGGACTTCCTTGCCTGGTCTGGTTTTGAACCGAGATCCTCAGATCTCAGCCTCCTGAGTAGTTGGATTACAGGCATGAGCCACTGGTGCCTGGCTCATTTTTGTTTTTGATTTGAAAGAAGATACAGCTATAGGGGGCTGGGAAGGTGGCTCAGTGGTAGAGCACTTGCCTTGCATGCCTGAGGCCCTGGGTTCGATTCCTCAGCACCACATAAGCAAAAAGAAAAAAGCCAGAAGTGGTGCTGTGGCTCAAGTGGTAGAGCGCTAGCCTTGAGCTGAAGAGCTGAGTGACAGCACCCAGGCCCAGAGTTCAGGCCCCAGGACCGGACCCAAAAATAAAAAATAAAATAAAATAAAATACAAAAGGTCATAGGAAGTACCATGTGGGAAATGACATGGAGGCAGTTAGAAAAGATAAGGAAAACATGACCCATGGTAAGTGTGGATTCAGATTTTGAAGACTCTGACACTAGCATCTCCTGATATCCTGCCACTTGGAGTGTGGACCCCTGATGTGTGTGCCGCTCTACCCTCAGTCAGCATCTGTTTACAGACAAGGAAACAACTACCTATACCCCCTTTCACTACAGACAGTTTTGTGTTATTCTAGTCTTGCTTTGGGGAAGGAAGGAAGGAGGATGAGGTAGCTCTAGTCATAACATGTTTGAATGACAGAACTCCCATTCCATTGCCTCCTCAGAGATAATCCAGAAGCCACCCAGCAGATGAATGACCTGATCATTGGCAAAGTCTCTACAGCTCTGAAAGGCCATCGGGCCAACCCTGACTTGGTGAGTAGGCTGGCCAGTAGTCCTCCAGACCCCTCTAGGAGGCCAAGCACAGCACATGTACAGAGATCACATCCTAAGATGATTTCTCAGATGGAGCCTACTGAATGGGGGTCTCCATTTCTTCTTGTCCCTGATGGGGCCATCTGTGACCAGACATTTTGTTATGAATCCTGAGATCAGTTTGGACTCTGTAGTAGTTCTGGGACTGTGTAGATCCTTGTTGACTCATGTGCTGTCCCATTGGCCTCTAGGCAAGTAGTCTGCAGTATGAGATGCTGCTGCTGACAGATTCCATCTCGAAGGAGGATAGCTGCTGGGAGCTCCGTTTACGCTGTGGTGAGCTCAGGGAACATCTGGATTTGGGTCAGGGCTTTTCAGAGACTGGAAAGGAGGCACTAAGCCATAGTCTTGGCACCAACTGGGAGAGATGGAGGGAGGAAGACAGTTGGGCAGCCTTGTTGGGTAGGTGGCATATTTTTGTGATCATGACCTTGCCTTTCCTGATGGTCCCTAGCGCTGAGCCTTTTCCTCATGGCTGTGAATATTAAGACTCCTGTGGTAGTCGAGAACATCACCCTCATGTGCCTGAGGATCTTGCAGAAGCTTATTAAGCCACCTGCCCCAACCAGCAAGAAGAACAAGGTACTGGGCCAGGGAGGACAATGAGCATTGTGACTTGCTTCCTGAAGGTCTATGCCATACTGTGAATGCATTGGCTAGGCTGCTTTTGTTTTTGTTGAGCATACATGTGGATGGGTTGAGGTTTTTGAGAAAGAGGTTTAGAGAAAAATGAACATGAAAATATAAAAGCTTAAGTGCTTTGAAAGCAAAAGCCATTGAAAGACTACCTTTTTAAATGACTTGTGGCTCCCAGAAATCACTGGGTTCTTTCTCACTCGTATGCCTTGCTAAATTTTATTTCTATTACGTAGTATATACTAGAGCAATGTATGTATAATAGCTGCAGAATACGTCATGATTAGGTGAATAAATAAAACTCAAGCTTTTATTCTGAAATATCCAAAGCTAAGCTACAGACTGACTTGCTGTAGGGGTTGTAGATATGTAGGCCATAATTCATTCTCATGATCTTGCCTTCTTTTTTTTTTTTATTGTAAAAATACTATACAGAGGGGTTACAATTACACGAGCAAGATAATGAGTACATTTCTTATCAAGCATTGTAGCCTCCTCCTTTGTTCCCCCTTCCCATTCCTTCCCATCCTCCCCCCGGCCCCCCCCCCCCCCATCTTGCTTTCTTGAGGCTGTCTCTAGTCTGGCCTGCCTTGATCCATTTTTTGTTTTTGTTTTTTAATATTGTTACTACCAAGATAATATACAGAGCAGTTATAATTATGTAAGTCAGGGAGTGAGTGTATTTCTTTTGGACAGTGTCACCCCTTCCTTTGCTCTCTCTCCCAGTTTTTATGTCCCATCCCCACTTATGAGTTGTATAGTTCATTTTCAACATAGCATCTATTGAGTACTGCTTGCTGCATTTGTTTACCTTTTGTTCTTCCATTTTGTGCTCCCCTCCCCCAAAGCCAGTTAAACAAACAGAACAAAAAGAACAGAAAAACACTTGACAAAAAAAACCTCTTGATTCCATTTCCTGCAATTCATTTTGATGTGTTATGTGTATATAGGTTGATCCATTTTTGATTCCTGCTCCCTTCAAATGGGTCATGCTCGTTGGGGAAAAGGCTTCTTGGTGTATGACTGCTTAAAAAGTGCTAGACACAAGAGAATCATCTTATAGCTCCTGGTCTTCTCTGGTAGTTTTCCCAAAGGAAGGACTAGGTTGCCTGCTTCCTTACCCTGGATGGATTCTCTCTCTAGAGTTAATTCCCAGCAAAATAAATCCATCTTTGATTGAAAAGAGAAACTTTTCAGTCAAAATTTTTCAACAAAACTTTCCCTAAGATAGTCTTTGCCCTCTTTTTTCTATTGGTGGTTATGCTAGGTGAGGCTGTTGGAGCCTAGCTTGAGGAGGCATCACAACATCCTCAATAAAACAGGGGAGATTCTACCCCTGAGTCCCAGCCTTCTTAATGTGCAGTGTGACAAAAAGAGTCCTAATTCCTGGGCTCTTGTGAGATGTTAGCTGAGCCCTGCTTTTCTGCAAGGTCACAATTGTGCTTGAAAGAATAACTGATGGGAAAGTTGTGGATTAAATGTTTGTCAGTTAAAAACTTCCACTCTTCTGGACCCCAATGGCAGTTTGAAGCCAGCCTGGGCAGAAAAGTCCTTTTGAGACTCTTACAGCCAGTTAACCACCAAAAAACTGAAAGTGGTACTGTGGGTCAAGTGGTAGAATGCTAGCCTTGAGCACAAAGAGACTCAGGGATAGCAGCTAGGCACTAAGTTCAAGTCCCACAACCCAAAAACAGTGCCACTCCTTTCTCTATAGATTATTATTTGCTTCAGAAAAGATATTAATTAGATAATTAATTAGATAACGAGATAATTAATTGGTATTTAAATGAATAATATTTTAATTTTGGTTTCCATCTTTAATATGGTTGATATTGATAGCTCTAACCACACAAATAAAAGTTCTGTAGAGTCTCTTTAGTAATTTTTTTTTTTTTTTTTTTTTGGGGTCCGGTTGTGGGGCCTGAACTCTGGGCCTGGGCACTGTCCCTCAGCTCTTCAGCTCAAGGCTAGTGCTCTACCACTTGAGTTACAGCGCCACTTCCAGCTTTTTTCTTTTTTGCTTATGTGGTGCTGAGGAATCGAACCCAGGGCCTCGAGCATGCAAGGCAAGCGCTCTACCACTTAGCCACCTTCCCAGCCCTCTTTAGTAATTTTTGAAGAACATCATAACAAGGTCCTGAGGCCAGAAAGTTTGTCAGTTGTTTAGAACTGGGCAGGCCCTCTTCTGTGGGGGCTAACTGTGTACATTCTGGAAAATGCAATGACCCCCTGGAGGGTTTCTATTCTGGGAAACTACAGGGATAGGATTTAGTGTGTGGATTATGGCATTGTCTGCTCCAAGCCTGCCATTAGGCCTAACATAGAGACTTCTATTAAAGTGGATCCGGATGTTTAATAGAAACATATACTTGGACATAGAAGATGTACATGTTGCTGCTCCAGATCATCTCGGCTTTGAAAGTGGCTCCTGGGTTGCCAGGGCCATTCCATGGTTAGAATTGGGCTCAGCGTGCTAGTGAGCTCTTACATTGCCCCGCTTCCTCTAGGATGTCCCTGTCGAGGCCCTCACCACTGTGAAGCCATACTGCAATGAGATCCATGCCCAGGCTCAGCTGTGGCTCAAGAGAGATCCCAAGGCATCCTATGAAGCCTGGAAGAAGTGTCTTCCTATTAGAGGTATATTGATCCCTTCAAGATGTGGAGAGTTGCCCCCCTCTTACCTCTGTCCTCACAGCTTCTCCCCCACCCCAGTTACCATCATGACCTTACACTTATCTCTCCCTACAATCCTTGACCTTGACCTTTCAGGGATAGAAGGCAATGGGAAGTCTCCCAGCAAGTCAGAGCTTCACCATCTCTATTTGACTGAGAAGTACGTATGGAGGTGGAAACAGTTCCTGAGCCGGCGAGGGAAGAGAACCACTCCTCTGGATCTCAAACTGGGGCATAACAACTGGTTGCGACAAGTAAGTGGCTGTATCCCAGGTCCCTCACTCCCTGTGTCTGGGCATCATCACTTGTCTGCTCTGCTTTCTTTTTCCCTTTGTTATTGCTGGGTCCTTTCAAAGCAGTAAGGGTTCTTGGTGTAGCCACCAGCATGGTGAACTGGTTAAAGTACTACTTCCCTCTGTCCTGTCAAGCTTCTTGTGTCCCTTTTGCCCATGCCCAGTGAACTAAATCTCAGCCTCAGAGCTCCACTTTCCTCTTTCTATCTTCTGTGTAATGTCTACTGTCCTTCCTTCTCTCTTCTTCCTAGCTAAAGTTTTAAGGATTACAGTCAAGTGTTGTCTGATAAAATGGAGAGGTGCTTAATTAATATAAATTATTACATATTAATATACTTTAATATACAATATATTAATAAGACACAATTAAATGAAATTGTGCTTACAAGTATCCATGCTAAGGACAAAGCTTGTTTGACTTTTCCTTCTTGGTTTTTTTTTTTTTTTTTGGTTATTGTTTTTTTTTTTTGCCGGTCATGGAGCCTGAACTCTGGCCTGGGCGCTGTCCCTCAGCTCTTCAGCTCAAGGCTAGCGCTCTACCACTGGAGCCACAGCGCCACTTCCGGCTTTTTCTGTTTATATGGTGCTGAGGAATCGAACTCAGGGCCTCATGCTTGTGAAGCAAGCACTCTTATCATTGAGCCACCTTCCCAACCTGACTTCCTTCTTGAGTTAACTTGAGGTGCTCTCCCAGCCACTTGGTGGAAAAGTCTCCCTGAAGAATGGAAACTCCTCAGCAGCTTCTTTCCAGGGCTGTAGTAACTGGATACTGTTAGCTGGTGATCTGGAGCTTTAGCTCTTTCCCTTGGGAGGTTCCCAGAGTTCTTCAGGATGTGTGGCAGCCAACTCCCCTGCTGGGAGCTTGGTAAAACAGGATGTCCTCTTGATCCAGGCTTCTTCTCTTCTGTATCCTGCAGGTGCTTTTTACTCCTGCAACACAGGCTGCCCGGCAAGCAGCTTGTACCATTGTGGAGGCTTTGGCCACCATCCCCAGCCGCAAGCAGCAGGTCCTTGACCTCCTCACCAGGTATAGTTTGGGGCGAGATGAGGAGGTGATTCACTTCATCAACAGCCTTTTCCTCTTTGCAGTGGACATCTGCAGATCAGGATTGGGAGGTATAGCCGTGTGGGTCTGTGCTCGTCTCCCTCCCTACTGCAGAAGTAACATAGCACCACCGGGCTGTTTTAAGGGAGGTAAAGCAGACAGCAGTGTTCATTGATTGACCCTTTGTTCTCAGGTGCTCACACCTAAGTGCCTGCACACGTTGTCTTAGGTGCTTTTTGGGGGCAGTAGCTCTGAGGTAGGAATGGGTAGAGTTCACAGCCCTCATTCCCTGTGGCTCTCTGTTTTCTTCCCATGTGAGAATATGGGGTTTCTCAGATGCCTTCCCTCCACTTCTGGAAGAGGAGAGGCACAGCAGAAAATCTGGAGGAGAGAGCCATTGGGTATCTTAGAACCACTAGACATTACTGCGGACACTTGTCTCTTGATGGCAGCTATCTGGACGAGCTGAGCATAGCTGGGGAATGTGCTGCTGAGTACCTGGCTCTCTACCAGAAGCTTATCGCCTCAGCACACTGGAAGGTCTACCTGGCAGCTCGGGGAGTTCTGCCCTACGTAGGCAACCTCATCACCAAGGTATTCCTCCCACTCCCCTAACTCCTTTCACTGTAACAGTCTAGACTTTTGACTGTACTGTAACTATCCTATGGCTGTAGCAGTCTGCAGGGTCTTTAGGCTGTTTGGTGATTTTAAGCAGTCCTCAACAGCTCTGCAGCTGTCTGTCTTGTTTCAAAGCGATTCTGCAAGGGCTGGACTGAGTAGACCTGACTGCTGAATGCCTTTGTTTGGTGCTTGCACAGTCCTGGGATGATGGAGGTGACTGGGATTAATGGCAACAGTGTCACACTGTGTCTGTCATCTTGCTTAGGAAATAGCCCGCTTGCTTGCCCTGGAGGAGGCCACCCTGAGCACTGACCTGCAGCAGGGATATGCCCTCAAGAGTCTCACAGGTAAAGAACCAGTGAACCTTCCCTTCAGACAGCCAAGGCGTGTGCTAAGGACTGATCTTAATTCCTAGAATCTGGGCTGACTTCTTCCTTCCTCTTTGTGTTGACCATAATGCAGATTCATACTGTTCATTTTTCTTTTGATCACCTACTTGTTCTGTGCTTTGTACAAAGACAGATATGCTCTGCTTTTTGAGTTGCCCATGGCCTGTGATGACATTAGCCTTCCTTGCTTGTAGTCTCTTGGAGGGCTCTTGAAACCATGTTTTCCTGTACCCACAGGCCTTCTGTCTTCCTTCGTGGAGGTGGAATCCATCAAAAGGCACTTTAAAAGTCGCTTGGTGGGAACCGTGCTGAATGGGTACCTGTGCTTGCGGAAGCTGGTGGTGCAGAGGACCAAGCTGATAGATGAAACCCAGGACATGCTGCTGGAGATGCTGGAAGACATGACCACAGGTAGCACTGATCTGCAACTAGTGCTGGTATCCTTTGACCTTCCTGAGCTGACAAGGTGCATGAGTCTACATCCCCAAGTGCTACAGAGCTGGAGGAGAGGTGGCACGGATCTCCCCACATATAAGAGAGAAAGCTATCTCTCAAGCACTGGTTCTTGGAATTATAAGTCCTAGAGCTGGATTCAATTTGGAGTTTTTCTTTTGCGCTCACGGGGTGGGGTTGGGGGAGTGCAAGGGTTCTCAGTCTGTGAAGTTCTGAGACCTTGTCCCTAATTCCCTCTGCTCTGTCCATCTTGTACTTATGGAATTCCATGTTAATCTCATGGTGTGTTTGTGTTGTAGTTTGGATAATTTCTTGGTTCATTAATCTCTTATGCACTGTGAGTAATCTGTTTTTAATCTATCAGAATTCTTATATTTCCAGATTTTAAAATTTATTTATTTATATTTTTTATTGATGGTCTGGAGGTTTGAACTCAGGGCCTGGTGCTTGTTAAGCAGGCATTTTACTACTTGAGCTACTCCACCAGTACCTTTTTGCATTTGTTCTAGACTGTAGTCCTCCTATTGCTGCTGAGATGACAGGTCCATACCTCTGCGTCCAGTACTGTGCTTGCCTTGTAGCATAGAATTAATGACAGGCATATATACCACTGGTCCAGCCATTGATTAGATTGAGTATTGTGAGCTTTTATGCTCAGGCTGACCTTCAATTATTATCTTTGATCTCTGTATCCCAAGTAGATGGGATTATAGACTTTAGCCACTGCACCTGGCCTATGGTTTCAGATTTTATAATCTCTTGCTCATTCACATTTACCTTCCTTTTTGTAATCGTAAGCATATTTGTACTTAATCATTCTAAAGTTTGATCTTACTGCTTTTTGTTCAGGTTCTTTCTTGTAAAACACATACCTTAAATCTTTTTGCATTTCATGATACTGACTGTGACTTCATATTGTTAAACTCTACAACCTGACAATGAGTTTCTCTAGATAGAATTCATAATTGCTTCTGCGAAGCAGTCTGTTGTCCCAGGGCTCTGCCATCCAGAGCTGTCTTCAGGGAAGTTCTGAGCTTTAGGTGTTTTAGACTTCAGGTAGTGTAAGGTTGGATCCACACAGCCCTGTGAGGGGATAGCTTGTAAGTTCTTAGAAATTTGTTTCCTACTCAGTGCCATATTTTAAGGAAAGACAATTTGCTTTCCTGAAAGCAACTTGACTGAGGGAAGGAAGGATATATCTAGTTGACCCTTATACCAAGAGTCTAGGTCTATTGAGCTGCCACGTTCATGTTTATGTGTATGGGCGCCCGCACACATGCACTCCTGCCTCAAAAGATTCACAACTTTTTATCTAGTAGACAGATCTTGGTTGGTTATGGAAACACCAAAGCTCAAGGCAAAAAGCTGCTTTAGGGATTTGCCTCTTTGTCTTGGTTTCTGATTTCTCTAATCTTTTTTACTGCCAGTTTGCTGATACATATGTTATACCAGATATTCCACATTCTAAGTTCTTAAGTGGTGAGAAGTAAAGAGAGGTCCAGGAACCTTATCCCAAAAGGAAGTCCTTCAGATATCACTTTCATTTCATGCCCAGCTAGCCTGTGATCTTGTCAGTGTAAGCTGTGTGTGTGTGCGCATACACACACATACACACACACACACATGCGTGTGTGTGCCGCATGTATGGGCCAGTTCTGTGGGTTGAAAGCATGGCCTGGACACTGTCCCTGAGCTGATTTTTCTCAAGGCTAATATTCTATTACTTGAGCAACAGCACCATTTTTGGCCTTTTATGAATAATGGAGATAAGAATCTCACAGACTTTCCTGTGCTGGGCTGGCTTTGAACTGCTATTCTCATATCTCAGCCTTCTGAAAAGCTAGGATTACAGATGTGAGCCACCAGAGCCCCATCTAAAGACCCTATTTCTCTTATCAGGTGACTTGGTCCTATAGAGGGCAGTATACTTACTCTTTCCAAAAGAAGTATAAACAATAACATCTTTCCATGTGACTAGAATATAGTCAGAATTATGACTTGATATTTGGAGGGGAGCCTCTCTTGGCAAGGGGTTGCTGAACTGAATATGGCACGGTCCCTCCTGAGGAGGTATATCCTTAGAGACATAGGGACAGGAACCCAGATGATGCAGTATGTTGACTTGGTTGGAAGGATTTCTCAGTGAATGTAGTTCAAGTATAAAAATCAGTCAGCATCAAGTTTACATTTGAATTGCATAGACAGCATTCACAGATTAGGGCTCAGGTGGCGTGACACACATGTGCCTATAATCCCAGCTGAAGATGGAAGATTTTGAGGTCACCTTGGCTATAGCAAGACCTTGTCTCAAAAAGAAAAAAAAAAGTTAAAAAAAAAAAAAAAAAGATTTAACAGCAAGAAAAAAATCTGTTGGTAATAGTGCTTTACATTTATTGTCATTTCTGCATGGGCAAAGAAAGCTCTTCTCACTAACGTGTCCACTTTGATTTCTGGCAGGTACAGAATCAGAAACCAAAGCCTTCATGGCTGTATGCATTGAGACAGCCAAGCGCTACAATCTGGACGACTACCGAACACCAGTCTTCATCTTTGAGAGGCTGTGCAGCATCATTTATCCTGTAAGCAGTGAGTGCTCCCCATGGCTTCAGTGTCAGCCTGAAAACACTTGGGGACTCAGACAACATTTTAGGAAGATCCACTGGCATAAAACAGAAGCAAACTCCTTATTTTTCCATTCCTACTATGGAAAATTCAGTAATCTTGGTCTTACTTCCTATCTTGAAGGTCAAGATCAGCCTTATTACTATTTTAGTTAATTCTAGCTTTCATTTCTGAAATCTCATTGTTGATCAGTCTGGCATGCTGTGGAGGAAGCTATTTGGGTTTGAGTATAAACACATTGTTGCTCTCATCCTTCCTTACCCCACTAGTTTTAAGTATGCATGCATCCTTTGCTTCATTTTGCATAGCCTGAGCTATGTGGAAGTTCAGAGACCCTTTTTGCTGTGGAGGAAGGAAGGAAACAGTGGCCCCAGTTACCCATGAGAGGTCACTGAGTTACTCAGAGTTGTGCCATGTAGAGAAACCCTCTTCTCAGCTTAGGGTTAGACAGTCATCTGGCTTAAATGAGTCAGCACTGATGAGCATGTCTCACTCCTTGTCTTCTTGCTGGTGTTTCAGGCTCCTTGGATTGTTTCTGGCTGTTCTGAGTGACCTCTGAGCTTCACATTCTTTATAATGTTTCTCTCAGACTATCCACAGAAGACGCAGCGTGGCAGAAACCTGCCTCTCCCACCCCTTGGTGGCAGGAAATGCTGAAGCACTTCCTTTTCTGTCCTTTAGGAGGAGAATGAAGTCACTGAATTCTTTGTGACCCTGGAGAAGGACCCCCAACAAGAAGATTTCTTACAGGGCAGGATGCCTGGGAATCCATATAGCAGCAATGAGCCGGGCATTGGGCCACTTATGAGAGATATAAAGAACAAGATTTGCCAGGACTGTGACCTGGTGGCTCTCCTGGAGGACGACAGTGGGATGGAGGTAAGAAGCATGGGGCAGTCTGCTGGTGAATAAGAGCATGGGCAGAAATCAAATCCAGCTGCTTCTCATTAGAAGCTGATTAACTTGCTTGCATTGACTTCCCACCTGCTTGCCACTCCTGGTGTTAGGGAGGTGTGGAGAGCTCTTCCCAGTGTTTGGCATTGACTATTTAGGTGGTTAATGGCAGTTGTAGGTTTTGATTATTGTTTCTCTCATAGATTTTCAAGAGATTCCAAGTTAGTAGAGCTCCCACAATCCTGATGTTCTGTCTCTACAGATTTAAGGCCCTGTGTGCAGGACCTTCTGATGGACAGACTTGCAGGTCTGGATGATCATATACATAACAAGAGGGTCTGGATTATTATATACTCAGTGAGAGGGTCTGGATTATCATATACAGAGTGAGAAGCACATGTGCCTTTCCCAGTGCTGACCTGAAGTGGACTCAGGAATGAAGGTCCTGTGCACAGTTTCTAAGCTGAAGTCCACAACTAGATAAAGAGTGTTTGACCCTAAGATTGTGTACTTGATACTGGGTGTAGGACATATGTATTCATTTTCTAGACAAAAACATGTACAGAGACCCAGGACAGGTGAAAGTAAAGAATGGTGAACACTGCCATGAACCATCCTTTGATCTTGAAACTTACAATTATGTGGAATAACAAGCTCATCTGTTTCTCTGTTCAGCTTCTAGTGAACAATAAAATTATTAGTTTGGACCTACCTGTGGCTGAAGTTTACAAGAAGGTCTGGTGTACCACGAATGAGGTATGTGCTTGTTTTCTTGCTTAGGAGTGTGTCCGTGTCCCTCCCCCCCCCCCCCCCCCCCCCATTTGCACAGGTTGTTAATCATCATTTAGCCCTGTGGCAACACTAGCAGCCTTACTTCCTCTCTTTGTGAATGTATGAAAAAAGCCTATCACTTTCTTTACTTTTTGAAACATAAGACCAATGACAGCAAAAGAACTTCAAGAAAGCATGAAAAAGCCAGGCCCTAGTGGCTGGCGCCTGTAATCCTAAAAGAACCACACCTGTAATCTTAGCTACTCAGGAGGTTGAGCTCTACGGATCGAGTTTGAAGCCAGCCTGGGCAGAAAAGTCCGAGATTCTGATCTCCAATTCACCGCCAAAAGCTAGAATGGCTTAAGTGGTAGAGTGTCAGCCTTGAACAAAAAAGTTCAGATAAAATACCCAGGCCCTGAATTGAAGCCCTAGTGCTAACTCAAAAAGAAAAAAAGGAAGGGTGTTGTGAACAAAAGGCAAAAAAAAAGTTTGAGCTTTTTCTGTCCTCATGTAGCATAGGCTAGCTTGTGTGTGTTCTTGAGCTCCATGGGCTTTATGCAGGCACATCACAACTAAGATTCATTCTCAGCTTTTATGGGAGCACTCCCACATCAGGATATTTCCCAATTGTTTTGCTACTTGGAGAGTTGAAACACAAGCAGGCAGATGTTGTTGAGGACTGAGCTACAGTGCTTTGGTCCTCTTGGCCACCATAATACTTCTTGTCTCTCCACTTAAGGAAGTCTCCAACATCCCCCTTCCCTCAGTCTATTCCCCTAATTGCTCTCTATTCCAGTTCTTTCCCTTCCTATTGTCTCTGTTGAGGGTCTTCAGTCAGTGAATCAAATATGCAGCTTAATTATAGCGAACTTGAGTAATGGTAAGGCATGGTTTTTGTACATGGTCCCCTTTTTTTTTTTTTTTTTTGCCAGTCCTAGGGCTTGAACTCAGGGCCTGGGCACTGTCCTTGAGGTTCCTTTGCTCAAGGCTAGCACTCTACCATTTGAGCCACAGCGCCACTTCTGGCCTTTTCTGTTTATGTGGTACTGAGGAATTGAACCTAGGGCTTTATAAGTGTGCTAGGCAAGCACTCCCACTAAACCACATTCCCAGCCAGTCCCAAATATTTTTGTGAGATTTAAGAAAATAAACTGGCAATGCACTTTTTACATTTTTGACTTTAATTGGTCACATATTTTTGCCTTTTTTCTTTCTATTGTTTGGTTCTATGCTGGAAATCAGAGCTCCTGTTTCTTGTTAGGCTGCTATGAGTTAAAAGGTATAGCTATTGACAGAGAGACAGTCATGTCAATCAGGCTACAGGGATTGAGGAGAAATTCATGGCCTTATAATTGCTAGACTAGTGCTCTGACACTTATGTCACACTCCCAGTCCTTTTCTGCTTTTATTTATTGGGGGGGGGGGGAGGGTAAGAGTCTCGCTTGTTTTTTGCCTGGGCTGGTCTCAAATCAAAATCTTTCAACATACAACCTCTCTTGTAGTTGAGATCACAAGTGTATGCTGCAGTGCCCAGCTTATTGACTGAGACAGATTTTGCTAACTTTTTACGTGAGTTGGCCTCAAATCACAATGCTCCAGATCTCTACCTCCCAAGTAGCTGGGATTATAGGGATAAGCCACTGTGCCCACCTCATTCACTAAATGATCTAAATGAACTCAACTTGAATTGAACCTTTGAATAGTAAGTAGTCACCAGTGGTTAGAGTTTCTTCTGAGCTAGGGCTTGAAATTAGGTCTTGGCTTCTGCCTAGATAACTACAAATGAGCTGTTGAATCTCATATAAAAGGATAATATAAAGGACTGAATTAGAGGAGTCAAATACTCAGTAAGTAGCTACTGGAGTTTTTGCCTTGAGTGAGTTGTTGTTATGGTTTATGCCCATACCAGGGCTAGAACTTAGGACCTTGGGCTCATGCTCAACTATTTTTTTTTTGTTTGTTTTGTTGGTCGTGGGGCTTGAACTCTGGGCCTGGGTGCTGTCCTTCAGCTCAAGGCTACCATTCTGCCACTTGAGCCATGGCACCACCTCCAGTTTTCTGGTGGTTTATTGGAGATAAGAGTCTCATGGACTTTGGTGCCTGGGCTGGCTTTGAACAGTGATCCTCAGATCTCAGCCTTCTGTGTAGCTAGAATTATAGGTGTGAGCCACCGGTGTCCAGCTTGCTCAACTTTCTTACTTGAGGTAGGCACTCCACCACTTGAGGCTGGCTTTTGCCAAAGATATAGTCTTACAGACTTTCTGCCTGGGCTGGCACTGAACCTCTATCTTTAAGTCTCAGTTTCCTGAGTAACTAGGCTTACAGGCCTATGCCGTGGATTCCTGGCTTACCTTCTCTCTTAATGAGATCTTATAAGGCAGTGTCTGTTAGGTACTTCATGTGATAGCTAGCCCACAGTAGACATGGAATAAAAGTAGCCTCTTTTCTGCTAAGGAAAGGCAGTGTGTTCAAATCTGAGAGACGTTGGGGTTCATACCTTGGAGAAAACTAGAGGTTTTCCACGTGGCTGAGACATTAAGCAAAACCAAGTGTTGAGTTCTTTGTATTTTTCTTGGCCTGTTTCTTTTTTTTTTTCTTTTTGTTGGTAACGGGGCCTGAACTCTGGTCATGGGCACTGTCCCTCAGCTCTCCAGCTCTAGGCTAGCACTCTACCACTTAAGCTACAGTGCCACTTCCAGCTTTTTCTGCTTACGTGGTGCTGAGGAATCAAACCCAGGGTCTCATGCATGCAAGACAAGCACTCTACCACTGAGCTATCTTCCCAGCCCCATGGGCCTATTTCTAAGAACCTTTCTCCAACTTGCTCTACTCAGGGAGAGCCCATGAGAATTGTTTATCGAATGCGGGGCCTGCTGGGTGACGCCACTGAGGAGTTCATCGAGTCTCTGGACTCTACCACAGGTAGGGTCTTTCCTCAGAGTGCTGCATACTGGGCCTGGGGTTTGGGGTGTTGTATCTCATATAAAAGGATCAGTCTTGTCCCAAGACTTGTGTATTGTCAGAAAATGCTCTCTTATACTGGACATCAGACCTGGAGGTAAAATACATGCTTTAGAACAAGCTTTTAGGAGAGAAAATTAGCAATAAAATGGAGTTCAGATTTATTTTTAGCTTAAGTTGCATTTTGTTTTGTCCGTTGATAATAGTAGTTGCTTATACTTTGTGCAAATGATGTTATGTTGACTTGAACTTTAAGAAGAACTCCTATTGGGAGCGAGGTCACGTGTTTTAACATCTGGTACTGACCTTTTTATTGGTTAGATCTTTGTAACCTATGTGGAGAAGGGCTATAAAGTCTCAACCTAGAAGATGGGCTGGGAGGATTTCATTCTGGAGACTGGTTTCACCCTCCCTCCCTTCCTTTTGCATTCCCTTCTCTAGATGAAGAAGAAGATGAAGAAGAAGTGTACAAGATGGCTGGTGTGATGGCCCAGTGTGGGGGCCTGGAGTGCATGCTTAACAGATTGGCAGGGATCAAAGACTTCAAGCAGGGGCGCCACCTTCTAACAGTAAGTTGGTCAGGGACCAGCCCTTCTGCACAGGGAGAGACTCGTGTCACAGAGCCTTGATGGTATTTTATCCCTAGAGGGTAGTAATGTGTGCCAGTGCAGACCACTAAAGGCCTTGGCAGTTTGCCAAACCCTTGGTATCTTAGGCTCCACCCCTCCCCATCAAAACCAAGTTGATGGTAGCCACTTTTTCCAGTACCTTTTAATTATCTGAGGAATCAGTGTCTGAGTGTCTTTCCCCAAAGAAATGCACTTGTGTCAGTCATGATTTTATGATGTTTTAAAGATGAATTTTGTAATGTAACTCAGATTGTAGAGTTCTCTTTAGGGATTTATTCAAGTATCTCATTCGTCAGAATTAGAGGATTCTAGAAGAACCACAAATATTTCATTGCTATTTCACCTCTTCTATCCTACTGGGCATACGAAATGAATAGGGTATCCATTTTCAGGACCCACTTAGTTCGGAGCCTCCAGCAAGTGGCTTATCATATGGAATCATTCTGTCTTCTGTTAGTTCAGTGTCAGAGTTAGTGCTGGAGTTTCCCCAGGACAGCAGGATATCACCTATTCCATTAGAAGCTGGTATCACTGCCTAGTTCAGAGGTGACAGCAACTTGTAGAGAATGTTGCCATTCAAAAGGCCAACCTGGTGTGAGAGCCCAGCCAGCTTGCCATGATGCTGAGGGCTGTTTCTCCCTTAAGTACCTGCCTGAATGAGGAGAAACCCCTGCTGATTGTACAGGACCCTCTTAGACTCCGCTGCTGGCTTTATACTTAGGCTTGAGGATGGTCTTATGGGTCTGGACTGGCTTCTCTTGTCAGGTGCTGCTGAAGTTGTTCAGTTTCTGTGTGAAGGTGAAAGTCAACCGGCAGCAGTTGGTCAAGCTGGAGATGAACACTTTGAATGTCATGCTAGGGACGCTAAACTTGGTAATGGCTGTGGGCTGCAGGTGATGTGGAGGGAATGGTGGTGGTCTTGGGCCCTGACCCCTCTTCCTGCTGACTCAGCCCATGTGGCTGTCAGGGCACCCTAGAACTTCCTTGCCCGCTTCCTGAGAGCCGGTCAGAAGTAAGAGGAAGGCAGCCTGCAAACAATCAATTGCACGCTGGTGGAGAGTAGTGCCCTGTGTCTCAGGGCAGTGAGGACAATGTCCTCAAAACCCTACATGCTTGTCTCTCAGAACATACACATGTGTGTGCACACATGTGGTCTCTGGGTCTCACAGCCATGGAGGGCAGCAGGGAATGGTCAGCACTAAGTGGCTGTGGCTTTACCTCAAGAATGACTGGGTCTCTTTCTCCCCCAGGCTCTGGTAGCAGAGCAGGAGAGCAAGGACAGTGGGGGTGCTGCTGTGGCTGAGCAGGTGCTCAGCATCATGGAAATCATTCTAGATGAGTCCAATGCGGAGCCCCTGAGTGAGGACAAGGTAAGAAGACCCCCATCCCTTCTCCCTGCAGCTACTGGGACCTCAGTAGGCTTGTCTGGAACTAGCTGAGCATACCCTATAATTGGAATGACCCCATCCATCCAAGCCATAGGACTGGCCAGGCTCTGTTAATGGTGATATCAGTGTACTGGAGCAGGCTCTGGACTCAGAGGAAGCAAACCTGCTGAAGATGCTCTTTCAGTCATGGCGTCCAGGTCTGTTCCAGCTGATAGAGGGGCGTTTGCTTAGTCTTCATCTCACAATTGAAGAAACTGGATGCCATGAGAGGGAAGTGAATTATTCGGTGTCTATGATGGTGTCAGGCTTAGAACCAGGTCTTCCCTATCCAGTTCCCTTCCTGTCCACTGTCTGCATATGCCTTCCTCCTGGCTTACTGGTGCTGGTGATTAGGCAAGCCTTGTTCCCAAATATTCAGCAGGCTCCATCCTCTTAGGGTGACAAGAGATTATATTGGTATATTTTGACTTTTAAGAGAGTATCAGAGAAACCTGGAAAGCTTTACCAAGAGAAACTCGTCCCTGTTTCTATTGCCAAGGAAGGGTTAAGAAATGGTTCTTCTGAGCCGGGCACTGGTGGCTCACGCCTGTAATCCTAGCTACTCAGGAGGCTGAGATCTGAGGATCGAGGTTCAAAGCCAGCCCTGGCAGGAGAGACCGTGAGACTCCTATCTCCAATAAACCACCACAAAACCGGAAGTGGTGCTGTAGCTCAAGTGGTAGAGCGCTCGCCTTGAGCTGAAGAGCTGAGGGACAGCGCCCAGGCCCAGAGTTCAAGCCCCACGACCGACCAAAAAAAAAAAGAAATGGTTCTTCTGGGTCTGATGGGAGTGGCTGACCTTCAGCAATCAGCTGTTGGCTGGAGGCTCAGTCCTTCTGCTACTTTCCCTGTTGCAGGGCAACCTCCTCCTCACGGGTGACAAGGACCAACTCGTGATGCTCTTGGACCAGATCAACAGCACCTTCGTCCGCTCTAACCCTAGCGTGCTTCAGGGCCTGCTGCGCATCATCCCGTACCTCTCCTTTGGAGAGGTGGAAAAGATGCAGATCTTGGTGGAGCGGTTCAAACCATACTGCAACTTTGATAAGTATGTGGCCAGAATTTCCTGCAACTAAGTAATAAGAGTCTTCACAAAACTCTGTGAGGCTAATGAAGATCCTCCTAGATTTTTGTGTCTGTAATCTGGAATTTAAGGGGCTCTATCTAGTGGGGAGGCAAGGATTGAATTCTGTTGTATTAAAGTAGCTGCTGGCTAGGCAGCAGAATTGTAGTGGTTGATGATAGAGGAAGGGGCATGAAAAGGTAGAACTCTGTACAAAAACTGAAAATGCCAAAGAACAGAGCAAGTTTGAGCACATAGCAGGTAAGAGAGAGCATGGCAGGTACCAGGTCCAGTCTCAATAAAGGAATTCAGACATGATCCTGCTGGTGGTTGATGATCGTTTTGATTATAGTTTGTTCTGTCCTTGCACCTTCATACTGTTTGCTCTCTCCCCCCAGGTATGACGAAGACTACAGTGGTGATGACAAAGTCTTCCTGGACTGCTTCTGCAAGATTGCAGCCGGCATTAAGAACAACAGCAATGGGCATCAGCTGAAGGACCTCATCCTCCAGAAGGGAATCACTCAGAATGCCCTGGATTACATGAAAAAGCACATTCCTAGTGCTAAGAAGTAAGATGCCCTCCCACCCTCCCCTCAGGATGTTGTTTCCCTCCTCTGTTTTTTGCCTTCTCCTCTCATCTTGGTGCAGAGCTTCACATGTGCCGCCCTTTGCCCTCCTTTACAGCCCCCTCCCCTTCTGTTCTTTCCAGTAACTACTCAGTCATTACCTCAGGAACCTTGAGACTCTGGGAAAAGCATTCAATCTTTCAGTTTGTTTAGAGTACTGGTTTCTGTATGGCTTCTTATCTGGGCTGGGTAGTTCTTAGTGATTCTTTCTCATACTATTGGAACATCACATTGAACAAGCCAGAATCAACAAGTGGTTTCTAGTAACTTTTCTTGCTTGGCCTGCAAGTGTACCTTTCTTCTGTTTTGCAGTTTGGATGCTGACATCTGGAAAAAGTTTTTATCTCGCCCAGCCCTGCCATTTATCTTGAGGCTTCTTCGGGGGCTAGCCATCCAACACCCAGCTACCCAGGTGAGTGGCCAGCATGTGAGCATGTGTGTGGACTTCATTCTGCACACAAGACATGTAGTGGGAAGGAGCCATTCAATGTGGTCCTCCCTCATCTCCCCCCCACCAACTGAAAGAATATAACTCCTCACTCAAGGTGTGATTTGACATCCGATGAAACTCTTGCAATAGAAGGGAATATCCAGGATTTATTTGTTCCTCTGTGTAAGTTGTGATTTCTGCATTCATTTAGTCCTTTGTTTGTTTGGTTTTGAGACAAGGTCTCACTATGTAGCCCAGGTTTACCTTGAACTCAGGATCTTCCAGCTTCTAATCTAAAGGAGGCTTCCTCATCCCATGAGTCAACTAGGCAGCAATTGAACTGTGATGGTTGTGGCTGACCAAACTGTAAACCATTTCATGCCATTTGTAATAGTATCATTGTTTTCTGGTCTGCCTCAGGCAGCTGACAACTTTGTGCTAAGGAAAGCTACCACTCTGCAGCCCGTTCCTGGTTTCTCCACTAGGCTGGGGTGTCTGTGAACCCTACACAAATCCTATTACATGGCAAGATGAGAGATAGTTTGATCCCCACAAGGATCTGTTCACCGATTACAGTGGCATCTGCTTCTCTGCCACTGCCACAAACCCTCCTAACCACTGGTCCATTCTCCATTTTGATGATTCTGAAATTTCGAAAAACTGAACCATGATGGATGCCTGTGGCTCATGCCTATAGTCCTAGCTACTCAAACAGCTGAGATCTGAAGATTGAGATTCTTTGCCTTCAAGGGCAGGAAAGTTTGTGAGACTCTTATCTTCCATTAACTGCCTAAAAGTCAGAAGTAGAATTTTGGCTCAAGTGGTAGAGAGCACTAAATCTTGAGTAATAAAACTCAAGGACTGCACCCAGGCCTGAGTGCAAATTGCAGTAGTGGCACCAAAAAAGAAAAAGAACCACACAGTAGGTAACCTTTGGGGGCTGGCTTTCTAACTCAGCCTCACAGGCCGATTTTCTGGAGGCTCATTTCAGTCATCACATGAGTCAATAGCATGAATAGCATGTTCCTCTCTAACTATCCACCCATTAAAAGGTAGCATTTTGTTTCTAGTTTGGGAGTGTTACTTACAAAACTGCTATGAATATCAGCTGCAGGTTTTTGTGTGGATATAAGTCTTCATTTCCTGGGATAAATGCCCAAGAGTACAATTGCTTGGTTGGACAGTTGCGTGTTTGGTTTTAATAAGAAACTACCAATGTGTCTTCTAGAGTGCACCATTTTACATTCCCATCAGCAATGTGTGAGTGACCTAATTTCTCTGTGCCTTGCCAGCATTTGGTGGCTATTTTTACTTTTAGCTCTTCTGATAGATGTTCAATGCTGTCTCACTGTAGTAGTCACTTGTTTCCCTGATGGTTACTGATAGCTAATGAATGTCCATGGGCTTCATCTATCTCTTGAGGAAATGTCTGTTTGTGTCTATCTTTTGGCCATTTTCTAAGTGCATTGTTGAGTGTTTTAAATGTTGAGTTTTGAGAGTCCTTTTCTGTTTATGATCTGTATTAACTGTAGTTCTGTCTTCTCATTTAGCAGTCTGTTCTGATAACTACAAAATGTAGTTGATTTCAATAAAAGTTCTGTGTTTTCTTACTAATCTCTATTGTCCCAAACTTTTGTTCAGCTCGGTAGAGAGGGCCATAGAATACTTTTTCCCAATAAGAACCTTCACATAGGTTGTTTCCATATTGTTGTAACATGTCTGTGCTGCATGGGAATACCTCAAGGAATGGAACTTGTATGTGGCCAGAGGTTAAAACTCCAGTCCCCTGATTGCCAGCCTTACTCGACACATTTAATGATTTTCTTTACAGCAAAGTTTATGTAGTTTGATACCTGACATTCACACTGACCATTTTTCTTTTTTTTTTTTTTTTGGTCCGGTCATGGGGCCTGAACTCTGGGTCTGGGCGCTGTCCCTCAGCTCTTCAGCTCAAGGCTAGCACTCTACCACTTGAGCCACAGCGCCACTTCCGGCTTTTTCTTTTTGCTTATGTGGTGCTGAGGAATCGAACCCAGGGCCTCAGGCATGCAAGGCAAGCGCTCTACCACTGAGCCACCTTCCCAGCCCGACACTGACCATTTTTCTATCGACATGTTTATTGAACTCTTACTGTGCCTGATGCTGAACTAGGTTGAACATGGGTGAACAAGACAGTGTCCACTGGAAGATTGCTGTCTGGTAGAAGATAGAGCCAGGACATAGTAATGGCCAAGTAGTGACAAAGGTGCAGGGGAAGGCAGGCTTGTAAGAAGTGAGAAGTATGGTACCTGCAAAGGCTCAAAGGCTGTGGAGGCTTAGAGCATTCTTCATCTCAGTTGAAGAGTTGGCAGCAGTTGTATGGGAAATGCGATATGGCTGGAGCTGGTGGTGAGCCCAGAGCACAGTCTCCACAGAGAGGAGTGTGGATTGCCCTTGAGGGCAGAGCCCTTGGCCACGTTGCAGAGACGGGATTAAAGGGAGGAGGGGAGCAGTTGATGGGCTTTTTTGTTGTAACCAATGGAATGAAGTGGTCCTTTGAACTAGTTGGTGAATAGATGAGATCTGGAGATTGACTCAGACAGAGTGAAGAAGTTGGGTGAATCTAGAACTCCACCTGGTGTCTGGATTAGATGATGGCTAGGTGGCAGTGTCATTGAAGGAGTTGGGTTGCAGGGTGTTGAGAGTACGGAAAGAGTTTGTGAGTGTGCCCTATGGTATATGGTCAGTCCTTCCTTACAGAGTGTGAGCCCCAGAAGGGCAGATCAAATAGTGTTGTGCACACATGTATGTATGCCCACATGTACATGCACACTCAGAAAACATACAGGGTGTGGAGGTTGGGTGCCTGTGAAAAAGGCAACAGGATTTACAATATGGCCCCAGTGAGGAGGCATGAGATAACTTGTCATTTTGCTGAGGTGCAAATCTGTAGCATTTGTGTGGTGAGAATAGATTTATGAGCTGGTAATCACTTTCACCTTGCAAGTTGACTTTGTTGTTTGCAGTTTATTGTCCTGTGTGTGGTAATGCCACCCATCACTTGTGACAGGGTGGTGAGGATGTTTGTTTTGTTTTGTTTTTGCGTCCGGTTGTGGGCCCTGAACTCTGGGCTTGGGTGCTGTCCCTCAGCTCTTCAGCTCAAGGCTAGCACTCTACCACTTGAGCCACAGCACCACTTACGGGTTTTTTCTTTTTGCTTATGTGGTGCTGAGGGATCGAACCCAGGGCCTCATGCTTGCAAGGCAAGTGCTCTACCACTGAGCCACCTTCCCAGCCCGGTGGTGAGGATTTTATTGGTGCCACGATACTGCTTAGTGAGCTTACCTGGAGGGCTTGTCCAGACTAACCCCCACTCCTCCCGATGGGACTAGGGGCCGCCGTGCAGTGACTTCAGCCTCTGAGCACAAGGTTGATGTCAGTTGTTCAAAGATTTTTCTTTATTTCCACAAGGACGTAAACCTCTCCTATGCCTAGTTTAGGGAAACTGTTTAGTGACCTAAAGGCTTCCAGATGCAGAACTTAAGGCGGTCCCTCATGAATGGCAGGACTATGCTGCCTGCTAAGTACACCATGTATGGCTCATCATGTGCTGCCGCTTCTCATACCAACAGAATGTTGTCTTCTGCTATCTTGTTGCTCCTTTTCACTTTCCCTGTTCTGGAATATTTACATATATCACCTAATACTTAATTTTTTCAGCAATCTTGGTGGTATCCCTTTTTATGCATGGGATTGCTGAAGCTAAAGAACAGAGTAACAAGTCAGAGGTCTCTGGTAGAGTCAGTACTTCTCACATTTGTGTCTCTTCAAGTATAGAGGCACAGGTGCTGATTGCAGCTGAGCAGATGGCCTTGAGAGTATGCGAGTCAGCTGCTTTTCTAAGCCTTTAGGTTCCTGTTGGGAAGCTTGTCTCCATAACTGGGCACATGTGTCTCATTGGTCTTTTCTTGGCAGGTTCTGATTGGAACTGACTCCATCACAAATCTGCATAAACTGGAGCAGGTGTCCAGTGACGAGGGCATTGGGACCTTGGCAGAGAACCTACTAGAGGCACTGCGGGAACACCCGGATGTGAACAAGAAAATTGATGCAGCCCGCAGAGAGACCCGAGCAGAGAAAAAGCGCATGGCCATGGCTATGAGACAGAAGGCACTGGGGACCCTAGGCATGACGGTAAAGCTACCTCCCTAAGTTCCCATTGAGGATGAGGAGATAGCCATGCACCAAAGTCTTTTTTTTTTTTTTTTTGTCGGTCATGGGGCTTGAACTCTGGGCCTGGGCAGTCGCCCAGCTCTTCAGCTCAAGGTGAGCACTCTACCACTTGAGCTACAGCGCCACTTCCGGTTTTCTGGTGGTTTACTGGAGATAGGAGTCTCATGGTCTTTCTTGCCCGGGCTGGCTTTGAACCATGATCCTCAGATCTTAGCCTCCTGAGTAGCTAGGGTTACAGGTGTGAGCCACTGACGCCCGGCCCTTTTTTTTTTTTTTTTGTCAGTTGTTGGCCTTGAACTCTGTCCCTGAGCCCTTCAGCTAAAGGCAAGTGCTCTACCACTTGAGCCACAGCACCACCTCCAGTTTTCTGATGGTTAATTGGAGATAAGAGTCTCATGGGCTTGCTTGCCTGAGCTGGCTTTGAACTGCGATCCTCAGATCTCAGCCTCCTGAGTAGCTAGGATTACAGGTGTGAGCCACCGGTGCCCAGCACCAAAGTCTTTTGTACTCTGGGTAGAGGTAGGGCTGAGGATGGTGAAAGTGAGGTCTAGACAGACAGGTGAGGCAGGAACTGGGTATGTTGGTACCTTCAGAGCTGTGACTACTAATGCTCTGCTACATACATGGGACTCAGGACTTTGCAAGTTCAGAAAACCAAGACTAATGGAGATAATATCGTGTGTGTGTGTGTGTGTGCGTGCGCGCGCTGGGCACTGCAGGCACCTTACTCTAAGCCCTCTAAGTTTATACTAGTCTCATTTTCCAGAAGAAATTGGACACTGAGATAAAGTAAATTGACTACATAGCTAATAAATGATCAACAGGATTTTCTTTTTTTTTTTTTTTTTTTTGGTCCGGTCGTGGGGCCTGAACTCTGGGCCTGGGCGCTGTCCCTCAGCTCTTCAGTTCAAGGCTAGCGCTCTACCACTTGAGCCATAGCGTCACTTCTGGCTTTTTTCTTTTTGCTTATGTGGTGCTGAGGAATGGAACCCAGGGCCTGAGGCATGCAAGACAAGCGCTCTACCACTGAGCCACCTTCCCAGCCCTCAACAGGATTTTCAATGGGGTCTGTTTGACACAGAGGACTCTATGTTACTGCTGTCCTGTTTGAAGGAAGCTCTTTCCTGGGAAGAGCCTTGTCTGGACAAGCAAACTCAAGTGTCAGCAGTTTGACACTCACCTGAGAACAGTAAATGATCGGAACACAACCGCCTTTGGCATCTGAAATGTGGGATAGCTGGCACAAAGAAGGGGACTTTGAGTGGTAAATGGCACCAGGCCAGTTTCTTCTGCTTCGATGTTTACTGTAGGAAAGGGAGACTAGCAGAAGAATCCAGGTTTCTCCTCACTAGAAGATGAGGAGGGCTTGCCTATTTATGTGTCAGTTGTTAGTGTGTACCTGAGTGTCTTCAAATCAAGGTGGGAGAGCATGTGGGGATCCCCTTCTGACACACTGCCTGGGTTCCCCTACAGACCAATGAAAAGGGCCAGGTAGTGACCAAGACAGCGCTCCTGAAGCAGATGGAGGAGCTGATCGAGGAGCCAGGCCTCACATGCTGCATCTGCAGAGAAGGCTACAAGTTTCAGGTATGGCTGCTGGGAGGCAGTTGCTGGGAGGTCTCAGGCTCTGGTGGCACAGACTGGCCCTTTACCATGTGGTGTTGTGGTGTCTCCTCCTGCAGGCTGTTCTGCCCATAGATAGGCTGGAATTAAGACTCATATCTTAGGAGACTGAGCCAAAGGCTAAATGCCCTCCTAGCTAGGAAGGCAAACTTGTCTGAGCATCATGATCAACAGATACCAGCCACAGGATTCCTTCTGCACACTGAGCCTCACATGCAGAGCTGTGTGTAAATGGAGTGATTGTGTCTTGAAACTGCAGAATGCCCCATATAATGGTATGTGGCAAAGATGGAATTCCAGCTGAGAATTGATCTCAGACCAAGGGATTTCCGAATACATCTGCTATTCTGTTCAGTCCAACAGGAGATCAGAACCTCCATTTTCTGGGTGTACTGGTTACATGATACTTGAAGGAATAGAGCGACAGGCCTAGAAGGAGTCTTTCTGTCCATTGCACCCAGCAGTGCAAGGGCAAGTGCCCTTACCAGTCCTCCTACCATGCCATCTTCTCTGGCATGGTGTTCTGTGTTTCCAGATAAATGAAATGCAGAGGAAGGGTGGCTTAGGTTTAATCTTTGCTCCCATATGCACAGCCTCCTCCTGTTGGCTGCTCCCACATTCCTTTCACTGGTTAATAAGCCAGGTATTTAATCTATAGCTGAGGTGCCAACCATCACCCAATGTCTTGATATATTTTCTGTTGCTGAAATGCCTGAGACTGGCTGAAGGGCAAGCAGGCATGTACAGAAGAGAGGCACATGTGCAAGGCATACTTTTAACAAGCCCCTCGGGTGAGAGAACTGTGATCTTCCCTATGTAAGGGTAGAATCCCTGTGACCTAATTACCTCCTTGGTCCCACTACCTCTCAACACTATCCTGAAGAATTAAGACTTAGTATGAGTTTGACAAGGACAAACCACATTCCAACCAGAGTGGCCACTCTCCTGACCCAGATACCAAGACAAAAGGAGATATACCACTCTCCCCAGTCTGCGTCTCCACCTTCCACGGCCTGAAGCAGAGTTTCTCCTCACCTCTTCCTTTCTCTGTTCACCTCTGCAGCCCACCAAGGTCCTGGGCATTTATACCTTTACTAAACGGGTGGCCTTGGAGGAGATGGAGAATAAGCCTCGGAAACAGCAGGGCTACAGCACCGTGTCCCACTTCAACATTGTGCACTACGACTGTCATTTAGCTGCTGTCAGGTAGGTTCTGGCCCATGCATAGTGGAACCCTTGTTGGCTAGAGCTTTGGGAGACATGAGAGGAGGGGCCACTTGTTCAGGGACTGGAACTGGCAACCTAGTCTCTGGGGAATTGGGTGTTCTACCTTAATCCATTTGGGCCCACAAACTATTCTTGCCATAACAAGGAAATTGTGTTTGCTTTGGTCCCAGCTGGTGGAAAGTCTTTCTTACCTGAATTAGTGAAGCCAGCATTTACCATATGGAAATCACAGATAGCTCGTTCTCTCTATTATAGGGTCAAGAGCATGGCCTTGTACTCAGCATTAGCAAACCCTTCCCCACCTACTCACCCACATGCCTGATAGCCAGATTGATTCTAGCAGTCCACTTATTCCTGCTTTGCTCCCCATCCAGGTTGGCTCGAGGCCGGGAAGAGTGGGAAAGTGCTGCCCTGCAGAATGCCAACACTAAGTGCAATGGGCTCCTTCCTGTCTGGGGTCCCCACGTCCCTGAATCAGCTTTTGCCACTTGCTTGGCAAGGTGAGTGCTAGACATTTCCTATGGAAAAACATAAGCTCTAAGCTTGTGACATCATTTCCTTGCCCATTTTCTAGGCATCCATGTTTGTCTGTGCTTTCTAACCTGGGAGTTGCCTAAAGCCTAGTGGACCTCCACTGCTTTAGACAACCTTCCCTTGTTCCCCTCAGCTTCTGTAGTATGTAGAATTTCTCATCAGTTATTCTTGCCTCCTTTTTCTGATTGTATGATCTGAGATTCAAGAACCCTGACTTGGTCACTAAAACGAGAAATTTCTAGGGTTCACTTCTACAGTGTGTGGCTCTGATAGTGAAAATAGCATAGTAATGGTAAGGATATTGAACTTCTTTTAAGGTTACCCTGCTTCTACAAATCAAAATGTCTTAGTTATCTCTGAAGTCTTTGTGTCTTGGTACAGACTTGTGGAGTGATGGCCCCTCCCCAAGTCCTATTTTAAAATTCAGGGATGAGCTGAATTGGTTACTCAGTGGTGGAGTGCTTGCCTTGCATGCCTGAGGCCCTAGGTTCAATTCCCCAGCACCACATAAGCAGAAAAAAAGCGAGAAGTGGCAATTTGGCTCAAGTGGTAGAGCATTAATCTTGAGCTGAAGAGCTGAGGGATAGCACCCAGGCCCAGAGTTCAGGCCCCATGACCAAAAAAAAAAAATCAGAGATGAAAGGTAGTTATTGTAAGTCTGACACCTGCCAGTGATAACGGTAAAAGTAACAGTGAGCAGCATATTATGTATCCATCTCTACACATGCTACAGATGAAGAAATGCAGGCACAAGGAAGGTGCATTGCTTGCTCAAGGTCACCCAGTTAAAGAGAGAGAGGGACCGGGCAGATGGGAATGAATACTGACTTAGAAAAAGCTCATTTGGAGGTTGAAGTGCTTGTTCTTATGTCTAGATCACCATGTCAGGCAAAATGGGTTTAAATTCTGGTACTGGGAGCATCATAGCTCTAGCAGTAGAGTGCCTGCCTCAGTAACACCCAAACGAAAAGAAAACAGAATGAATAAGCTATTTTATTTTCCTCTAAAATATATCACATGGCCAAGAAATGTCCTATGCCATCTGCCCATCTAAAATGGGCCCCAGAAGTGGTAGCTTTGCATTCATACTTGAAGGGTTATGTGCAGCCACAGTAGGAGTGAAGATGTCACATGGTCTTGCCTTCTAATGGCCCTATCCCTTATCCTTAAATCTCTTTTCCTTCTTGCTCATTTGTCAACCTTTGTGGGCATCAGCCCAAGATCCCAGAGTTCTGCCTTCCAGCCTGGTCTCTCACCAGTGCCTCACTTGTGTCCAATGTTTGTTCTACTTCATAGGCATAACACATACCTCCAGGAATGTACCGGCCAGCGGGAGCCCACGTACCAGCTCAACATCCACGACATCAAACTGCTCTTCCTACGCTTCGCCATGGAGCAGTCGTTCAGTGCAGATACTGGAGGGGGAGGCCGGGAGAGCAACATTCACCTGATCCCATACATCATTCACACTGTGCTTTACGTCCTGAACACGTCAGTATCCTACACTCCCTGACGGGCACCTTGGCCTATCCACCCCACAGCCTTCTACCCAGCAAGATCCTCCAGCTTTTGCATTACCTCCCTCGTCAGTTCCAGAGCAAACGTCTGACCTTAGGCAACACATTATTCATTATTCAGGGGCATAGAAACTTGTAACGGGTACAGGCTTCCCAGTGAAGTGAGGCCCCAGAACAGGCTTCACTTTATACATGGAACCCTGAGTTTGTTAACCCTGCTCTTTCCAGTGAATAATGCTTCTGGAGGTGCAAAAAGGAAGATTGAAGATAATCTGGGAAAGTCAACTGAGAAAGAAGGCAGCCAGGGAAAAAGAAGTGTTTTTATATGTGCATTTGGAGCAGTGTCATTTTAAAGAAGCACCTGCAGGGAAGGGTGGAGAAGAGTCTTCCGCTCCACTCCAGATTTTAGGAGCAAGTTAAGAGATTTACTGTGCCTTAGCTTGTAGATTTTATTTGGATGAATGCAGACTTGCAGGCCTTTCTCTTAGCAGAGTTCCATAGCTCCAGTGGGCAGAGAGATGGATGCTTGGAGGAGGGCTGCACACAGTCCACTTCTAGCAGCTGCCACGCCATTGAGGCAGCAGGACAGCTGGCTCTTGTTCTTTTTCTTGTCAGTAATGTTTTTTCTCCTTTTCTCTCCTTGTGGGATGCAAGGCTGACCTTGAGAGTACAGGCTCATTTTTGGGGTTGTGGGGCAGGGCTCCATCAAAGCACATTACATCATCTGCCAAGCTCCTTGGGCTGTCAGAAGAGACACCTGGCAGTCCTGACAGGCACAGACGTTGCTACTGTCCAGACTCGGCTGCAGGCCCTGGCAGTGCTAATTACTGGTGTTCTTGGGCCCTGACAAAGCCTGTGGTTTTGCAGGGACATGTCTCTTGGCATCCATGTGGTAGAATGAACTGCTCCATTCTCTAAGGAGAGAAACAGATTAGCGAGGAAAACACTTCCCATGATGCACCCAGTTGGGATCAAGTCCATGATTCCTGGCAACACCATGTTACCCAATGCCCAACACTTGGAATTTATGCCCAAGTCCCTGAGTTGGGGGCAGTTGGCTCTGTCATAGTACCTTGGGCAGGCAGAAGCTGACAGTGGCCCTCTGTCTTAGCCACAGACTGCTCCCCTCAATAGCAACTTGGTCATAGGGCTGTTGGGCCTCTGACGGACCATTTAGCACAAGTTTGCCATGCCATGGCCACTGAGCCACAGAGACCAAGTGGTCCTGCAGTGACCAAGAGCCTCCAGCCCCCCACAGGGTTAGAGATCCAGTTGAGTCTCTCCAGCCATTTTAGCCATGCCCATTCTGCAGGGAGCAGAAGGAAACAGTGTCCCTCCACCCTCCCCTCTGGCCCTCAGCCCAGTGGCCATGGCAGTACCATCTGCCAACCTGGAATTCTAGTGGCTGCTAGTATTGTGTTGCATTATTTTTACCAATCCACCTCTATTCCCAGTATACACAGAGAATTAAGATGTGCATCAAGCATTCCTGGCACCAGAGTTCCAGCCCGGATGTAAGCAGACTTTGTAGCTGGAAATAAATGGGCAGGAAGACTTGAATTATCAATCTATACTTGTTTTATTAGTGTGAGTTAATAGTATAAGGAGGGTTTGTTAGGATAATCACATAGTTGAGTGATCTTTTAGTGATGCATTCATGAGTACCTGTTCACACTTTCTCATAAGGAGTAGGGTGGATCTGGCTCATTGCTGGCTTTCCCAGTGCATAACTCTGGTATTTAGGTCTTCTGTACAGTTCTTTTCTGCATGGCTGGGGCAGCAGTAGTACCTGTCTCACAGGTTCTTGTGAGGATTAAATGAGACAATCTGTGTAGAGCATGAGAACAGTGCTGGGTCTTCAGGTTTGCAGTGACCACAGCTAACACAGGTTAGGCAGGAGTAGGAGCAAGCAGTAGCACCTACCTGGGAGAAACTTGTAATGATCATGAGAAAACAGTGGAACCTCTTAATACAACGAGAACTCTCTTTGGACTCAAGTCAGGGGTTCTGTGTTCATAGTTTGGTTCCATTACTCACTGGCTTGGTGGGACAAGGCGCCTCACTTCTCTGGGCTTCCAGAATGATTGAAGTGTTGTATCTATGTCCTGCAGCAGTGTTCTCAAGAGCCAGGAAGTGTTGACAATGCTGTGGAGTTGATGTGGGGACACGGAGATGACATGAATAAGGGCTGGAAGGGCAATAAGCTTGAATTGCTATGGGAGCTCTGCCAGCCATCTCAATGTTCAACAGACTCAGAAGGTGGCACTTTGAGCCAGTCCCCTTCCTGGGTAGCCCCCAGTCTCTGCCCTGTGTCCATCACACTCCTTGTCTTCCAGAACACGAGCAACGTCTCGAGAAGAGAAGAATCTCCAAGGTTTCCTGGAACAGCCCAAAGAGAAGTGGGTGGAGAGTGCCTTTGACGTGGACGGGCCCCACTATTTCACGGTGCTGGCCCTTCACGTCCTGCCCCCTGAGCAGTGGAGAGCGATGCGCATAGAGATCCTGCGGAGGCTACTGGTGACCTCACACGCCCGGGCAGTGGCTCCAGGGGGAGCTACTAGGTCAGTGCTTGCTTCAGGAAGCTGCTGCTTATGTTGTATCCATATAGGCTAGACTCATTTGACATAGGAGGTGACTCTAATATTTAGCCTCTCAGCTGAGTCCAAATGGCTAGTAGTTGTGAGTTTTCTTTGAGTGATTGGAAAGGAGGAGCCAGGTTTAGCTGTCATAGAAAAATCAGAGAGGAAGATACTGAGGATACACCTAGGAAGATTATAACTGGTAGGGGCCAAGCCAGATAACCAGGTTTTCTGATTCTTGCCAGCTTTGACAAAAGCTGAGGATGTTTCTGCATGGCTGTCGCTGGATTTTTCTAGTACTTAAAAAGCTCTTCCTTCCCATTCGAGTCTGTCCCATGTTTCATGAGCCTTTTTTTTTTTTTCAGACCCACCTTTGATTCCTAAAGCCAGTTATGTCTTGACAGAAACAGAGGCCTGCCTTAGAGGCCTCACTGCAGGGTGTGGTCTGGCAGCTTCTGCTCCTTGGTGCCATGTGCCCCTTAGCTTAGGGTCTGAAGGATCATTTCCAGATGTATGGGTTAACAAGGAACTTTGAGGTTCATAATAATGACACCAAGAGAACAGCGTGTGCCTAAAGTAGTACACACGATACCTTTACCTCCAGCTCTGAGAGACACATGCATTCATTGCCCATTTGTAGGCACATCATAATGGCAAAGGACTAGGTTAGAGCTGTCCTGTTGAAACTGGCAATGCTATCTGGTCTGGGTAGAATAGGAGGCATTAGAGTGGGTTAGATTTCTGTGTAACCCCTGCCCCCATCACAACCATGTCACTTTCTAATGTTTCTCAGGAGCCTGAGAATGGATGGTTAGCTAGCTGCTTGAAATCACTAGTTAGATTTTGAGAATCCAAAGTTAGTAAGTCAGACTCTGCTTGCATCTGTGGCAAAAAGAGTGGCCATTTACTGGGCACGGGCTGCCCATGGCTGGTGTGAAGTCGGAGCCTACCAGAGCTGTGTGGAATTCATTATTATCCTAACCACTCAAGGAAGAGCTGACTTGCTACAGTTGAACTAGGAAATTCAGTATGAGCTACATTCATGCATTGCCATTTTCTCTGTAGCAGTTTAGTCACCTTTGCTAATTAGCCCTAAAGTATTAATTCAGGCAGGAACAACGAAGATTTTGCTTCCCAAAACAGCCACATGGTTTGCAACTGGGACCTGCTGCCTACAAAACAGACTAGAAGATAATGCCAAGGAGGTGCTCAGGTTGGGCACCCTCAGAGAAGAAACCATGGCTGGAAGGGAAGTTCAAGGCAATCATCCTGGTGTTAGGGAATGTGCTGGCCATGGGCTTTTTTTTTTTGGGGGGGGGGGGGGGGCACGTCCGGTCGTGGGATCTGAACTTTGAGCCTGGGCGTTGTCCCTCAGCTCAAGGCTAGCATTCTACTACTTGAGTCACAGTGCTTTTTTCTTTTTGCTTATGTGGTGCTGAGGAATCAAACTCAGGGCCTTATGCATGCAAGGCAAGCGCTGTACCACTGAGCCGCCTTCACAGCCCCGGACCATGGGCTTTTTGTCTTGAGTCTTGTATAGTTGTGTGCAGAAAAAAATTCCTCCTCTGCCAGGAACTTGTGAGTTTTAAGCCTGGCTTTTTTTTTTTTTTTGGGGGGGGGGGGGTCCGGTCATGGGGCCTAAACTCTGTCCCTCAGCTCTTCAGCCCAAGGCTAGCGCTCTACCACTTGAGCCACAGCACCACTTCCGGCTTTTTTCTTTTTGCTTATGTGGTGCTGAGGAATTGAACCCAGGGCCTCTGGCTTGCAAGGCAAGTGCTCCACCACTGAGCCACCTTCCCAGTCCCAAGCCTGGCATTTTCTTAGGCTTTCATCAGAGCTTGGTCTGGTGTCTTAGCTGCCAGGGCACAGAGAGGGTGCAAGCAACTTAGAGCCAACAGGGAATTGTCTCATTCTGTTTTACCTTTGTGGATTGAACATACTGAGTATAGGTGTGGCCAGCCCACCCCATGCTAGGTTGTCCTTTCACTTGAGGGCCATGGTAGATGCGTAGTTAACACGAATAGTTTCAATACCTGTTCCTTCAGTCATGGATGCATTCCCATGTGTTCTGAGGTGTGGAATAATCTATAATAAAAGGCATCTGGCTTTTACTGGCTTTTAACATAGCCATGGTGGCTTTTAGTGAACAAAATCTCTCATAGAGCACAGATGGTAGAAATGAAACCCTGATGCTTATATTTAGCTCCTTTGCTGAGGACAGTCTGTGCTTTCTGAGTTAGATAGAAATTGTAATTCCTCAAACCAGGAGTATCTATGGAGGGCAGTGAGCCTTGTCAGATACCCCTACCCCCCTTCCCTACCCCAGTGTTTCATGTCACTGACTGGACTTTAATCCTGATCTGACTCACCAGCTAGAAACACCGGGGTGTGGGGATCTACTCCAGGATTATCCCAGGATTTAGGAGGCGTTGAGTGGTTATATGTTCTATCCTCCACATCACTGTTGCTCAACACCAATTTTCTATCAGCTTGCCAGTTTTTGAAGGAGTATATGTTTAGCAAATTATTTGGCTGGTTTGGGGCTGCTGGCTGTTTATAAAATTTCCCCTGGTGAGAAGGTAAAGATGGAAGTAGATTTGGTTTCCTACCTCATTAGGTAGGACCTTATCCACGAGCTGGTATGGAGCTGAGCCCAGGGAATACAAGAATCCTTTTCCTTTCTTTATGTTGAGAGTCTTTCGAATGCCATGTTGAACCCTTGTTTGGAAGATACTGTTAAGACAGATGAAGTTTATGAAACTGAAGTTTATGAATAAACCTCTGGGACCCAGAGCCTGGACTTTCTTACCCATAGCTGCTCTTTTTCTAAGAAAGTAGGCTTGTTGGCATGGATCTTAAGGCATGTGAGACACGGGTTATGTGACAGTCCCTTGGTCCCTGGGTACTAGTGTCCTCTCCGAGGAATTTGATGGGATGACTTTTTTAAATTTTCTTTCAGGCTGACAGATAAAGCAGTGAAGGATTATTCTGTTTATCGCTCTTCCCTTCTCTTTTGGGCCCTCGTCGATCTCATTTACAACATGTTTAAGGTAAGGAATCCCTTAGGGACCAGCTGGCTTGTGTAAGGGTTTAAGATGCCTGCTCCCTTGGCCCTTACCCTGGCTCAGCCCCCGCAGTGGTTGCTCCTCCTAGCCTAGCGTACTTTGCTTCCTAGAAGCAAATAGCCCCTCCGGAGGAGAGAGTTTGTACTCTCAATCCAGACCTGCACCTCTGGGCTGAGCATTGCAGCCAACATCACTTCTCTCCTGCACTGTCAAGCTTGTGGCAAGATCAAAACACACTTGTGCAGGGAACTGCCTCCCAGTTGGCCTTCCTGTGTGAGTGTGACCTTCTAAGCCCTGCTTACAACAGGGTGCTCCTTTGTGCCTTCAAATGAGTGTTTGGCCAAGAGCTGATGGCTTATGCCTGTAATTCTAACTACTCAGGAGGCTGAGATATGGGGACTGTGGTTTGAAGCCAGCCCAGGCAGGAAAGTCCATGAGACTCTTATCTCCAGTTATCCACCAGAAAACCAGGAGTGGCACTGTGGCTCAAAGTGATACAGCACTACTAGCTTTGGGCAAAAGAGCTCGGGAATAGCACCCAAGCCCCAAGTTCAAGCCTCATGGTTGACAAAAAAAAAAAAAAAAAGAGTGTTTGAGTGGATCCTGTTTTACCATCTGAGAGTAAGAGCTTTGGAAATGCAGAAATGGAATGTGTGGGGAGAAAAGAACCCAGCCCAGTGTTGGAGTTGATAGGTTCAGGTGGCATGGTGTATAATCAAGGGCTCTGTGAAGGATGACAGCCTGTGGGTCCTGGAGGTAGAGCTCGCCTTCTGAGGAAGTTATGCTAGAAGTTGGGTGAGCTTTTTCCAGGGTGCTGAAAAATGGCCTGAGCCATAGGAGCCAGAGGCCAGGTACATTTGATGACCCACCCAACTTTGTCTCCTGCTGGCTTTTGTAGAAGGTGCCTACCAGTAACACAGAGGGCGGCTGGTCCTGCTCTCTGGCTGAGTACATCCGCCACAACGACATGCCCATCTACGAAGCCGCCGACAGAGCCCTGAAAACCTTCCAAGAGGAGTTCATGCCAGTGGAGGCCTTCCCAGAGTTCTTCGACGCAGCTGGTCAGTGTCAGCTTTTATCTTTTAAAGATCTCTGTGACAGACCTCCATGACTGTCTCAGAGGAGCTGGCGGTAGCTTCATCCTCAGCGCAAAGCAGCTACCACCAGCATCCCCAGAGAATAACGGCTTCTGGCATGTGCTGCATGCTCATGGTCTCCCAGGAAGAGCCAGCAGCTGCTTAGCCCCACCAATAGACTCTGAAGGCCAGGGGCACATAGCCAGGAAGTGCTAGAACCCCTTTTGCATTCTGGGTTTTAGTGGCAGTTCAGAGCATTAGCACGTACAAGGGAGCACACCTGTCTAACTCCTGCTGCTTATGGACAGAGACCTCTTATGCCACCTGTGTTCCAAGGGGACATGGAAGATTTTTAAGTAGATGATAAATACCAGTCAGAGCAGAGAACATCTCTGTGTGTACGTATAGAGCCACACTTTGAATGGTTGTCATTCCAGAAGCAGATAGTTCATCCCACAGCAAAACTGAAGACCATTGTTGTCTGTGTACAAACTCTTCCTACAACAACCTAGTTTTTAAGATTGACTTGGATCTCATACATAAGCTGACAGCAGGGGGAGGTGACGTAGGCCCAGGCCTGGGAAAATCCATCAAGACAACAGATTCTGTGCCTTCTCAGGCCGTGGGCACTTTGTGTCATGACACCTGTTAGAGCTGACCTTACCAAAGGGACAGTTGCTACCCTGAGCCAAAGTGGAGGTAATCCAAGCTGCTGAGCTCTTTCTTTTAGCTTGACTTACTGCTTCTCTACTTTCTCATGCTCCTTGTGGGGCTTGTGTAAAGTGTAAAGATGGACAGAAAGCCCCAGATTCCATTACCAGGAGAACACCTCCAGTAACAGTTTCTCTCTTTAGACTCTGGGAATGAGATTCACTAAAGGTCTCAGATGCTACGCTGTGTGAATTCCTCCCAGGCCAGGTCCAACTGAGCAATTTCTCTCCCAAAGCTCGGGGGCCTTCGGTAAGCTGTTGTTCGCAGGGACCTCAGGGGTAGCTGCCACCTCTGTTTAAGAGCTTGGCGCAGCCAGGTGACTACCTTGCTCTCTGGTGCCACACACAGCCCTGCTCACCTCTCTCTCTGTTACCTTGCCAAGTCCTTGTGGCTCTTACCTGGCCTTTCAGCACCAGTGTATATATGAATGCACACTAGCTCTCATCCAAGAAAGAAGCCATGGCTGAGAGCAGGTAACCTGTCTTGTTTTTCTCTCTGTGTCCTCAGCGCCAAGCCCTGAGCCTGTCCACTCACAACCATGTCAAAATGGCTATGCAAGTCAGAGCTAGTAGGAAGAAAAGGCGGACAGGAGAGGAAGGGCTCATCTCCCTGCAGGCCTGGCCTTTGCCCTGAGCTGTCCTGCAGCAGGGAGCCTCTGTCTTCTACTTCTGGGTCAGGCTTTTATAGCATGACTTCATTACTTTAAGTTGTTAGAAACTCTCAGAAGCAGACACACCCTATTCAAATTCAGGAACAAAAAACACCTTCCAAAGCCAGCAAACTGTCTAGGCCACACTTCCCTCCGTCTGCGCGGATGCTTGGCGGTGGCTGTGTGTGGGATGGTACCTGATCTTTGGGGTCAGCAGCTCCACATCCTCCAACCTGAGGCCTTGGTGTCTCCTTTGCCTTACTTGCTGAGGGCAGACAGGCTACCAGAGAACTGACATGGATGTTGCACCATCTGGGCACTGGGACCTCATTTAGTCCCTGCAGCAGGCAGGGGGTTTCCCACTTCCTCTGCTAGCTGAGAGAAAATGGCTCTTGAGCTCTGGCAACTTGCTTGAGTGCCAGGTCTAGTGATGGAATTGAAGCCAGAAGAGCCCAGGGGCCCTCTATCCCGTTCTGCCCATCAAATCAGTCACATGCGCCTTTCTTCATTCCCAGACCCCTTCAGAAGTCACAGCTACTATGGGTTTGCAGCCCCTGCAGTGGCCTCACTCTGGAGTGCCCAGTTGGCCTCCGCCACCTTGTTCCCATCCACAGAACAAGTATGCTCGTTGCCTCGTGATTTGCAGTCACTGCCATCATCCGTTCAAGCTGCTTCTACCCACCTCTGCTGCTGTGTCTTCTAGGTCTTCTGTCAGAAGTCACTGACCCAGAGAACTTCCTGAAGGACCTGTTGAACTCGGTCCCCTGAACACCCACAGAAACCGCTCGATGGAGATTGAAGCTAGCTTGCCTTCCACCCTCTCTTCCCTCCTCGTGCAGATTCCCCCACAGGATGCTGCATTCTTACCCCCTCCCTCTCATTTTCTTGGAGTGGTGTGGGGGTTTAGGCTTCCTGGTTTACCTCGTGTGTGTGGTGCACTAGCGACGAAGTTGTCTGTAACCAAGCCTCGAAGGACCTGTATATACCTAGGAGCCGTGAGTTGTCCTGGCCAGCGTGATACTTGAGTGTGCACATCTTGAGAAATAAACGAATGACTTAATACACAGTGGAAAAGGAGGTGTTGGCTGCTGCCTGGCCCACCTGATGGTACAGGCCTAAGGCTCTGGTGGGAGCAAGTTGGACACACACACACACACACACACACACACACACACACACACACACACACACACACACACACAAGTGGACACATACACACACACACCTCTGCTTTGTGGCAGTGCTCCTGGAAGATGTGGTTTGGACTCGCTTTCCTGCTCTCCCTGGCCTCTTGTCAGCATCTCATGGAGCAGGCAAGTTGGGGCGTTGCATTTCATAGCTGTGATTTTACCCTTCCCCCCGCCCCCCCCCCCAAAAAAAAAAAAAAAAAAAAAAAAGCTTATACTTTTGGGTCTTAGGCACTGAACTCAAAGTCAGTAGAGGTCTGATGGTTTTCTAGCTGAAGGGGAGTTCAGTGAAGCCAGCCTGGTCTTTCTCTTCCATACAGGCTTGAGAGCATTTGTCCTGCAGGCCGCCATTTGGGAAGCTTACTTCTTGGTTGTCTGTAAAGTGGTAAACATAGGGTAGACTTGGAGTCAGAAGAAGGAGGGTAGCTTCCGTGCGCACTGCCTGCTGCTTAGCGTGTTCTTACCTGTGGCCTCTGCAGCCTTGCATAGAAGGGTCAAACCAGGGGCTCAGAACTGACAGTTTCGTGTTTCTGAAGCTGCATTCTGGTCTCAGGCCAGTCATCTAGCTTTGTGGGGCTCCTAAGACCTCTCCAGGTCAGCAGAAGCTGGCCTGGCATCCTTTCTTCTAGGGAGGAAGGTTTGTGACTATGTGTCTGTTCTTGGGGGCCACTACGCAGTAGGGTCATCAGCCTTAACAAGTGGATGGCCAGCTCGCACGGCTCACGCCGTGGGCCAGACCATCTAGGGTTTGGGGCCCAGGTCCCTGTGGAAGACTTGCCCAGCCAGCTCCATGTCACTTCCTGACTTGGCCAGCAGCAGCCGCCACAAGCAGATGCATGGTGCTTGGACTCAGTAGAGACAAAGAATTTGTTGTGGGGCCCAGCTGGAAGCCCTGGCAGAACAGAGCAGTGTGCCCAGGAGCACGAGTACACTTGGGGTTATGCTGGGGGCCTGGACTCAGGAGGAATGACATGCCTCCCCCAGCCCCCCACATGGCAGCCTGGTGGTAAAGTCTGAGTCCCTGCCTGGTCCAGGTCCCACTCGGCTTGCTATGCCCTGCAGTCTCCTCGCTGGCGATACAGAAATAGAGATCACTCAGGGCCGGAAGGTGGGAGGCCTGCCACAGCTGTGCCTCTTGGCACCAGTTTCTTTCTGTGTAACTTCTGCCTTTTCCTTCAAGCTCCATGTCTCAGGAGAGGCCTGAGGGTGTCTGGCAAGGAAGGTTCAGCATGTCCATTCCTTCTCTACACTGTCCCCCTTCCGGTGGTCTCAAGGGAGTTTAGGCATGGGGAGGGGTGGCATCAGCATTTATCACATCCGGGTGGGGAGTCAATTAGAGCCTTTCCCTGGTAAAAGTGGCCTGCACCTGCCAGCTACATGCGGGCTCTACTGGGGGAGATTCCCTTCTAGATTGAGCTGTGTGTGTGCACGTTGACATGCCAGTACTAGGTCTTGAACTCAGGGCCTCTCGCTTACTGGGTTTTTCACCCAAGGCTGGTGTTCTTACCACTTGAGCCACAGCTTCTCTTCTAGCTTTTTTGTTGGTTTATTAGAAGATTCTCATGAACTTTTCTTCCACGATCCTCAGATCTCAGCCCTGAATAGCTGGGATTACAGGCATGAGCCACCAGCTCCTTGCCTGAGCTTCATTGTCATACTTTGGACACTTGGTGTTGGCCTGGCATCTCCAGAAGCTTCCCAGGCCTGCGGAACTGCAGTCACCAAAGCTAATAAGGTGATGCTGTCCCTGTTGTGGCCCCAGCCTGAACACAGTGTTTTCTTCACACCTTGCCCTTGGTGTCTATGAGGCTGCTTTCTGGTGGCCCTTCCACCATCAGACAGGCTGCTGACACGGTGGCCACTCAGGTCTGTGACAGGTACCAGGGCTGACTGAGCCTTGGTATCTGGGCAGGGGTAGAAGTTGATGTAGAGACTCCACAACTTCTCCCCATGCCCACGTCTTTGAACCGAAGCACTGAGGGACACCAGACAAAGCCAGCAGCCCCTTTCCTGTCTCAAGCCTCTGGACATGTGGTAAGGTAGGTCCGTCTCTCAGCCCCTCAAGGAAGTTGAGTCCGGTGGCCACGCACTGATGACTGCAGCTTGAAAGCAGAGGTGGGTGTTGCCCGCAGACTGCTTCAGGCTTTGCGGCTCCTTCCCCTGGCGCCCGTCCTCGTATCCAGTCTGTAAGTGCAGCACGCTGACAGCTTAACAGGGTAGACCTCCTCTTCCTGCCACGCTCCTCCCTAGCTATGTCTGTTGAGATGCCCCAAGCTGAGTTGTTCTCTGCATTTCACTTGTGCCTGGGCCCTGAGTCAGGGTGCCCCTCACTGGAGAGGCAGCAGACATCACATATTCCTTCCTGGGTTCAGGGACAAGAACTAAGTGAGGTGCCAGGCTGAGCTCCCTGGAGGCACCAGCTAGGGAGTGCCCCCGGGCAAGGCCAGGGCCAAGTCCTCTGCCTCTTCTTGACCACTTTGGGCCTCTACCAGGCAAGGGGAGGGGACCAGCCTTTACTTGGTGTCCCTGGGTATTGGCACATGACCCACAGCACCTTCCGCCCTTGTTACCATGGTGTGGGCCCCAATGGTTTATTAATCTGGGTGTGCGCACTGGGGAAGGGAAGGGCCAAGGTAGTCGCTGGTCTGTTTGACTTAGGACCAGAAGTGAGAGGACAAGGTGACTCCAGGAGTGTGACCCAGTGCCCTTCCTGCTGGCCTGCAGCTTACACCTAGTGAGAGTGCTGTGTGCTCAGGAAGGGCACTGCCCCCGGCTGGGCAGCGTGGGGTGCTGGTGAGAGCTGGGGCCAGTTCACACTGGTGGAGCACGGCTGTGTGAGAAGGGATCAGGAAAGGCTGAAGTAGGAGCCCTCTGGGTGTCAGGACACATGTGTCACCCAACAGGCACACGTGCGTGCATGTGTGCACACTCAGCAATGTTCAGTTGCTTGAGTGATGCATTTGTTTGCTTTTATTTCTGTCTGTACTGCTTTGTATTTCCTGCCCTGGGGGACCTACTCCCTTTCCATCCTTGTCTCGTGCCCAGACTCAGAGCCTGGCCCGGGCTGTGCTGCCAGCTTGCCCCGTGGCCTCCCTGGCACGTCTGGAGAAGCAGAGCCAGGGACCAGGCATGTGCAGGCCCAGGGCCCCTTCCCTGTGCTCAGCCTGTTGGCCCTGCCTTCCAGAGCACTGGGCTAGCCTGAGCCCTGCTCCCAGTGACAAAGCTGCCCCAGCCACAGTGGCTACTTCAGCTTCCTCCCCATCTCACCTTAGGTCCCTTTACACTGGCCCCTGGGCTCTGCAGAAGGGACAGCGGGTACAGGGAAGGAAAGGACTGCTGAGGCCACAGACCCACAGTCCATCAGCCTTTCCGATGAGCTTGTGTTGCCGAGACAGGCCCGAGCTTCCTCCTAGGACAGGCAGGTGCTGCCCCTGGTAGTTTCCTGGGACAAGGAGATGGGGGTCTCAGAGTGGTAGGGTTTGGGAGGAGCACAGTCTGGGGTGATGAGTGATGGTTATCATTGTCAGCCCAGAGCAGGGAAGGGGAAGGAGGCAGTGCATGATCAGGTGTCAGGGTTCTGAGAAGACAAAGGCCCAGAGCATGTTCTTCAGAGCCCTTCCTCAGGTCCCTCTGCTTCCTTTGCCTGGCAACCTGGTCTCCCTGCCCATCCCTGCAGGCCTGCCCCCGCCAATACCCTGTTGGGCTGTCGGTGTGTGGGACCTTCTGGTACATTTATGGAGCACTGCAAGTCCGTCCTTCCTGCATTGTTATTACTATATATATATATATATATATATATATATATGTATGTATATATATATATTTTTTTTTGGTTGGTGGTGGGGCCTGAACTCTGGGCCTGGGCGTTGTCCCTCAGCTCTTCAACTCAAGGCTAGTACTCTACCACTTGAGCCACAGCGCCACTTCAGGCTTTTTCTGTTGATGGGGTGCTGAGGAATCAAACTCAGGGCCTCATGCATGCGAGGCAAGCACTCTACCACTGAGCCACCTTCCCAGCCTCATTTCTTGCATTCTTTTATGTTTCACAGAGGCAAACTCAGCTGCCCAAGGCTGCACAGCTTGTAAATGGATGCAGTCTGAGCCTGCTCATTTGTTCTCCTAGGTCCACCCCCATCTGGTATGGGCTCCAGATTGTTAGGTCATCCCAGCTCTCAGAAGCTTTGGGACTCAGGATTTGGCCAGGTGCCTACAGCCACAGCCAAATGTTAGCTGGCCTTGGGCTGGGCACTGTTCTTAGGGTTGGGGCAGTTTGCTGCGCAGCCCTGGGAACTGGCTCTGGGCTTAGATGATGGGCAGATACATGGGCCCCAATCTGCTCCAATGCCAAGGCAAACAGGGCAATTAGAAGGTGATTTTGTTTGGTGGGGCCTTAGTGCTGGGCTTGCACCTGCCACACAGGTGGCCCAGGCAGGGGCCCAGGTGTGTGCATCAGCCCTGGCCCTTCACCTGCAGGAATCTGTCTATCCATCCAGATAACTACAGGCCCATGGACAGCCAGATGGACAATGTAGCCCTTGTTGCTTATCCTGGCTCTGGTGGTGGCCGGTGGACCGGCAGCCCTTAGGCTGGTCCTGCTCCTGGGGTCACAGCTGTGGGGCCCAGTACCCTTTCCATTTCTGTCCCCCTGAATCGAGCTTCAGTGATCCTGCCCTCCAGCTCCTGTTTGTGCTGCACTGTGCTTAGTAGCTGATGTCATTTATTTCCCTCATATCCACATCTTGCTGTGTGAGGACTGCTTGTGGAAGCTGGCTGGATGCACGAACCTTCTCCTGCAGGAACATCCAGTCCCAAGAGAGACCTCATAGACACGGTGCCCTGCCTGGAGGCTGTGGGAGATTGGTATTTGTGGATAGGCTTC